TCGATTCCGAGCCGGTTTTGGGCCGATTAGCAGCGTCGTCTGGAGAACATTGGCTGCGCATCTCTCTCTCTCTCTCCTTCTCTATCTTTTCGTCTGTTTATTTATAGAAGATAAGAGAGTCGGCCCTATAAGTCGTGTGTCGTATTAAATGCTTGCGACTCGTACGTAAAGGGGCGCGCACACAGACACGTGCATACAATAATGGATCGCTCTCGCGCTGCATCGGGCTTGCTTATGACTTTTCGCGATAACAATCTCAGTTTGACGAGGCGCATTATTAGGAAAGAAAGTACAAAGCGAGCTCGAGAGACAGGCTTAAAGAGTCGATTAAGGCTGTTGAACATTTTCAGGTCAAGTCATAGACAAGCAGCAGCAGCAGCGACGACAGCATCTATTTGGTACCGCTGCTCGTGCGCGCGCTTGCGACTCTTGACGCGGCAAGCCTCGTCGTCGTCGTATATACATATACGTCGACGTTGCAGTGCTGCTGCATATTATACTTTGTGCTCCGTCGAGTGACTCTTCTTTTTACTTTCTGAAAATTCAACTTACGTGTGACACATCGTGTATTGTCTTGTTTATGCGCGCGGAGCTCTACCTACGTCAGGTATACAGCCGCGGCGTGTTTTTTTTTCTCTCTCTCTCCCTCTCGACGATACTCTCGAGAATAAGAAAAAAAACAACAACATTTAATTAAGCGGGAATAATATTTTTGAGAAGTCGCGTCGCATGCAAATGCGTCGACTCGCGCGAGACGGGATTGATCGTCGTCGCACGAGGAAGAAAAAGTTGTTGGCCTTTACTCTCATATAGATATAATAAAGCACAGCGCATAAATGTGCAGGCGGAATAATAGCTGGATTCTGCTGCTGTCTCGGAGCTCGAAGCGGCAAAAAGTTTCGAGACGTTTTTTAATTCGTAGGCCAGGGCCCTCCGCGCCGAGAGCAGCTCCCTCGCTCGCTTTCAACTTCTCTTTTTTTCCCTCCTTTTGCCCGCACTCTATTTCAGTTGGAGATACACGCTTGTCTCGCGCATGTATACTGCATGTGTGTGCACGCAGTAAATGTGCCCCGCGAGGTTTCTTTCGAGTACGTTGCCCTTTGCTCGCGCTTTTCAGCGGCCAAACTAACGATTTTTCCTTGACTTAGAGACGACGACGAAGAACACGACGACGAGGGCAAGGGTCGTTGTCCCGCTCTCCACGATCCACTCTCTCTCTCTCTCTCACTTCACTGCTGGCAAACATGTTTATACATATTGAAAGGTTTCCCTGCATCGCTCGAGATTACGCCTTTCCGCGCACTTGCCTTGCGGTATACATAATGCACCCCCCAGAGCCGCCGAATGCACACATCTTCATTGTTCGCGGCAACTGCCTAATGCTCGGTAATATACGTGTGCGCTGAAATGCGACACACGCGAATCACAGACTCGAGCGAGCATCAGGAAAATTGCCCACGGTAAATGCGGGGCCGGAGATATGCCCACGCGGTATACGCTCCAATTTGCCGTGCTACGGAAAAAATGGATTTACGCGTAAACGGCAGAAATATTATATTATGTAGGAGCTCTTTGTTGGTCCTCTATAGAATTCGCAACAACGATGAACGAACGCCTCGGTCGGCTTTGCCCGCCAAAAATACTCCCCTACTCCAACGAGAACGTGTCGTCGTATCGTCTCCCCCTGCTGTTTTTTCTTCTTCTGCGTCTCCTTCGTTTTCTTCTACCACGCTGACAAAAAAAAGGAAAGATCGCGAGTATATAGCGAGCGAGCAGCTAAATCTCTTTCTTCGTCTCTTCTCTTCTTTCTCGAGGATGAAGCAAGAGAGAAAGAGAGAAAGAAACACAATAGCTCCCACATCAGGGCTTTATACGTACGGACGAAGCCGAGCATCGACGGCGGTGGCGGTTGCCTTAACACAGCCACAACGTTAATATTAGGATGTGCACAGCGGCAGCCGCAAGAGGCGAGGAGCGAAAAAAATGAGGCATCAGAGAGAAAGAGAAAAAGAAAGAGAGAGAGAAAGAGAGAACGATGAGAGATGAAATGAATTTATGAGGCACATGCGAGAGGAGTATATAAGCGGGAGTAAACAGAGAGCTCGAGAGCTCCTTTCGACTTTTTTGATTATGGGCTGTGTAATGCTGCCCTTGATTAATCTTGATTGCGTGCGCGGTGGCTCGTCGTTGCTGCTGCTGCCACAGCTACTCATTTGCTACCGAAACTTATAAAAATACGTCAAAGTGTGTGGATTTTTGCGCTTTTTTTTGCAAATACAGCAAACTTCGTTAGAAGAAGGAAAAAATAGGAGGAGCCGAGCAATGACTGTACGCGGAATAAAGTGAAATCAAGCCTGTATACTCGTTAAGTACGTATGATATAAGTATATATATACGCGACGATCAATGAGTAAGAGAACTGTTAACTTTGCTGTGCAAGACGAGGCAAAAACAGTTGGCACGTGTGCGGTGGTGTCGTATTCTCTTTCTCTCGAACTCGAGCCTCGAGTCGGATTCGACTCCGTAAACCGGCACCAGTGACCGTTTTTGCTCGTTCTTTTTTTTAATCCTTCATTTTTTTTACCCTCCTCGCATTTGAGTTCGGCGCTCGTGAGCTGCGCGTTGTATTCGTTATCAAAATTGATTGAATTCGAGAAAGAATTTCTGACACCGAGGAGGAGAAAAAAAAGAGAAGTTAGTCAGCAATTAATGCCAGTCAAAGAACAATGCCCTGCAACAGTGTGAAAAAACGGATAAAAAAGACAATGTACCCATATCTACAAACACATAGCATAGCCGCGCGCGCATACACACATACGCACATTACACAGCAAGCTGTACTATATACTTGCCATCAGGAAAAGCAACATTAGAGTCTGCTTCGATAAAGCTTTTATATCTCGTAGACCAGATCTCTTTTTCTCACACTCGAGAGCATGAGCTCTCGGTGTATCGCCGGCTTGTTGTGGGTGGTGCACTAGCTCTGCAGCGTATATAGTGGCCGCCCCGTGTGTACCGTAGCGGAGTAACTCCTCGGAGCGAGAGAGGGACAGAGAGAGAAAATTAACCACCGCTGCTACGGGCTAAATATACTACTGGCTTTATCTCTCTATCTGTATGGCTTTGCGATCGTAGCAAAAGATCATAATGTAGCGGCGCGCACTGCGAGGGCCTCGAAGCTACGCTCGATCCACGAGGCAAGAAAAGCCGAGCTGCTTTTCAAAAAGCAAAGGATCGACCAATAGATTCGTTCTGTCGGACGAAAAAGAATCGCCTCGCTGCCTTCGACGAGTTTCTTTATGTAGATGCGTACGGCGCAGCAACGGAACGGTGTAAAAAACATCGAAAATTCAAAGTGCACTCGCGCGTGCCCGATACGAGATGACGCCCCAAAAGCTCGAGAGTACGAGAAAGAGAACGAGAGGAGAAGAAAAAAGACACAGCGTGCCAGAAAGAGAGAGACAGAGAAACAGCGAGCGTTAGTGAAGAAAAAAGAAAAGAAGACAACAACACGTATAGCAGGTAAAGCGGGCTGACAACGCGGCCGCGAAAAAAGAGAACGAGATGAATCTCTCGCTTATGAGCGTGTGTATACCGTATACATATAGGTATACACGAGCGCTCCGTATACCTGTTTTCTTTGGCCGTTGGTGAATTGTGACCCAGTACCTACCTACACGCCGTTCACTGCTGTTGTTGCTGCTGCTGCTGCTGTTGCTTTTTCGACGCGCTCTCGTACGTTATTCGCCTCGACGAATTTAAAATCTTAAAATTTTTGCCATTTTATTCCGACGCCGAACGACTTATTCGGCCGGTCGCAGTCCTCGGACTCGGATCGCTCCGTATGCCACGTGCCTTTTTTTTCCCCGGCAAATGCCACGAAAAATTAATGCGCAAAATTACAAGAGTTGCATGTACGGATTTAATCGCGCTGCGCTCGCCTGTCACGTCTCAAATTTTCAGCTCGTCGCGATACGCTCGCATCTAGCGGGCCGTAAAATAATTACAAGTAACCGCGCGTAAGCTCCCGCTGCAGCTCGCTTCGTAGCTATAACTGTAAAAAGTCACTCGCGCTCGTTCGCTCGGCAGCTTTTCTTTCATTCTCGTGCTCATAGCTGGGAGGCAAAAAATATGACTTTTCTTCGTCGAAAACGACGATGCCTCTTTCTTCGGACTCGAATTTGGCCCGCTTTACAAGCAGCCGTCGCTGTGCGTTGAAAACGAGTTCGCAGCTCGACTGATAACGAAAAAGAATAAAATTACCAGGCTTACTGCTACACACGACTGGAGCGTGCACGCGCGCAAACACACAAATGCACGGCGGCACGTTATATATAGGCCGAAAATACGAATTATGCACATTATAATACGCAGCGCGCGCTGCAAGGTGAATAAAGAGCTAATTAGTCAAGTACAATGGGGAGTACCCGCGACTATGCAATTACGCTGCCGCAGGAGGCGTACGATTTTGCGACCTAGAGTACGAGCAAGAGTCGCTGAATTGCCACAACAATGCTCGCAGATGCGCAATGCAAAAATAAATCGTCACGCGTAGCACCTATATACATACATACGTACGTATTATATTTATCTCGAGTCTATGCACATTCACGGGGGGGCGCGTGCAGGAATCTTTGAATGGACGAGCTTTGCCGCGACTGCGCTAGAAAGTTCGTAACGAGCCTCGTTGCGAGCGAGCCATGCTAAATAAAGCTAAATTGCATGTGAACGAGACTACGCCACAATCTTTAGCCGCATAAAGCCGCTTACGGGTTCGATTATAGCTGCGATGCGATTGCGAATCGAGCTCGGCTCCTTTTGTTCCATCTTGGCCGCAACTCGCTACAGTAGGCACTCGCAAAGGTTCGGACCGATAGCAAATGCTGACAATACCATACAACGTGAATTTACCTAGATTCGAGTCGATCGACTCGAGTGAAAATATTGAATATTCACGTGTGTACACAAAGTCTAATCTCTACTTCGTGTTTTGTTTACAGGAAGCGAACGAGAAGAAGTGGCCGCTGCATCATCAGTCATATTTACGGAAGAGGCAGAGGTGTGTATTATGGACGAGGAAGCGACGGCGCTACTTCCCACGCACTGCTGAGAGCGAGAGAAGAAAAAAACCATTTCACCGCCTATATAAGTACACCCACGCGGCCACGAGTGCATCGGCAGCGACGACGACGACGACGACCAAGAGCTCTCGCATATTAAACGCGAGGCCCCCGCACCAGACCAGCAACCAGACGAGAACGAGGAGGAAGAAGCCAACCGGAGCTATTATTTACACCACTCATTTTCGATTATTACGCGGCTCGAGAGCCGCTGCGCCGAGTTCACAGGTAAGACGGATATATCATTATATTATATGGATCCTCACTCGAGGCGCGAGCTCGTTTTTGAGGCGTACGTATCGCATTTCCAGACGTATTTACCGCTGCTGCTGCTTTTTTGAGTAAAAATCCAGCCGCGAACTCGTTGCTGTCTCGTTCAATGGCGAATCGCGATATCATTCTCAATTTTCCAGCTGAAATCTCTCAAATTTATGTTTGTGCCGCGTACACATGCCGTTCTTTTACATATCTTTATTACACCAACAAATGCGAGTACACTATAACGAGTCGTGTGCAGCCGAGGTTCGCTAATGAAAAGTTGTAAATACAAACGCGGAAGGGCAAACAACAGTTCAAAGCAGTTGGCCGCGGCGCGCGAAAGTCGCGCATCCATCACGAGTTTTTTTCGTCCGCGAGACGATCGGCGAAGCTCGTAATAAAAGTCCGCTGAACTTTGACGTTTCAGCGCCGCTGCAGGAAGATGGGCGCAGGCATGAGCAGAAGCGGCACCGTAGGCGGTAGCTTCCTCGAGGCTCTGCCCTCGGGCACACCGCTCCACGTGGCCATGCTGGGCCTCGACAGCGCCGGCAAGACGACGGCCCTCTACAGGCTCAAGTTCGATCAGTACATCAACACCGTGCCCACGATAGGCTTCAACTGCGAGAGGGTACGAGGGACCGTTGGAAAAGCCAAAGGTACGTGATTTTGCCACGATCCATGACGTATTTCGCTCGCTGGCTGGGCAGCTCGAGAGTTATATCTCTCATCGTTATGCGCGGTGTGCTTTTTTCTCTCTCGTTTCGCTTTTCCCGCGCTGCTCGATCGCAGGGCCTTGAAACTTGGACGAGTTTCGACAGACGTCGATCCACTCGCTGGACACGGCCAACGTCCAGCAGTGCAGTCGGCGCGCGATCGAGAGCACGCGAGCGAGAAAAGTCCGATTAAACGCCTGCCTCCTTTTTATGTACTTGTATCGCGCGGAGCAAAGTGTATTTAATGTGTGTGCACAAGTGCGCTGTATCTAATCGAATAAAAACATCATGGGAATGGCAGCTGCGTGTCGCTCGACTCGCGCGCGTACTTACTACACGCGTCATGGCACGGTGAGAAAGCATTGCCACTTTAAACGTCGATGAGTCAGTTTTAATGAGATACACGTATATCCGTAATATCGTACAAATACGGGAGTAGTGTGCGTTTATGAGATATGGATTCGCGCGCGAGAAACGGGCGAGGCTCGCTCGTCGAGCTGCGTCGCTGCCGATGCTCTTGCGCTGCTCGGACCGACTCGACGACGATAAATCCTGCGAGTTATTGTCCGAGCGCTCCGTGTGTGTTTTTCCCGGTATTAGACAAAAAAAACTTTCACGTCGAGACGCGCTTTCTCATACGTTATCATTGAAATTAGCATCGAGAAAGATCGCGTGGTGCTCTCGTGCGTTTTTTTAATTCCGGCCTGGCCGTGCCTCCTCTGCAGGACGCCGCGAAACTTTTCAACTCTTGCGCGCGCATTATCATATGGAAGAGGTTTGTCAGAAAATGGTATTTACGCGCGAGAGATGCGCATTCCTCGAGGCACAGGCAACTCGCGCCGAGCGGACACGTACGCGTTGTTTATGGCTTCCAAAGCACATTTCTAGGCTGTACGCGTGTAAGCTCGCGCGATTCTGCAGGTATTATAACGGTTCATGGCCAATGTAGAAATAGAGAAAGAGAGAGAGAGAGAGAAAGAGAGGAGGCTATATATAGGTAGATGCTGCTGGCTGCATGTATAGCCTGGACGCAGGCATGCATAATTCCGAGCATGTCTAGCTGCTGGCCCATCCATCCGCGCGTACGATGACTATCGGTAATCGTAGCCGATCGCAACCGATCATCTGTATTAAGTCGGATGCAGCTATGAGATCGGCGTCGAGTTTACATTTGTAAAAACTCGCGTTATCTCTTCCAGTACGAAAATAGACTTTACGCATCACCCGATGCCTCGACTGATGGTATTTTTTTTATTTCTTTCAACAGGAGTCAACTTTTTGGTCTGGGACGTCGGCGGTCAAGAGAAGCTGCGGCCCCTGTGGAAATCCTACACACGCTGCACCGACGGCATAATCTTCGTGGTGGACTCGTGCGACACGGAGCGACTCGAGGAGGCCAAAATGGAGCTGACGCGCACGGCCAGGAGTCCCGACAACGCCGGCGTGCCGATACTCATACTTGCCAACAAACAGGATCTACCAGGTTGGTAGCTGTACGATATAACGTGCAATAATAGGCGCTCGTGCAGCGATCGATACAATAGCCGCGTATACGTACGTATAATAGACACCTGCGGCGGAAAGTCCTGCGCGCGATTGTCCTCCAGCTGCGCGCGTTGCGGCGCTCGCGTGCATATTATATGCCTCGCGAGATCGCGATGTGCACTCGCCAGTCGGGCTGCACAGCCAGAGCAGCGGTGAAAGTATACGAGTTCGCGCGCGACTCGAAATTTCCTGCGGAATCTGATTGCAACGCGCCAAAATACTTATATATACATGTAACGCAACTCGTTGCTGTGTCGCGATGAAAGCGTCGTCGCTTTTCGCTACCTTGTACAATGCACATGATCACCTTGTTTTCTTATTGTAATCGTTTATCGTGTGCGAGTCTTTACGGTCACACGCGAGTACAAATTTTTCCTGCTTATGCGCTGCGCACGAGGGGAGCACAACTCGACGTTTTCGGGAGCTTGAACCTGCATGTAAAGCTTAAAGTGAAAGTTTGATATATTTATTTGCGGTCTTTTGCTCCTTCTCTCGTTTGCTCCGCCGCTCGAGACGCCCACGAAAACTTCGATCTCGGCAGCAATTTTTCACACTGCAGCTGCCGCCGTCTGCAGTGCCCGGGCTTCGGCGCTGGCGTCTAATTATCCCACGCGCGTCTACCTCGTTTTTTAGAATCCGCGCGCGAACGCAAAAAGTCACGCTTAGCCGCCGCCAGAGCTAAACGCCAATTTCCGTAAATCGTTTAGCTTTTTTGTTCGAGGCAGCAGCGAGTCTATATCTTTCGAGTCGGACTGACCGACATTTGGCTCGACCAGTCCGCCGCGTGAATCGCCGGCGACGCGCAATTCCATACAAGTCGAAAGCTATTAAAGCACCGCTAACGCGCCGGAAGTTTGCCTTGGAAGCTGCGCAGGATTGATCGACTCGACGCCAGTGCCCTTTCCTTCGCGCTCGTCAACCGTAATGCGCCCATGTACAACGACGATTAAAAAAATCTCTCTTGACTTTCTCAGGTGCCAAAGAAGTCGAAGAACTGGAGAAGCAACTGGGCGTGCTGGAGCTGGGCATACAGCCGGGCAGCTCGTGCATCAAGGTGCAGCCGGCCTGCGCGATCACGGGCGAAGGCCTCCACGAGGGCCTCGACAGCCTCTACCAGCTCATAATCAAGCGGAGAAAATTAGCCAAGCTGAACAAGCGCCGAGCGAGGTAGCTAGCTCGTCCGATCAGCGGCGACTGTGCCTGCGTCTTCTGACATTGCACCGCGGCGGCCGCGGAGCCCGACCGTTTCAAGGCCGCCACGGCCCTCGTCGGTCCCGACGACGACGACGAGGACGACGACGAGGGACACGACTACGGCTGCGTCAATCACCTGGCATCGCAGCATCGCCTGCATCTGCACCGATGAGAGAGAGAGGCGGAGAAAGAGAGAGAATACGATTTCGTTTGTGCCGCGCGCCTGCATAACGTAAGCGAGCGGGCATAAAAATGTCCAGGCGGTCCGCGTCAACAAACCTGCGTCGTGTCTTGGCAGAATTCAAAACTCGTTATCATCTTTCTCTTGCGATTTACGAGAAAGTTCCGTACCGCTGCAGATGAGGCTGTTTTATTCGCGTTGCTCAAGCTGCATTTTTTTCATTTGTAATTTTTTTTTCATTTTCAAATGAAGAGAAAAACAAGCTTTTTCTCCATTCTAGTCTGTACATTCATAAAATACAATGATATGATTTTGCGTTATTTCTCACTTCCTTTTTTTTTCTTTTTTTTTTACACGATAAAGCGAAACGCACACGCCATGGAAGACGCTCACAAAAGTATTTTTAGTTCGTGCTTTGAGGTCGTTATAGCGGAAAATTCTTAAGCGTTCTATGCGAGAATACTGACGACAATAAGGTCTGAACTTCAACTATGTGTGTTTAATTTTTTTATTTGTTATCGTTAGTTGATTCAACTTTGTTTTATAATGTCATGCGTTTCTTCTTTTTGTTTACTTTTAGCTTAGTATTCGTGGGAGTGCCTGTATGTGTGTGCGCGAGTATCTTTCGTGCGAGGAAGAAGCGCTTTGTTTATAAGTTTTAAAATTTTTTTACACTTAAAATAGTATTTATTGTAGTTGATTTAGTAAGTAGGTGTTTGTATTTATGAGATCGCAACAGTTTACCAATATTGATTTTGTAACAAAAAGTATATTTCATGATACAAGACGACTGAAGTTTTGAAAAACTTAGTATTGAAGGGAAGCAGTGGTCGAATGCTAGTCGATCATCAAAAGATCGTTCACTATGTATTTTATCGCTTTACGTGCGTATTGTTTATCTATTACCATTGTCAGCATTATTTGTTGCACATTTCATGTATTATGCTTATTGAAGTCAAAGACGCATAGTTTTAGAAAATAATAAACACTTTTTTTTACCTGTTATAAGAAATATAAATGTTTGTAATACATTTCTCCGATACAAAATAAAAGTCAAACCTTGGTGAAATATGACCAATGTTGAATTACCTTTTGCCTATAGCTGTATGGGCTATTTAATAAAAGAAATCGTACAAATCCAATAAATAAACTTGTCAAATTGAAAATTTCCGGTAACAAGCAGACGAAATGAAAAGGACGATTAACAATCTGATTAAGAACGCAAGGATACGTGCCTGTAATAAGTTTCGCGGTAAACATGGTATAGATAAAATAACGAATCGCCGAAAAATAGATGCATCTTAATCTCCATTCCATTTCGTATCTGGTAAATACCAAATTTTGACATGAAAACGTTAAACGAAATTATATGAAATAATTATATAACAAAGAGTATCTTTGAAAACAAAAAAAAACCGTTGTTGTTTGTTTTGCACCTCGATGTCGCATATATCAATTATATGCACTCCTCGAGAGTCATTCTAAATTTTATCGTAAAAAGTGCACATCCCGTTTTGCACTCATGACCCGTATACATAATGAATATACGAATATATAAATATATTTACTTGATAATTGCCTAATCAATATAAATAATTATAAATACGATACAGATAGATTATGCTTACGAGAAATTAACGAAATATAGTGTATCCTGTACTTGCCCTTGTTGTGTTTTATCGTCCTTGTTGATGTGTTTCGACATTTTATTGTAAAAAAATGATATGAGAGAATGCATGAAATTGAACTCGTTCAATTTCAAATTTTATTTAAGTATACATACATGAATGATGTAAATAGAAATTTTAGATTTTAAAGCGACTTTATCTTGAAATAATTACTATCAATATCTAATACGAATGGAAGTAAAATTGCTTTAAAGACTTGACAAATAAGGATAGAGTCATTTTTTTATAAGACAATTTTTAAGAATCACGTAAGTCAGCCTAACAGCGTGAATCATTCAAATCGAAAGGACATATTGGATTTATAATGAATTTTGATAACTCATTGCTGTAATGGCCGAAAGCGTCGATTCAGCAATCGACGTAATTATCCACAAATTGTAGATGTTCCTCGATTAAATGTCATTGTGTATAATTAACTATTGTAATATGCGAAATCCTTGACGGAGCATCAACGTTTGACTTGATAATGAATATATGTATTGTAACGCTTTTTGTCAAAGATATATTGCATTAAAATATCCTGTGCTTGAAATCCGTCGAAACTATTATGAAAGCAAGCGACTTTTAGCTTTTTTAATCAGAACTTTTTAGACAATTCATACGGTGTACTTTTTAAATCTGACGAATTACAATGTATCGCACATAAATTTTTCTAGTCTGCAGTCAATCAGAAACTTCAACAAAGTTGGTTTTTATCTTAGGTGGCGCAAGTAAGTCAGTAAAAATTTGGTCTTTGATTACTTGGCATCGAATACAACTGATGATGATATATATACTTGTGTGTGGTAAAAGGTACGGTTCTAATGAAGGAGTTTGAAATGTCGCATCTATACACAACGATAAACGATTTTAAGACGAAATTTATAGAATATCATTGTGCTTAGCTCGGCTTGATCGATTTAAAATAACTGTTTGCTAAGAAGTCAGAGCAGGCAGCCAAAATGCTTTTTTATTGTAAAAAAAATATAGCAATTTCTCGATCGACGTGAGATAAGGATAAGAACTGTAAATTATATAAAAAGATGTTGAACAAGATTAAAAAGATGATGAAGAATAAAGAGTGAATCACAATTGCTCGTGCACACTATATGAAAACAATCAAACACACATTGATACATGCAACAATTATGTTGTACACCTTGCGCAGACACAAATATTATTTGTATAAACGCACGCACATGTGTAATCATTGTAATACTGTAATGATGCTATTATCTTATACATATATCATTATTAAATCATTATTACTTTCTAAATGCGCTATTTAATCATTTGCACATTCCCTTGACTCTGTTAAGTTATTGTTCATGCGTAAATGCAGTAATTGATAAAGCTCATCAAATTTAGTTTCGACCAATTATGTATTCGGTTACTGCTGTCGAGTGACGAAATTCGTTTATTACTCTTACCGCTATGCGGCTTGGTCCATTTTGATCGAAATCCACAAATAAAAGTCAATTCAAGAGTATTTAAAAGCAGTTGAAGATGTGAGCATACACAAGTGGCTTTGCTTGAAATACTTACTTTACCGATAACCGTTATGTCAGTTTAAACGGGTATCATCGTAATCGTGGGGGCAGCACATGATGCACGTTCGCAGCTCACAGTTGATCGTCAAATTGATGATTTACTGACTCAAGAATTCTTACATTATTACTTTCGAAGTAGGTAAGTAAAATTATTTGTTTTGAATTGCTGCAAAATATTCATATTTCAACAAATTGAAATCTATAAACTTCCTGTAGTACAATCGATTCCATGGTCCCATGGTGTAATGGTTAGCACTCTGGACTTTGAATCCAGCGATCCGAGTTCAAATCTCGGTGGGACCTATTTTTTTGACAATTTGTAATTTGATAAGTTGATGACGAACTATTTATACAACATTTTTGTAAAATAATTTTAAAAAATGCAGTCAAATCATTTTTTTTAGGAAAGATGTAAAGGCTGCAAATAAATGTATAGGACATTAAGCAAAATATAATAACTATATAGCAACATGTTAAGAGACCCAATAACAATCTGTCTATAAAAAACATAACATAACACGAAGGACCAACGCACTAATTTTGGAATGAATAGGAAGAGCAATTTCATTTACAAAAGTTACATTTCAATAAAGAGAAGAACAATTTTAAACATTCTAGACTAAGTCATTTGCAGTTTTTAATTGTAATTTTTCTAGTAGAAATCACCTTTATGAAAGGTAATATTTGAATAAATGATATTGTAAAGTTAATAACTAGTTAATAACAGTTTACTAAGTTGATTTTTGTATCAATTTTTATTTTTTAGCCTTTTTCCCCAACTTTTAGGATACTCTCATATTTATTGTGGCAATGAGTCTCGAAGGCTTATAACAAAATTTAGGAAACTTTAGTTAACATTGTTAAGAAGCTTTATAAATTGTGTGCTGATGAAAATTCGGATCGAACTTCATTCAATTTCAACTTTTATGTTTCTCTGTATGGCAGTACGCTAATAAAGTGCTCGACTGTTTTAGAGTATTTTTTGTCTGAAAGTTTGGTCATAAATTCCCAGTAAAAAGATATCCAGCACTTTTTTTCCCTAAAATTACTATTAACTGAGATTGAAAATTTTTAAATAATATTATTAATAACCACAAATTTCGGAAAAAGCTAACTTGAGGATATGTGAGTGACGTTAAAATAATACCAACAGAAATACAATTTTTATGCTATGCGATTTTACAGAGAATCGAATAATCATAAACGTCTTGACCGAAAAAATACAACTCGTTAAGATTTCAATTTTTATAAATTTTAAAAAATCTCGAAAAATAAATTTTAAACAAGCAAGTCATACTATTCTGCAACGTGTAAAAGGCGCAAATTGCTCAAAAATATGCAACTTGCCAATTTAAACTGTTTTTCGTTTTTTACGCCCGTTTTTTCATCTATTCGAGCTGTAAATGTTTATACTTTTAAAAATTCCCTAATTTTTTTTGAAGTTTTTATTTCTACCTTTATTCCTCAAAATAAGGATAAGTCCGCGTAAAGTGCAATTCAAACACTTGAAATGAAGAAACAAAATTTAATTCTTGACGCGCATGTGTCAATCTAGCAGACGACACTAAATGCATCATGAATCATGATGGCTGTTGCGTTTTTGATTTTATAAGAAGCAGAACATAACATAACCAAAATAACTCATTGAGTTTCATTCACAAGTGCTTGTTTTGTTTTGTTTATCTTAAATTTTCATTTTGTTTTTATACTTGGGTAAATCATCATGGAAGAAGAAAATGCAGTTGTGATCAAGGCGAATCCTACAAGAAAAATTGGCAAACTCACGAGAAATAAAGTTCCACCGGAGATTTCAGAAGATCCAATACTGATCGAGGCTATCTCAGTTTTACCTTCAAATTATAATTTTGAAATTCCTAAAACTATATGGCGAATCAGGGAAGCCAAAGCAAAACGTGTGGCATTACAAATGCCAGAAGGTTTACTGGTATATGCACCTACAATATGTGACATTATTCAATCATTCACAGAAGCTAACACTGTTATTATGGGAGACGTTACTTATGGTGAGTAAATTAAAAAAAAAACTAGCCAAATAAAGTCATAAAAACTTTATTAATTAAAATGATCTTTAGGTGCTTGTTGCGTAGATGACTATACTGCAAAGGCAATTGGTGTTGATTTTTTGATTCATTACGGTCATTCATGTTTAATACCAATTGACAGAACCAAAGGGATCAAAATGCTGTACATATTTGTTGAAATAAAAATTGACACTGTACATTGTATAGAAACAATTAAATTAAACTTTCCAGTAACAACTAGATTAGGCATGGTTTGTACAATTCAATTTGCTGGTACACTTCAAGTTGTCGCCACAGAATTGAGAAAGAATGGTTATACCATCACAATTCCTCAAAGCAAACCTTTGAGTCGTGGAGAGGTACAAATAAATGAAATTGAAATTATAAATTAAAATAAAATAAAACATATTTAAAATACTTTTATTTTTATTAGATTTTAGGTTGTACAGCTCCAACAATGAATGATGTTGACATATTGGTATATCTGGGTGATGGTAGGTTTCATATGGAGGCAGCAATGATCGCTAATCCACATTTGCCTGCTTATCGCTATGATCCTTATGAAAAAAAAATGACAATAGAAAAGTATGATTTTGAACTAATGAAACAGAATCGAAAAGAGGCTATTGAAAAAGCCAAAAATGCAAAAGTATTTGGACTTATTCTTGGAACATTGGGACGCCAAGGAAGCCAAAGTGTTTCCTACAGAATAGAGGAAAAATTAAAATCTTTGAACAAAAATTATGTAAAAATTTTATCACCAGAAATTTATCCTCAAAAACTAAAACTTATGACTGGTATAGATGCATTTATTCAAGTGAGTTTATAAATTTGGAATTTATTTTTCTATTAAATTTTAAGTTTTATTTTTCTTAATTTAAAAATAACTATTTATAGGTTGCTTGTCCAAGATTAAGCATTGATTGGGGAACGCAATTTGATAAACCACTTCTCACACCATATGAAGCTGCTGTAGCTTTGTCAATGACTGAAATGGAAGATAAGAAGCCTTATCCTATGGACTATTATGCTGCAAACAGTTTGGGTCCATGGACACCAAATCACAAGCCTAGTGACTGCGAAAACAAGTCTGGTAGCAGTTGTTGTGGCAAATGCATGGAAACCAAAACGAAAGATTTGGTGGTTTAATAAAACACCAAATTGATTTTTAGCCCTTGTTTTTATTGTAAATAAAAATAAATTGTATCATATATTAGTATTAAGAAGAATAAATTGTATTTTTTGTTAAGCAAGACAATTAGTGGTTGAAATCATTGTTGAATGAAGCAAAGGAAAGTCTTTATTGGCTGTGAAAGCTTTTATTTCTTGAAATAAAGATTTAAATGACAAATTTGCGCACATAATAGGAGGATTAAAAACGCGACAAGCTCCGCTATTACGCAAGAAGCCATCATCTTAATCTAAGCAGACTCATTGAATGCAATTGAAAGGTATGAAAAACGTCGTTTTTTTAGCTACGTAATATAAATCCGAGTGCAGGAAAAATGTCGAATCTCTCATCATCAGGGTCGTTAGAAAATACGTGATACTGTTATACAAGTTCTTGGTTTTTTTTTACATATATACACTTAATGTTCTCAGTACATATATGCATGAATGTACAGAGATAAAAGTTACGAGAAAGTGACCCCAAGAGAGGGAGCGAGAGGTCGAGCTTTATGTGGCCATCAGCGCGCACATCATAACTTATACATGGTATATTACTTGTCGAGATACCAGTGGACAGTCTGGAGCGTACAAGTTTTGCTCCCTATTTATGTATACGCGTCGGTCGCTGAACACTTGATTACGAAAGTTACGAAGAGAAGTGCACGAAGAGCCGCCCCGTGAGTGTGGCAGTGCAGTAGCAGCTATTGCTCCAAGCACGGACGACTCGGCGATTATCGCAGAGCGCGTTGACCCACTTTACTCATCGAAGCGTCAACTTCGATTTCCGTTTATCTCGGCGTTTATTTTTTTCGTCGCGTTGACATTTTTTCCCGTTTCGCCAGGCAAAGCGAAGGAGAGCCTCGATTAAAATGAAAATTAGGAAAAAAGCTCGGAGCTTTTCTCTACTCGTTGCGCGCGCGTACTTTGCTTATATATCTATTATGGTGTATACAGTCTCGAAGCCATTTCTCAATTGTCAAGTTACATAGAGGCGAGTGGAAGGCGGCACATACGTACAGTACAGGAGCAGGAGAGAGCGGGAGCAGCTGAGAGACGTATAAATACATTATTGGGAGTGAAACGACCTCAGTCGCGCCGTACCTAAGATGTGTGCGTTAGTACATATGCGCGCAAACGTCCCGCTGTATTATCAGCGTGGGTGGCTTTGGGGATGTGGCTTACGTCACGGCCTCCGTCCCCGTCGCCGCCGCCACTGCCAGCGATGTCGCGCGAAGCTCTATTCGGTTTGCTTACGCAACGCCCACCTGTAGGGTATAATCACTTATTTTCAAATCTACAACCACCAGCTGATCTCTCTCTCTCTCTCTCTCTCTCTCTCGCTCGCTCGCTTCCTTTTTTTTTTAATAACAACCGGTTCTCTCTCTCTCTCTCTCTCTTTCTCTTTCTAGCCTGGCACATTTTTTTTTCATTTCCCTCTTTTTTGTTGTCGTCGAGGACGCAATTGTGATACACATCGCGAGCGCGCACATCCGCAGCTGTTGCGCGCCCCCAGAGCTGGGAATTTATTCGTTTTCATATCGCGGCGAAAGCTCGAGCCCAAGTACCTTATACATATAATACGTGCGGCAGTCTACGGCTGCAACTTCATCTTTGTCCGGAGCCGCTGCGGGCTTGTGCAGAGCAGAGAAAAAAAAGTGGAAAAAATAAAGTGAAAAAAAAGAACGAAGAAAGGACGAATGCGACGTTTTATTGTTCGTGACGTTGACGGATTTATCGATAAACGAGGAGACGCTCGGCTAAGCAAATTTTCCTCTCTCTCTCTCTCTTCCTTTGCGGAGGCTGGTGCGTATTAGCGAATGTAAGGCAGCTACTTACGGCGCGCGCGAGCGAGCTGGTACTTGTGTAGGGGCGTACATACTGCGGCGATAATCGAAGTTTCTGCGCTGTTGGCCCCGCTCGTTAATCGTTATGAGACACGCTCGATAATGTCGTTATCACTGCATCGATTATGAAGGCATGACTATAAAGCTCGTCCCGGCAAACTTGCGGGCTTTTTCCGCTTAATATTGTCCAAGTATATTATCGAAGAAAAATCGGATTGTCCCGCGCGGCAACGCGCGTCTCATGCGCGGATTACATGGAACAAGAGTGGATTGCGATGCGTTGCATTTTCTCAAAGTGCATATTTTTGCCGAACGTTGAATATTTAATTGACATTTTCTATACGTCCTCACCGGTGTGTGCGCAGCAAAAAGAAATCAATAACCCGGAATATACATATAAACAGACTCTCTGTGCGTAAGGCAATCTAACGCCGTATTCGGATTATAGTATACATCGCACAATACATTCAATTCGTTGCATCGACCATGTTGTTCGTTACACTTTTTTATGATTTTTATGAAAAAAACAAGTACATAAAAACATATATGAGTAAAAGTATGTATCGAATTTTTGTTGTTGCTCATATACACGTGCAGAAACTCGTAAAAAACATTCATTAGCGTCGCAACTTTGAAAAAGGTATGACGTGCATTTCATTCGCTGGAATTATGAAATGTAGTTTATAATATAAATTATGCAAGCTCATGAATGTAACATTCGAAATTTTACAAGCTTATCCCTGAAATTCGCTTGATCGAAAAAACAAATGCAGCTACAGGGGTATGAGAAAAGAAAAGTTGTAAAATAAAAGGTAAATCGTGCCAGAAGCAGCAGCAACGGCGTTAAGGTCCTCCTTTTGTTTTTATACATATAGAAATTGAAGCCTTCTCGCGAGCTTGCGGTAGCTCACGATGTGTATATGTGATACAACACGGTGCACGCAGCCAGTCAATCTGGATCTTTCTTGTAGCGCACCCACATATTGTATTGTGTACAGCAGCAGCTCGAAAGAGAGAGAGAGACTCACTTTATTGGCTTTTTTCCCCGAGCTATTTTCCTCTCTCGCTCGCTCGCTTCATCCCCATAAGGTAGCCTATTACACGCTCGAGATGATGATAAGCTAGCTCTTTCTCTCTTGCCGATGGGAGAAAAAAGGCATTATTACTCCTGGGATTCCATTCTCGAGAGCTGGCGCAGCTGGTCAACTCGACTCAACTCTCTCTCTCTCTCTCTCTTGACTTTATTCGATTATTAAAATGAATTATGCTAAAAATTTGTCGCAATTGTCGAGTGGCTAAAAGAATAAAAGGTCGAGGCTCGAATTGGGTAGGCGATCGCCGGAAGCTAATTGTCAGCTCGTGTTTGATTTTCCGATAAAAATCCAATAAGCAGCAGCGCAGTTGCAGCGAATTAATACAAAGCCTCGACAACGAGCGTCTGCTGCTACAAATTGGTTTGTCTAAAAGATTAACGCGCGTGCGCGCCTATGCGAGCCGATATACATATCCCGAGCCCGAGGACTACCACTAATATAGCTGCTATCCGCTCTCGAGGCCGGCAAAGTTCCTTGCGTTGACGATCATTCGCGTTGTATATCGGTCGCGTGCGGATATTCGAGCGCTGCGCGCACGAGAGACCGAGGTCGAGGTCGCTGCTCCATACGAACGCAGCTGTATATATGTATGTTGCCCGCGCCATACAATACGTAACGACAGACGACATGGATTATAGATGAGCCATATACGAGGCGAATAATTATCCAGAGTACACAAGCTCGCCCATCGACTATTGAAAATTTCAGCAAAATAACGCGCGTACGGCAGTTGGAGATAATTTCGAGCTCGACTCTCTCTCTCTCTCTCTTTCTCTATTCGAATATCGTCGATGCAACGGCTGTAATATATACCACGGCATCCATCTCGCGATCGGGACGCGCATACGTTTCTAAAGGTACGCTTCGTGCTTGATTTCGCAGCTAATATAGCTGATCTTTTTCAGTCGGACGATTCTTTCGTCGCGATTGGCTGCGCATCTCTTTCGAACGGAAGCGCAGCCAATTCCGTAACGAGTCGCAAACGCCGCGCGCGTCCGAGTATTACGTTTCTACATGTCTATATACACGCTTTACGTATAGGATATAGAATGCGCTGCAGCCCGCGTCGGGGGGCCGAGGGGGGGACGGAGAAAAACGTCGGATTTCAAGCTCTCGTTTTTCTTCCTCGGCTCGGCTAATGACAGAGTTTCAAATGTAAGCGCGCCTGCAAGTTGTATACAGCACGCCGACTATAGTGGGTCACGACTGGCGCGTAAATCGCTGAAAAATTGCCTCAGTCCTCCCGTGTACATGGGAGTATATATTTGCGTCGAGCTTTTCCAATTGGCTTATACATTATATACGCGTTAAAGTATATAAACATAAATGTGCGTGGCCGAGCTGAAACTAATAGGCTCGGATTAGTTGGCTATTTCGAGAACGTGTACAGATAGCACACTAGTGCAGTGGCCGTCAGTCGCGTCTGGCCATAGCCGTGAGTTTTCTACTTAAAAAGCCGCGGGCATGGGTGCGTGCGTAACGCAGCAGCACTCGCGATCGGCCGCATAAGATAAACGAAACTCTCGACTAGATAGCGCGATTAGTCAAATAATCTAGTTGCGCGCGCCAAAAGTGCCGATGATGAATTCAGTTTGCTCGGCGATAGCGAATAACGTTTGCGGACCTAGCTCGCGGGCATTTGCACACGCGCTGCGGAACGGATTTTAAGTGTTATAAATCTGGGTTCGCTGAGCAAACACACATCCCCGCACGCAGCAGCACTCGGGGATGATGGTGGCCAAGTCGCAAGTCGAATAGCACATAAAGCATAGGCGCGCGCGCCTATAAATAGCTGTAAATACCTCGAGGGAGGAAAAGCGAGTCGATTCGTCGCCCCTTTTTTCCTTCTTTCTTTTTCGTTTCTCTCTCTCTCTTTCTCTCTTTGTCGGAGAATCATCAATCGGCTGCGCGCACGGACGCGACGAACGAATAATCGCCGTCAATCAGCGGCGCATAAAAAAAGGGAAAAAAGTCAGCCGCGTATATATGCGGAGCCTTTGGGAGGGGTTGGACTGCTGCGTCCCTCGGAGAACGAGAACGCAGCGAGGCAGTCGCAGGCATAACGTATAGTCCACGGGCCACGAGGTGCCGAGGTGGCAGGATCAATGGAGGAGGCAGGGGGGACAGCCGCCCTACGCGACTTGCGGACACACGTAGCGTATGTCGCTTGTACGCAGTGTACCTATATGACCAGCTATGTATACAGCGATGTGCCGGCGACGCGTCACACGGGGCAGGCGCCGAGTAGTCGCTCTCGCCGTGCGAATGTGTATTCGACACGCGCCGATACGCACACGCACATCGGCGGGCGGAGGGAGAGCGAGAGAGAGAGAAGAGGATCAGAGTAGCTACACTTGCGCCTGCGACTATAACTGCTGCCGTTGCCATCGTCGCTCGCCTCGCACACGCGTATACGCAGAGAGAGAAAGAGAGACGCGGATCCTCGTCGTCGGGGGCCGATAATAGCGCGACTGGTGTGTGCGAGACCGACTGCTCGACAGTACAAAGTTCGCCAGCTACAAGGGAGGTTTACCTATTACACCTACTTGTACCCGACCAACTTGTAGCACGCGAACAGAGAGAGAGAGAGAGAGAGAGAAGAGAAAAGAGAAGCAGCTGAGCACTGCTGGTGTCTCTGCGGCCTAACGGTATGTAGAGCTTCTTCGATACTGTGTGCCTATCTACTCCAGCAGTGCTCGGCCGTCCCGCGCCCGATATTTATTCAACAAGTGCGCGCCTTCTGTATACGTTACGCCGCTACCGCTCGACGCCAGCGAGCTTTATATCATATATACGATCCACCTGCAGTGCGATTTTATTTCCGCGAGCGGGGCTCTTTCATATTCTCCCGAAGCAGGCCAGCATCCAAGGAAAAGCGCCGAGACTGTCAGCCCGAGGTGAGCACTTTTATGTTTTCTTCGAATCAACTTTATGCGCGTAAACTTGGCAGCGCGAGTGCCGCGCGATCGCGAGGGACAAGATAAATTATTTAATATCGCGAGCGGAGATGAGAAATAGAGAGGAAGCCAGAGAAAACGAGGGAGTGAGAAAACGACTGAGATTCAAAGTAAATTGTTTTATGGAGCGAAGCGCGCGGCAAAAGCTACATTATACGATCGGCAGCTCCTCTCCCGTTCTTCCTTTTCGTTGCGCAGCCGAGACGCGAGCGAGCTTTTTCTATATACTTGTACTCGCTGTATACGCTATATAGTGGTGAATACGCCGTCTGCGGCGGCGGATATATAATAAATGCCGCGTATATATACCGACACGCTCCGCTGCTCCGCCAAAGTACGTATAAATTCTCCCTCTATATCTTTTATGGTACCTGCATGCGAGCCATTATATAACGGACAAGATTTCGCTGTGTACACAAAAAAAATTAGACTCGATTAATCATCCCCTACGCCCAGGCGACTCCAGCAGCAACGATTAAAAGCGAATCCGCTAAAAGCGACTTTTTCTCTATACTTTCGAAATGTATACATTCGAAATATATCATGGACGAAATGAATTCCAAAGCGAGATTTTGCTAATTGCCGACGATCCCTTGCAGCGTTCGAGTCGTTCGTCGAATATTTTACGCGAGACCGCGCTTACAACGTGTCGACAAAAGTTACAAACTTGCAAGCTGTCAAGGTTCGTCCTATCGCGTCGCACGCGGTTCGAGAAAAAAATTATGTACCGAAGAGCAAGTTTCCTAGCTAGTTGTCGTCCTTATTATACACGAGCAACGCCGTAGACGCGTTCACCTATACTATACCAAGGAAAAGCGCAAACAAAATTTCCAGCAGGACGTGCGTAAGCGATAAAACACCCCCACAAACACAGACCGATAGAGTGCAGTAGGTAAAAGAAAAAAAAAGAAGAAGAAGAAGAAGTGCAGAAGGACGTGTACTTTGGATACATAAATACATGTGTAATGAGCTGCGAGATATCGCGTCGAACGCTGCTGCAGCGCGCGCTGCATATAACGAATAGAAAATGCGACTCGAGATGCGCGCTGATACATGCAAAGTAAGCTCGGCAGCGACGAGGCGCGATCGCCTCCAAAGAGAAGAAAAAGTAGAGAGAGAGAGAGAGAGAGAGAAATAAAGAGCGCTAGAGCGAAAAGTGATGAGCTTGATGCTGTTGCTTTACATAATTAAACAAGGATCGCCTCGAATTTCTGAATAATTATATCGAGTACACGCGCAATTCTCGCAATCCGGAATGAAAAAAGGGCGCAAAAATACATCGCGTTGTTAATTCGTCCGAGTGCACAAATCCGTTCGTCAAACTCGAGCGCGTCTGTGTCGCCAGCTCTGCCTGTAATAACGTCTGCCTTAGAAGTACGTAATAAGCGTCGATGGATTATTACGTACACAAGTAGAAATAATAACAAAACGATCATCGACTGACTCGCGTGTCTATCATCCGTGCACAGGGGCTGCGGGCAGGTAGCGCCCCACAAAGCGCCGCAGCGATTGCTCCCGCTGTAAATTGTAATAGAATTTGCGGCTCGCTCGTGCGGTTCCACGAGGTAGTAAGCGAGAGAGGCGTTAATGCAAAACGAAATTAGTACGTCGTACGCCACGCGTTTACCTTGCCACACGCGCCCGCAAAATCTTCCGAGGCTGCCACTGACAAAAGGAGGCTGCTCATCGCCGCACGAGCAACTTTTCATCGTGATTGCGTTCGATCAAAAAAGTTATTGAAAAAACGCGCATCAAAAAGTGCAGAAAAAAGCTCGACTTTTATGCGCGTACATGCAGACATTATACAACGTTTATCGCTCGGAATTTGCATATAATCCAATTAAAGCTGTGGCTTTAAAGTACGTGTGTATACGCAGCTGCGCGTATGTGCATAGACACCCGTTGTATAATATCAGCGCAAAAGGTACACCTACACGAGTTGAATCCTTTTCATTTAATAATCGTAAAAATCAATGGGATAAATTAATCGCTCGGAGCCTTTTGCAACTCTACCTGCACACGCGCGCGTTTACTCGTGAAGAATCTCGCAAAACCTTACGAGCTGTGTGCTAAAACTTTTATATCCTATCAGTTCTCAATCGTAATTTCATCAAAATTCTATTTTCCAACCTGAGACCAGTTACCTTCCATGTGTTTTAAAACATTTTTTAAACCAGTCTAAAGCATTTTTATGAAATTCTTGCTTTTTAATCACGATTATAATTGAACATTTTTCAACAGGCAGTTAAAAATATAAATGCATAATTTGGTAACATAATAGCCCCTGTGAGAAATTCACAAAAAACAATTTTTATTCAAAAATCATACTTTGTTAAAAAATGTGAATTTAATGTCTGGAAGATATAAAAAGTACCAGCTTTACACATATTAATCAATTAACTAATTAAGTTCTGATATTTCTATTCAGAACAATAATCAAATAATGAATTTTCACTGTAATAATGAAATTTCAAATGGAAAAATTTATATCATAAGTTACATTTTGATTAAGCTAAAGAAGCAACAAATATTTCTTTTTTGTATGTAAGCAATGATATTTTTTTCTACTAGGTATCACAAACAAATAATAGACATAAAAGTGTTCGAAAATGTTATTACAAAATGTTTTTACAAAAATCTTATCTTTTTATCTTTTTGAAATTTTTTTGCATAAGAACCTTATATTTTTATCCTTTTGAAATTGAATTATCAATTGGTAGCGTAATACAATTAACTTTATAACTTCATTCGTCAAAACGTATTTATTTGCCAGCAAGTATTCAAGGGTCTTGATTTGATATTCAATACAAATATCTTACACGTCAATTTTTAATATTTAATAACACAAAATGAAAGCTTAACAGTATGTTTTAACTAAATTTATATATCAATTGACTTTAAGAGTATATTCTCATTGCACATGCAAAAAAAATTTTTTTTTCTATTTTGTTTCTCGAGATCTATGAATTTCATTAATTCCGGACCTTTTGGATGTTGTTCTTCAAGTACAAAATTTTTTTTTTATGGAATTTAAGACACTTACTGTCAGCTTTAGACGGAATTTGCTGAAATTCTCGTTTCAACTGGTGCCAACGATTTAAAGAACACTATAAGTCCGATCATCCATTCGTTTTTAATCATTAAATCTTTCTCTATAGGATAAACCTCTAAAAAATTGACATTTTTACAATTTTTGTTGGAAAATTATAATTCAAAATCTAAAAATTCAATCAAGTTTTACACAATGAAGCTTATCCATTAGAGAAACTTTAAAAAAAATTCAGATAAAAATACTAAAAATTGTTAATTTTTCATCCGTTTTCCTCGGTCATCCTGTTGCCCTGCGGTAGGCAGGATATTTCTTGACAGGATCATCGGAAACCAAAAATTCGTCATATTTCTCAAAGTTTATACTCTTGGCTAATGATTGAACGAAGGAAAAGTAAAAAAAATAAAAATTGTCAAATTAACACGAGTTTGAATGATTTTTTTCCCATTTTTCAACAAAAATGTGCGTACATATTTGCAAATTGATTGAATTTTTGGTTTTTAAAATATGATTTAAAATACTGAGACTAAAAACCTACGATTATCGCGCTCGCTCGCTCGTTTTTCACGGATTCACTAGCCTACCCAACGAGCCATAAGACGTTACACATCAAAAAAAAAAAAAAAAAAATTCCGTCACACAAAGCTATGTAACCCGTTAATGTGGTAAAGAACATTCCCTGTAGCAGGCTGTAAATGTTACACTTTCCGTACTGATATCAGGCTAGGCAAATGCGCCTTTTCAGGCAAGGAATGAGAAAAAAGTCCCTCGTATCTTCCGTCTTCGACCACCTACTTTTGAGTTCTCTTGATAAATCGAACAGTGCATGCACACCGCTGAATCATGCGTCTCGATTCAAAAACTGGACCAAACGTCGTCCCACTTTTCGAGAATTGTGGTTCATTCCTATCATCCGTAAACTTTTTAACATTTACAACAGATTTGACTTGAATTACGCCGACGAACACCAACAAAGACGGAAGAACACCCCTGCATGTCGTTAGCGAGAATTACTGGAATTCCACGGATATGGAAATAGTATTCGAGCTTGCAGAAAAATGCAAGCCAGGACGGGTCGATGCTCGGGACAAGTTGGGTAACACACCGTTGCACTTGGCTGTACCATCTCTTTTTTCCAATGTAAAGCACGTGGTCCGAGTGTTGCTGGAGATAGACGCCAACTCGAATGTAGCTAACGAGGAGGGATTGACTCCAATGCATATTATTTCCAAGAGATATCAGCCTGATGGATTGGGGGAGTCATTCTTGAAGTTCAACGACGACATGTACGTGACGTAATACACCATTGCACATGGCTGCGCTCTGGTTGGATTACAAGAATTTTGAATTGCTAATTAAAAACGGCGCCATAATCCAAATTTGACCAACGAGAATGGAGATACTCCTCTGCACATTATTTTGAAGACTGACCGCTCCTATGAAATGGCATTAATATTCTTCAATACCAACAAAGAACTCAATCAGTCGGTGCAGGTCGACGTCCGGAACAAGTTAGGCCGGACGCCGTTGCCATTGGCCGTGGCAAAGCTTTTGCCGCATTTGATTAGTTTATTCTTGGATAATGGTGCTGATCTGTCCAGATTCGTTTTTCCCGCGGAGAGTTATTTTGCTGAGAAATTAGTACCATAGAAACATGAAAGGTAGCTCAATTATAAATTGCGAATTGCGTCATGTCTTATGTCTGTTGTGGAGTCTCAAGAGGACGAAGGATACGAACTAGACCGAAGTAACGCCCTAATGGCCATGAAAGTTTTCGTTGACTACGAATTGTTCGAAAAGACGGCGGATTTTGAAAAATATCGGTATGCCCGTGGATGGTTGGCGAAAAAAGTGAAAAAAGCGAAAAATATAAAGCTAAAAACATAGAATGTGTCTCTCTACGATCTGATCCAGTTACCACTCGAAGAGGCGGCGAAATTACTCACATCGTGGGACTTGTACGAACTGGCGTACTGGAGCAAATTTCATAAGCTCTCCAAAAAACTTGGTGAGGCGTGCGTTTTACATCTGTCAGTTCTCTGCTGTGAAAATGTAATTCAGAATCTGAACAACGAAGATTTACATCGTATTTGCTTGGCGGATGCTCTACAAAGCTCGTGATGGCAATATAAGCCTATTTGCAGTCTTTGATGTTATTTAATGTTGTATATTTCTCATCGTCAATCATTCAAAATACACATCAATAAATAAATTTAATAAAAAATGAGTTTCGATTTTTTTATTCATAAGCACACGATCGTTCCTAGTGAAGAAAATTTCAAATTGTATATTCATTATCATTACAGCATTTAACGAGACCAAAATCTATACACGCATAAAAAATATGAATATTAAAATAACAAGAATACTATATAGTACAATTGAAAAAATTCAAGTACTCGGAAAAAAATTCTAGCTGCTAAATCTGAAAGAACAATGCTGTAGAGGTAAAGGTTTTTGAAAGCAATTTTACTCGCGCTTGTGTCGAGGAAAATCTCGATAATTTAACGCGTCTTAAAAGCTTCAGCGTGGATTCAGCTGAAGCTTATAACAGCGAGAAAGCCTCTGAGCGTCATAGTCTCTTTCTTGAAACTTGAAGAATGTACTCGTAAATTATCTCAATGATTGGTTAAACCGTTTATCGTATACCGTCGAAAGGAAAAACTGCAAAAATGCTTGAGTCAACGGTATAGCATGACTCGCTAAGCATAATAAACAGTCCAATGGCATATGTATCGATAATCGAGGATAAAAGTTGCACAAACGCATATAATTCATGTTCGAAGGGAAGCAATGGGCTCGGCGACGACGAGGAGCCGCAGCACGAGGAGCGGCAGCGGCCGCAACAGGCAGCAGAGCAGCAAAACCAGCGGCAGATCGGGCAGCGGGAGCAACGCCAAGGAGCGCACCCAGCGCAGGCTCGAGAGCAACGAGCGCGAGCGTATGCGTATGCACGATCTCAACGACGCGTTCCAGGTAAGCTCCGTAACGATCTAATTTTCTCGAAGCACCGAAAAGCGAATTACGGCCCTAAAAGCATCCGATACGTAATGTCCACCACGAGCAGTCGTTGCGCGAAGTCATACCGCACGTGGCGTGCGAGCGGCGCCTATCCAAGATCGAGACTCTGACGCTGGCCAAGAACTACATCGTGGCGTTGGTCGAGCGGATCACCACCACGAGCGTCGACTCGGTGAACCAGGAAATGTCCGGCCAGGACCAAACGCAGCTCTTGGGCCACGACGACGACGACGTCGACGAGCGAGCTCCGCAACACGAGTACAACTTGGACGCATCGCCCCGTGCCAATGGTACATTTGTCAGAATTTTCATTTTTCTCCCCTACCCAATTCGTTGTCCGACGTCCGACGGGACTCTTGCATTACGATGAAATTTCACCGCTGCATGCGAGACGTTGCATTAAATCGTCCGAGGTGCGCGAGAGCGAGTCGGGTGACGTGCGATATGGGACGCGCCGCGATTCGTACAATGTCATAATCCGTTGGTGCTAGCGGCGCGCAATACATTAGCCGCAACATCACGTTTATTGCTATTTGCCTCGTTGAATAATATATGAGTCGAATCGGCGGCGAGCGGAAAACGCGCGAGAGCACTGGGAAACGAGAAAGAGTCGGGGCTACACCTAGTAGCGACTGAGATTCTGCAAATGACCTGGCTAATTAGCGCCGCCGCCGCCGCCACCGCGACGACGTTTAATTCTTCCTCTCGTTGCAGCTTCCCTATTGGATTTTAGTTGCTAAAATCGATTATCGCCGACTCTCGAGCTTTGAGCTTGGCGCGCTCTTATCCGCCAGCCAAATAGACGCGCCTCGAGAAATGCGTATTCATTAATTCTCCAGAGATAGAGTTCGTCATCGTGTGCTGCTGTCGCTGGCGCTACGCTTGCCTCCCTCTCTCTCTATAAATAACTTTAATTGCCATATCTACTCCGTCACCTTGTCTCTGCCGCGAGATTCTATAAACCTAACGTTACGACTAGATATGCAGTTGCTATACATGCGGGCGAATAACAGCTCCTCGCGCGGCGTTTAATCATTGCCTAATCATTGACTCGAGTTTATCACGCGACGATGTATATTGAATTTCAGAGTCGGACGGCTGCGCGACCCTCGGCAGCGGTTACTCGAGCTCGTCGCCGCCTAGCCCGCCGCCTTCGTCTTTGCTGATGTCCTCGTCTACGTCGTCGTCGCTCCAGCAGCAGCTCCGCAACCGACGCTCCCTAGCCGCGGCCTGGGACACGTCGAGCGGCAGCGACTCTCGATCGAGCTTCGGCACCGGACTCTGAGGCATCGTCCGCGGGACGCGATCCTCTGCGAGGCGCATCGACCTCCGGACCAACGACCATCGTCGTCCACCGGCGGCGCGTCAACCACCCGCGACAGTACCTGACTGACAAGCCCTTAATGCAAACTCCAATACATGATATGCATGCTTTGTATATCTTATATAACATATGTACTGTATAGAATTATTAGTAAATATGTATACAATACATATGACAACAGCAGTATACATAAATTTAACCGTTACGAAACGTATAAATATATATTTATGCACTCATCGATGTATTGTGTGCGCGAGGGAGAGAGGTGATAAAAGGCTGTTTTTGTTAGATAAAAAAAAATGTTAACGACCTGCGAAACAATTTAAGAGCGAACAAAAAAAACGATCAACTGATTTCCCATGAAATTCACAACCGTATACGATATATAGTCAATTTTTATTTCCCTTGCGACCGGTATGAGAGCGACTTTTGTTTTAACGCGATATATATATACCGGACATCTCGTTTGACTCTATTTCTATGCTATACAAGACTGCAAGAGGAAATAAAGAAAAAAGAGAAAAATAAGCAACGCTTCAATCCCCCCACGACGAAGAAAAAGCTTGGGCTTTTGACATTCTATTATACGTATGTAGTTGTGTGCTGCTGCGCACATTAATATTAATGCGACGTTACGCACTTATAAGACACGTGCGCCGCGACCTACTGAAAAAATTACTCACGCGACCATTTCCGCATAATGCGCCTCATTATACGTTAAGCGCATCATACCTGTGTTTTTATTTATTTATTTTTCTCGCTTTTTTTCGTTTCCTCTTGATCGAAAATGCTCAACTGAAGCCTAGTATATTTTTCATTAAGGAATGATCGTTCATTCATAAGTGTGAAAATTATATAAATACAGTGTATATTAACAATGAATTCGTATATATATTTTCACGCTGTTCAAACACAGTCGTTGATAAAAAATGGTTTGCTGTATACTATAATATTATACGATATACTTGGGTGTACTCGATAACAAATGACTAATTCCTAGACGTTGAATCGATATACTACTTATGCGTATACTTCAAACGCAAACTTAAATGCCTATGTAAAATGGTCTATATGTGATGTCTAACTGTGAATCAACTTTTCAATTTAAAAGAATATTTATTAAGAGAAAATGGATTTATCATATTTACATATAATACAAAGTTAACAAAGTATATATGAATATCTATATTGCTATTATTAAAAGATACATAATTTTAAAGCAAATCGCGCAAGATTGTGGCAAATAGATAAATTATCTATTTATTTAAAGAAAACATTCAGCCGTCGCTTAACATTGTATGTTTGCTCGGGCTTGAAAACTAAATGTACAAATTATAAAATCGTATAAACGACATATAAGTGACGTTTCTTCGTGCATTAGGCTGTGCCAAATGATATAAGCTTAGTGTCTAATGAATCTAAATCCACTAGAACGACCGAGTAACTTTGCGAAAATTTTGGTATGCATACCAGTCTGATTGGTTGTCCCACGGAATCAGTTAATCTGTCCGTACCTGAAATCACATCGATGTTTTTTTTTCGTTTATGCGTCTTATACAATCATACATTTTTTTCTTTCATGTATATTCGATTGTGTATTACGACTAAAGCTTTAAATAAAAGTGCTTTTACATTCTGGTTTCAGAGTGTCATGCTGTTACTGATTTTGTATTATTATTTACTGACCTTGCAATAATTTTGTCTCGTATCTGTCCATGTTACCCGCGAAATAAATGTTAGGAAAATCCTTCATCACGAGTGGATCCGAATCGTCGAAGGGGTACTCTGCTAGAGTATCTGGTGCTGTTGGAGCAAAATGCTGCCAATCTAGAGTTTTTTCTAGCCATTCAATGGGTGATGATTCTGTATCTGACACCCTCATAATATCCATAATAGGCTCACCACTTGATCCACCCACCGTTCTCGATCCTATTTTACCTATCCATGGATTGGTTGCTCCATGCAAATGACCATGCCTGAATATGTATTCAATCATTTATTTCAATTTATTTGATTTTATTAAAACATCTCACTAACTTGGAAGTTAATGGAAACATGTTTCGATGCATTGGGTGCTGTGGAATTGAATGACACGATGGATCAAACTCTCCAGGCATCAGCACAACACTACAAGATTGTGTAATATGGCTTAAAAATTTATCTAATCTATGAACTGCTAGCTGAGCTTCACTTGCAAATTTTTTATCTTTATTTTTATTTTCAAAATATCCTTTTCTATCAAAAGTTTCTGCTGAGCCTCTGACACTGTTCCCTATGATATGGAATACTTTTAGTACCACTTGGATTTCATTTAAATATAATAAGAATGTATCCTACCAGCAATTATAATGCGAACAATGCCTGCTGCTTCTTTTTGAATAGTTTCATTTCCCAACATTCCACAGAGCCATTCTTTAAATAATTGTAAGGCCATGCAGTCGGCTAGATTAACAAAATCTAGTCCAGAGAGAAATAATATAAATTTTCCATAATTATTGGTGCTACTACTAGGAGTTGTCAGCAAAGGACTCAAATATAGTCCAGGAAAACAGAAATCATCTACCTGTACAGAAAAAATATAATTAATATGACATCATTAAAAGTCTAATGCTAATTTTATTTAAAAACCTTACCCAGAAACATCCATCACTTGAGACATGACCAAGAACCCCACATACTAATCCTGTTACTAAAGTTTCTGGCTCTAAACCACCAAATAATTTAATTCTTGATACATCATCTTCTAAATACACAGAATCTTTTGGAGAGCAAAAATTTAGTCTTGGTGGTTGAGGCACAGCTTGCAACTCTTCAGAAATTGTTTTTAATACAGATGGTTTAAGCTCTTGATGTTTATATAATGTACCAAATATTGCACACTGTACTCCTTCATATTCCTCTTTGGTTAAATCAACAATTTGTAAAACTTTACATTTACCTAAAAGTAAAAAAATTAAGTAAAAATTTTGCAAAGCCTCAGACTTATTAAAAAGTTTACTCACCCCATTTGACAATGGCTCTTTTAAGAGCTTTAGGTTTTAGCGTGGCTAATCGAGCTTTATAAATTCCACAAAATTGTCGTAAAAAACTTCTCGATTGTATGTGAAACCTGGCGAAGTCCTCGAACTCGGCAGTTTTGCGCTCGTATTGCTCCATCGTCGAAGACAATGACACGCTCTATTTTTACAAAAGCTGAACATCGTAAAAATTGAAATTCAAGCAGCTTCCAAGGCAACGATTTCTGTCCATCGACGCTCTTTTTATCATCACACTGAGAGATATCGAATGAATTTGTTTTCTTTAATCGACTCGATCAGATTGTTTTCGTGTTTACACTTGTCGACTGATTCCAAAGCAGCTGATTGTCAGCGCCCTCGTTACCGCTAGACAGCATTACACACTAATAGGAGGGCCTACAGATGTAGCAATGCTTGACTGAGCCTTTACCTATGCAGTAAGCACTGTGCTGTCCACCGCAATCACCGCTAGTCACCGCGTGCATATAAGCTATTTTCAATGCAGGAGGTTAACCGCTTAGCAAGTTTTCCGATTCAGTGACACTTACTGCATTTCGCTATTGGTGTTTTACAGAGTTATTATTGGTGTTTTAAGAGCCGAGAATAATTGCGTCAGACGATGACGAAACTTTCACTGAAAGTTATTTGGAGTTTTTGATGTTTTAGTTTTCTGTATTTACTTAGTTGTTCGTAGTATTATCAACTGTAATTATAAAAAATGATTGAAGAAACGAAAAATGGCTTTTTGAGGTAAGTGTCAAGCACATCTAATGAATCCTCTTTTAAAACATTTAGCGTTCTTCCCGTTTTTTAACATTTCACAATGCCATCAGGAAAAATTTACGAAAATTATTTTTGACTTTCTTTCAAGATTATCAATTAACTCAATTTAGTTTCAATTACTATCTAATCTGTATAATTATTTATGAATTGTTGTTTTTCAGTGCTTCTCAACTGTTGGAAACTAGAAATATTGGTAATGCAGCATTAAAGAATTATGAAGAATCAGAGTCAGCCCTTCCTAAATTGAGTAATAAGTATTTTGAACCATCTGGATCATGGTTAGAACTAATGCAATTAGAAAATAATTTAAAGAATTCTAAGAAGATTATTGAAGTTGAACGAGTAGAAAGATTATCTCAATTAGCTTCTGCAGAATGGTTGCCTGGAAGTCAAAAAGCCCGGGTTATCAAAAAGTCAGGACAAAGGTGGGAAAACTTTGGCTATGAAGAAAAAAACCATTTGTTTTTACTTCCTGAAGAAGCTTTAATTCTTTTGGAAATGGTAAGAAAATTAATTGATATATTCTCTTTGTAGTAATTACAATTTATCAAGAAAATTTAACATTTTATCTTTCACAGAACTGTTTAGAACTTCTGTGGAATGGTATGCCACTTTCTATTCAGCAAGCATATGAAATTATAATTTATTCCAAAAATTCAAAATGCACTATTCATGAGTACAAAGTTTTTTCACACCTTATTAAATTGGGCTATAAAGTTCAAAGATATAAAGAAAAACCTTTTGTGGATAGCAAATCATCGAGTACCAAAAGAATTATTATGAACCCAGATGGATTGTGGACACCCAATACTTCTCCATCAATTGAAAAACAAGGTTCAGAGAGTAAGTAATAAACAAGTGGTTTTTTTTTTCATTTAAAAATATTTCCAATTTGATTATTTGCTTTATTTTTTTAGTTATGTCAAATAATGAAACTGAAGATGTTATCCCAAATAATTCAAAGTCAGATGCAACTCAAAAAGAATCAAGTCCCAAAATTCCAAGGATTGGAATTTTATGCGAAGAAACTGTGATAGAACCTATAAAAATAGTAAAATTACATTCAGTTCCTTCTAAAGACTCAATGACCTCTAATCAAAAGTGGCCTGGATCGAGAATTCAGCGTAACATAAAGTTAATGCCTAAACGAGCTGACTTAACTTTTCATAATTCAAATGCTCAAATGTCAAAACCATCTAATGATTCCAACAATAAGATGTCTTTTAATAAACGTAAAAGTACAGACTGCATAATAGAAGAAGTATCGCCAAAAAAGCCCAGACCAGAAGTAAGTACATAATACTTTTTTGAAATTTGATTTTTTTAAATTAGCGACAATCATTTGCTGAAGCAATCGATTTTTCTAGGTAATCGAATTGTCGGATGATGAAGTTGAAGAGATACCCCGTCCCCTCACTCGCGAGGAAATTCTCGCAACATTGCCTAACTTGGCAGGACCGCGAACAGAGCCATTAATCGCCAGATTACCACGTGCCTATCTACCGAGCAGTATTAAGCCGATCAATGACACATATCGTTACGATCGCTACCGCCTACTAAATTTCTCGCAAACTCAAGAACCACGAACTGACGAATTAGACAACAGCGTGCAAGTAATTAATGGCAATAGTAGCCATTTTTACAGTAATCCTGCTGTCGAATCGCACAATAACGGTTACGCTGGAAGTAGTCACAATCATCGATTTCAGGAACGCCGCTACATTCACCAAAATATCTCCCATAACGCCATTCAGCATAGTCCATACCCTGGCACGGTATTTCACAGTAATTACGTGACGAACTTCGTCATGGAAGTCATGGGAAGCATGGTTAGGAGCTTCCGTCAGCAGCATGTTCAACAGACTGCTACGTTTTGCCCAAACATGCCACTCTTTCCAAGTCATGCCTATAATCCTCTCTCAGTTTACTATCCACCGCAGCAGCAGCAGCATCATCATCAAAGAGATCACTACGGCTCGTCGACTTACAGAAAAAGCCGTGGTAAGTTATGCTATTCAATTTTTTTGAATTTTGTTTGATCATTATACTTATCTATTTAATAATCACTGATACATTGGATTTTAGCTAGAGGCCGTTACGAATCGAATCGTTATGAAGAGCCAAATGTGCCATCTTTCACTAAACGAACCGGATGCAATTCTTGGCCGGAGCTGAAGAGTCTTTGGCAGGAAGAGAGTACCATAACGATCGAAGATGAGGAGCCAGTAACAAAAATGACGGGAGCTTCCAGTCCCGGTGCAAATGATATTCAAGTCATTGAAGAGGCCGTAAAACCGCTCGTTCCGCCCACGGGCATATACAGTTTAAGCGAAGCATACGAACGGCTAAGAATCATCAAGTCAACCGGCGATCGGACCGTCAGATCAAGGAAGATTGATTACTCGCTTTCTTACGAGATCTATCCGATCAGTGGGACGTATCGAAAATCGGCACCTGGTGCACCGCTTTTCCGATTATTGATTATCAAGTAAGTATATAATTAATAATCATAATTTAATGTTTGATCATTTTTTCCCCAGTTCAAAGTTTTTTCATTTTTCTTTAGTTCCAAATTCGATACTACTATGGATCTGAGCAAGTTACATAGACTTCAGCAGGAATCAAAAGATGCACCAATCGTTGTTGCCTCCGTCAGTCAATCCAGTATTTCTTTCACACAATTTGGAATTGTACAATTACCGAACTACTCTTGAGAAGTTCATTAATAAAGTATTCGTAGCTGTTGTAGACTTAATTGTCTGTGTAAATATTTTTGTAATTACAAAAATTTGATACGAAAAAAATATATAAATCATGTATACAATAATGTTCAACGTATTATCTAAGGTATTGACTATGATAATTAAGATAATGAAATTTGAAATTGTATCTTCAATACATAACAAGAAAAAATGAACACAATAATTAAATAACAAATTTTTTGGTGGTTTCCATTTATTCTTTTTTTTTCTTGATTCTCAGTCTCATAAGATGATTTCGAACCGCTACGTTACAAATAATATGATTTGTTACAAAATTTTCTGAATCATTTGAGAGCCTTGTGAACAATATCGCGACTCGAGCGGGTCTGGGCGTTTATATCGTTTGTACTTTCGACGCGCAAATTTGACAACTTTGCGCAAAGTCAGCCGTGGCTAAGCAGGTATTGTAGAAAGAACTTTCCAAGCGCCGAGATATATACGTACATACTCGTATAGGAAAGACTGAAATAATAGCCGTAAGCCGAGTGATGTGTGTACACATTTTACGCTGCTATAACTGCTCTTATATGTGTACTCGCGCTCAGTCGCCCGATCACGCCTAACGTCATCGTCATTATCGGCAACGAGTGCGTGTAATATATCATAGGTGCTACTGCAGCTCGAGACAAGTGTTCATGCAATATACGGGGGATATGTCACGCGACTTCGCTAGGATAGACCATCGCCGACATTGCTCCAGCAGTAACATTAAAAACTGCTCGGTTATTGCCAAATAAATAATCAATCGCGCGGGGACAGGGAGGAATTCGTGTGATCGCCCTCGCCACGGGTTTGTCGTTCAACCTATTAGCATCCCATTAACTTTGCGCTGTACATTAGCAGCCGCAACTATATTATACCGACCGCCTCTCGCGATCATACATCAAGTGTCGCATCGGTTGTTCGGCCGACAGTCGTGAATTTCCTTCACGCGCGCAATAAGCTCCGCGTCTCTGTTTTCTTATCGAATCTCTGCCGCTGCTGCTGTGTTTTTGCCAATGCCACTCGCGGTCCTCGTCGCTCGATCGACAATCCTATAATTTAACACCGACAGTAGCAGCAACTGGGCTCGATTTCAGCGATAATATTTGCAAGGGTCACCTAACCTCCCTTCAGCTGTCCAAGTGCTCTTGCGAGTAGCTACTCGCCGTGCCGCAGCGTGTGCAGTGCTGCGTGTGTTGTTTCGCAAATTTATCATATCAAGAAACAAAAGCCATCGTTGTCGTCGTTGTCGCTGTCGCGGGGCTCGCAGCTTCTCATCGTATCGTGTGTACCGGGCGTCGTCATGCATCCTGCTTGTCGTCGACGACAGCCGTAAGACATGTCTAACGTGCGGACGACGATTTGCGCGAGAACGTAAGCTCCCTATGCCGCTATCGTTACGCAGAATGGGCCTAACAGACCGATGCGCCGTCGATACGTCGTCGCCCGGTCAAATAAGTTTATAAAATGGTGAGTCATTCTCATTCATAAATCCTTTTAAAGAGTGTCAACAAAGTAATGAGCTTTACGCGGCTAGCCTTGTTCTACGCGGACTTAGCAAGCTCGTACAAATTAAAAAATTCACGAGAACCAAGTGATTAATGAAAAGCAGTTAACAGCGTGTCTGCTGTCGAAGCAGCTGCTGCTGATGCTTTATCGCTTTTTTCGATGCTTCTCTTATCACGATTTATAGACATTGATTATCAATACAGACATACACGTTCGTGCCTTTTCACGATCGACTCTGAGTGTTGAGCTTACGAGACTACAGTAATTTCTTTATTGCAGGGTGCTAATATATCACAACTAGAAAAGGATATTGGCTCGGACCAATTTCCTCCGAACGAACATTATTTTGGTCTCGTTAACGTGAGTATTAAAGTTATGATGATATTTTTACATGTTCTATCATCGCTGCTATTTACCAAGAGCAACGATAATAGATATTACATTAAATTTCATTTCGAATAAACTTGACTCGAGGTACAAAGATATGTAAAAATAAATTTTGATTTTTTACAGTTTGGAAACACTTGCTATAGCAACTCAGTTCTACAAGCATTATACTTTTGTAGACCCTTCAGAGAAAAAGTTTTAGAATACAAAGCTAGAAATAAGCGTACCAAAGAAACTCTTTTAACATGTCTGGCAGATTTGTTTCACAGTATTGCTACCCAGAAGAAGAAAGTTGGATCAATAGCGCCAAAAAAATTTATAGCTCGGCTAAGAAAAGAAAAAGAAGAATTTGATAATTACATGCAGCAAGATGCGCATGAATTTCTTAACTTCCTAATAAATCATATAAACGAAATTATATTGGGTAAGAGTCATTTATGAATGTAATTTATCAAAACTCTGATAAAAACTATGACTAATGATGATTATAATTATAATTTAGCGGAGAGAAATCAGAATAAGCCTGCAGGAGTCAAAAATGCGGGTGATGCTGGAACACCACCAGAGCCTACTTGGGTGCATGAAATTTTTCAAGGTATTTTAACTTCTGAAACTCGATGCCTTAATTGTGAGACTGTTTCCAGCAAGGATGAAGATTTTTTTGATCTTCAAGTTGATGTTGATCAAAACACATCTATTACTCACTGTCTTAAGTGTTTCTCAAATACAGAAACACTTTGTGGTGATAATAAATTCAAATGTGACAATTGCTGCAGTTACCAAGAAGCTCAGGTAAATATCTCAAATAATATTTTATAATTGATACTGTAATTTACACTAATAAACAAATATCTGTGTTACAGAAACGGATGATGTTAAAGAAATTACCTATGATACTAGCTTTGCATTTGAAAAGATTCAAGTATGTTGAACAATACAATAGACACATTAAAGTTTCACATAGGGTAGTCTTTCCATTAGAACTGCGACTTTTTAATACAGTGAGTGATATTTTTGTAATTTCAATTTTATTTTTCTAATGTTCTTAATAGCTAAAATGACCTAATAATTTTCTTTCTTATTTTATTAAAAATAGAGCGATGACGCTGTAAATCCAGATCGGTTATATGATCTAGTTGCTGTAGTGATTCATTGTGGTAGTGGACCTAACAGAGGACACTACATATCTATAGTCAAAAGTCATGGGTTTTGGTTGCTTTTTGATGATGACATGGTTGATGTAAGGAGTCACAACATAAAACATTTTCAAATGCAACATGAATCTAACATTATCTAATAACGTTTTTTCTTATTACAGAAAATTGAATCATCTACAATTGAAGATTTTTATGGATTAACTTCGGATATACAAAAAAATTCAGAAACGGGATACATTTTATTCTACCAGTCTAGGGACTGCAGTTAGAAGTTATTTAACAAAAACAAATGTTTATGATTCATTATACTTGATGAATCATTATTAACAAAAAATTGGTAGTAAAGAAAAATATGTGTATAGAGCTTCAATTTTTGTTAGAGATTTTATGAAAGATGCGAAATGATGTTTAGTTAATTTTTGTACAGAATATGCAAACATAATTTTCCATGATTATCTTCATTTATGAAGAAAATGCCATGAAATATAATGAACGTGATATATATCATATGAGAAGCCTCATAAGATCCAATAAATATGATCAAGATAGCAGTTTTTGATGGATTGTTGAGAAGTCCGAAGTTTTCGCGTATACACTTTCTTGTTGCGCCTTGTATTTTAACTTAGTTTGAAAATTTCTTAGCATAAGATCAATCTGTACAGGTTCTTCTTTTAAATTTTTAAACTTTTGAATTTTCTGTGATCTGTGAATATGCGAAAAAATTAACGAATGCTAAAAATAAAAATGAGGCGCATGCTGTCTGTATTATAATCGATGAATAAGTTTATTGTTTTAACATATGAGAATTATGAGAAGCAAAACTAATCGATATTTTGTAATGGTATTTGTTGTTTTTTTCGTCTCACGATGAAAGTTGAAAAAAATGTTAAATTGATATTGATTTTAAAGGAATAGAAAAGTGTCTTATTTAGAATGATTCTTATTTTCGTATTTTCTTGTAAAAATTTAAATTATTAAGTAAATGGAAAGTTTTATTTGAAAAATATTATTGAATATATGTATATAATTTAACTTGATAATTAAGTTTAGAATTTACCGCAACGATTTGTTTCACAATGAAAGGAATTATATTTTACTTTTTTAACAGGTTGTAGTAAAACTGTTTCTCTTTCCAAATGAAATATCTGTAGCGACAAATTATTGAAAGTGATTGTATAATAAAATAAACTCATCCAAGTTTATTAATGAATGAAAAATACATACATCTTTTTTACATAGCTTTGAAGTATTCAATAATCATAACTGACATTTTAGATAAAATTGATAGTCTTATAAATATCATACATCTGATGAGAAGTTTATACAAGTTTTTTATGAATGAAATAGTTAATGTATTAAGAAGATTATTATGAAAATTAGAATCGCTCATACATAAACTTCAAAGCAAAAAGTCAAATTGTTTTTAAAAATTATTCCAATTCCTGATAAGGTAAAATATTGGTTCTTAATGAAAATTATTCTTTAAAACTAGTCTATTCATTGAGTTGAAATAAATTATGCTAATAAAAAATTAATAAACTTAAAACAGTCACATTTCATCTGTAAAGAATAAATGAATTCTGTGCTATATCCACCATGTTGGAAGTATTATTACAAATTCTATCTACTTGTAAAAATGTATGACTGCAAATAAAAATATTGTTAAAATTGAGTAATCATTATGTTTTTGAATTTTAATACTTCTTTTACAATTTTTGTTTGAAAAATTCGAAACTCAAACAGTCTTGAAGAAAAAAAACATGAAAGTGAATGTACAGCCAATTTTAATTTCCAAATTTAAATGAGCTTTAAATGGACATTGATCATAAGACTCCGAATCCGATTGAATACTGCACTAACCCTGTTGACAGTGCTATAACCACTGGTTTGGTTCTGACTTCTGACTGCATGTTCATGCAGTTATCGTTTGGTGCGCAAGCGTAGATGCACGATGCGAAAAATATTCGATTTTTCGTCTTAACTTTAGCATAGGCTTGAGGTCTTGAGGCTTCAATCTCGTCTGCGCATAAAGTATCCAATTATTGCCGGGTCGCTCTGAACTGAGTCCCGATTGAAGTTCCATTGAAATTTCACGATTTCGATGAGAATGATCAGAAAGCCGAGCATTGGATTGTTGACTTTGTTGTGTTTTTCTCAAAATTGTTACGTGCGCAGTGCTAAAGCAATGAGTAATTTTACAGGATTGCATTCAGTGGCTTACGTTACAGTACCTACTGACGAGGTTGCAAAAAAATTGGCGCAGTGAGTTAAGATCATACATTTTTTTTTTTGCTAATGTAGAATGGTCAAGTGATTATTTTTGTTTTTTCTGCAGTGGATTAGTGTCAAAGAAGCTTGCAGCATGTGTCAACATAATTCCAAAGATTACTTCTGTGTAAGAATTACTTTTACCATATGTATATTTTCAGAAAAGTTGTTTCAATTTTCTATACATTTCAGATATGAATGGAAGAATGAAATTAATGAAGATAATGAGCTTTTACTGGTGAGTTTAAACATAGTAATGAGTTATCTGATAAATAATGTATGTATATTTATTTTCTTTAAATTTATATTTATAGATGATCAAAACAAGAACAGATACTGTTGATGCTCTCACAAAATTTGTTAAGTGAGTAATCTTTAAAATTTTATAGATTGTTAAAAATGTTTAAATGTATATTTATTATCTAATCTAACAGAGAGAATCATCCCTATGAAGTTTGTGAAGTGATTTCATTACCAGTGAGTCTAAAAGTTATTTTTTTGTAAATGTAATTTATTTGAACCAATAATTTGATTTATTATTTTAGATCCAAAATGGAAATGACCAGTATCTTAGCTGGATAAGCGATGTTGTTCCTCCGATTGATAAAAGAGAAGCAGATGAAAAAAAAAATTTGTGAATTATAATATTGAACTGTGACATTTCATGTTTTTTTTTCTCAACATTGATGAGTCCAACTCAAAAATCTTGAAATGAATGTATGAATGTTCTTGTAAAATCTAGTATTACTAAAATTTATTGTAAAAAGCTATACTACTAATAAGCCATTTAATACTTTATGTATACTTTTCTTCTATGACTTGTTATTTTTATGAAAAAACAGAAAAAGAGTATATTAAACTGAGACAATATATTTTGTTTTTACTTAAACAATGAATTTATTCATGAATGAAAACTTTTATCTAGATTTTTGTATTATTGATATTAAGGCTATCCCATATTAGTAATTTTTCCAAAAAGCTTGTGTATTTAAGAATGTTATTACCTTGCAGTTGTTTGGATGAAAGAGTAGCTTTAAAATGATAATAATAGTTACTTAAAAATTAATTGTTCTCATGAATAAATCCTCTTTTTATTTGTTGAATGGTACGACAAAAGTAAATTAAACAGCGAGATTTGGCTTGAATTTGATTATTAACAAAAAATGAATATGAAAAAATAAAATATTAATTCTAATAAATTGAAAATGACCATACTAATATCCACTTCCTTCTAGCTTTGATGATTGAATATGCTTCAATTGTAACTTTTGGAGTAAAAACATATTGAATATGAAGAAAACGTGATCCAGTATTGTATAGCCTATTTAAAAATATTTTGAGAAAAAATTGGCATAAAACATAAAGTTAAATATCAAGTTTAATGAGTTGTCAAGATGAAAGATGATAATATTTTAATGACCGTTACAATTATTTGACAACTTTTTAATGGATTGAGTATTTTTTCTGAAATATGAAATCAAAATTGAAAAAATTTAAGAAAAAAGAAAAATACCTCTATCATTAATATCGAAAAAATAAATTTAATAACTTAAAAAGTGTTATGACAATAAATAATAAGATATAATGATGAAGCGATCATGTAAACATGAAATTGTTCTCTTATCAAGTAGGTATTAAATTTATAACGAAGTATTTCAGCGAGAGCCAGCGACGATCACTGCTGCATCAAGTTTTGCTGAAAAATGTGTCACGACGTGATGGCCTGTGCAAGCGATGATAAATTTGTGCAGAATCGTACAAATATCAATTAAACTTTCCAGTTGGCAAAGCGTTTGTATTCGGACGGAAGTTGGTCTTGCTGTTTTTCGAGATCGTTGAGATCGTCGTCACCTCCGAAAAGCTGACTATTTTCATCGCTGTCTTCACTTTCATCGGCCTCGGCTTCGATCAGGGCTGAAAACAAAAGAACGATATGTAAAAAAACTGGTACATTTTTCTCGGGATAATCTGAAAATCAAATGCCCACCGGTTTCGAGTTTTATCAATTCGGCATTTTTCTCGCATAAACTCTGGATTTGACGATACAGTTCGCTGTACTTGATTTTGATTTTGGTCACCTGAAAAAGTATCAATATAGGCGTCGATTATAAGGAAAAATCGATACCCCGAGGAAAAAAGTAGAACAACGATCAATCGGTTACCGTTTTGACTTTAGGCTTTTCATCGACGTGAATCTCAGTTATTCTTTTATTATGCTCCATGGCTTCGACAAGACTCAGGAGACCCGGTTTGTAGATGGGATTATTTTGCAGATCCAGGGCCTCGATGACGTCATTATTCTTGAGAATTCTGGCCAATTCCTCGGCGCCGAAATCGGTAATTTCCGTATTTTCGAGTATCAATCGGCTGAGCTGCCGATTCGCCAGCAGAGACTCCCTTATGTCCATGATGGTATCATCCTGCAGGGGCATACCCGCAAGACTCAAGCACTCCAAAGTTTTCGATCCTTTCTGTGTGTGTGTGTCAAATCAAAAAATCGTGTCCGGGTCAATGAGAGCAATCGTCGAACCAGCGACAAATGAATATTGCGCAAAACGGTAGCGAGCATCGCAATTACCGATGTGAAAAATGGCGAGCATTAAATTAGCGATAAGGATAAAAAGGGGAATATAATCAATGGTGCGAATTATAATTGCGGCGACGTTCATTACAGGAGGCAATTAGTTAAGAGAATGGATAGTAGTCGTAGCAATTGCTTTTACCTACAATGGCAGCGTTAATGTGCGTCGAGGCTCGCCTCGTGAGTTTGTTATTGTCAAGTACTAGTGTCTCCAAACCTCGCTTGGACTTGCTGTAGAGGCCAAAGTGCAGCTGGTGCGTCAGCCCGTTGACGATGTAGTACATGTCCTCGTCCTGGATGCGATTGTCGCTGCACGAGGCGTAGAAGCAACAGGAGGATAAATGAGACGGTGCAAATCACGCATGTAATGTATAAGAGGACGAATTACCTCAAGTCGAGGTATCTCAGCCGGCTGTTGAACTTGAGCAGCGTCTCGAGCTGGCAAGAGTCGAAGGTGCCCTGGATCTGGTTGTCGCAGAGGTAGAGCTCGCGCAGAGCCATGTTGAACTTGAGGGCCGTGACGAGGAGCTCGAGCAGTTTGCCGTTGAGCTTGCTCGAGCTTATGCTCAGGACGTTGAGGTAGGCGTAGCGGAAGCCGCGCATCAGCACCGTCATGTAGTCGTCCTTGAGCCTCACGTTATTGGCGTCGAGCCGCTTCAGCGATCTCGTCTGTCGATTATTATATCATTGTAATGCCTATAATGCACAATCAGCCGTCGCGCGGACTTACTTTTCTCAACATTCGACTGCAGGCTATCCAGCCGTAATAGCCGATGTAGGTGTTGTTGGACAGGTCGAGATGGGTCACTGGCTCGTAGTACTCGAACTGCTGGAATAGAGCCTCGGCCGCCTGTCGGGTCACAAAGCAGACATCATAATTTTCTCTTTTGTTAATGTTGCAGCTGTATACGTACCGCGTCGTGGCCGATCGAACTCGACAGATCGACTTTGCGAAACAAGACTCGGCGGAAGATCTCCTCGAGGGCCTCGCAGTCCTGCACGTAGAGCGTCACCCCTTGGAAATTCAGCTCCTCGCAGCGATCGTCCATGTTCTCCGCGCTCTGCGAAAAATCAACGTCATTTTCATCTTTTTTCGTAAAGTGCACAGTTGACGTATAGATCAACGGTCAAACGGCTACCTTGATTTGATAGATGATGCTCTGGTAGGGACTCGCTTTGTGCTTCGCGCAAGCTTCCTTGTAGGCCGCGATTATGGGATCTTTTTTCAAGTCCGTTCCTGAAACGCCAAGGAAAACAAGCGAATTTTCGCTTTAACGCGGCTGCAAGCTCTTTCTCGTTTTTTTGGCACCGAGTCCAGAGAGCGTGCGCGGCGCGCGGCACAGTCAGCGTGCAAATATTTACCCCGTATATTAACAATCAATCATGCTCGTCCCGCTGACAGTCCGCGAGCCCGGCTTATTAAATGTATTTTTAATAAAATCGCAGCGCGCCGCCCGAGTCGAAAAGTAAAAATATTTTCGATACGCGCTTGCAAGCTCTGACGCGCACATATATTTTTAATGTAAACATAATGGAGCAGTGCACGCATACTCGGGCTTTGAAAAAGACGCGCGTCTCGATGCGAAAGCTGATACAGCTGATCGCGCGTATACGGTGTCGGCCGACCTTCGTCGTGCGTGCCTCATTGATTCTTTCAGCACTCGAGCCGCGCGGAGAGCTTCTGTACAAACGAGCTGCGAATATAACGATACGAGGCAGAGGTGATGGTCTCTTCGTCGCAATTATTATAATTATACCATGCGAAAGGTCGGGCGCGTTTCGAAATTCGTCCTATACGGACGCCGAGGAGCAGAGAGACAGATTTATCCGAATTCGACGCGAGTGTATTATTATACGCGTAATATAAATATGCGAGCTGTCGATCGGTCGGAGTGACGCGCCGATCGCAGCTGGTGCCAATCGTTCGAGCAAAACGAAAAAAAAGAGGCAACTCTCGAGCAATCGAGAATTTTTTCGCATCGAGTCGCGTCGCAGCGGTGCTCGGTCGTCGCGAATGCCAGCTGCAGCGCTTATATCGTCGCTATATACACAAGTATCGGTCGCAATCATGGCAATCGAGAATTGCCAATGAAGCGCGCACGAGCCGTCCGATCCGAGCTCGCTATAATTATCCCCGAGTGCGCGTATTATGAAAGATAGTCGGCTGCATGCATCGTAAAGTCGATCGTCGCGCATCGCAATGTCTTCTACGCACCTATCTTCTATTATTCTGTCGCCTATAGCATATCCACGTGTAATCGAGAGAAAAAAAAACGAGAAGTTTTGGCGAGCTGAGCAAATTTTTGTCGAGCTGCGAGTGATCGTCGAGCGTTTACGATCGAGCCGACGTTGCCCTTTCTCTATCGCGCGCACATCGCATGTACCAGCTATACGGTACGAATACAAGCACGCTCACGTATATGTATCGGGTATTAATACACGAAAAATATGTCAGACGTCGATTAGTCGAATAAATTCTTCGCGTCGTCCCACGCTCGCAGCGTATACGAGTTTATACAGATATAATACGCTTCGATCGAGCGACGCACGGGTTTATTGTAGTTCAAGGTTGCGAGCGATCCGCCGAAACTGGATCACTCGTCGATGATATTCGTGTCGTCGCTTCGAAAGCTCTGTTGGTAAACAAATCGACGCGTCTCGATCGTCCGCGGCCCTTTGGACCACGCAAGCTCGCCGCTCACCCTTCCCAATGATTTACGGAGGTTCGCGCCACCGTTTTCTTGTTATTCGTACGTGACGCGACGAGAAAGAGAGAAAGAACGACTTACGACACTTCCAGGGGTTCTCCGGCTCGAGGGCTCCGGCCACGAGCTGTTCCTTGAAGCGAATCTTTCGCTTCTTCCTGCGGAATCTGTTGAGCAGCAGGGCGCTCCTCACGATCTTGCCGTCTATGACCTGAAGCGGCGACATGGGCATGATGTTGCGCGAGTTCCATCGGGCTCTGCGCTCGGTCGGCACGACCACTCGGGGCGGCAGCTTCTCGATGTCCACGAGGGCTATCTGCGCGAGCTTGCGGGCCCGCTCCTCGTCCTCCTGATCGGCCTCCTCGAACTTGGAGCTGGTCATGCTGGCGCAGCTGCTGCGGCGGCGACTGCTGCTGCTGTTACCGGTCGACGAGCACGAGGCGGCTCCTTCTCCTTTTTTCATTCGTAGCCACTTGCTGCGCTCCGCTTCGAGTACTACGACGATCGCATCGACCACTCGACTACAAAACCATTGGCTTTCGGCTCTTTATTTATTTTATTGGTACTTTAAACGATCTCAAGGAATCGATAGCTCGGTAGGTGCTTTTCCGAAAGGCTCGCGAACGTTCACACGCAGCAATGCGCACACTACAACACTACGCGTCACTCGGCGGCGGCAAGAGAAAGAGAAATAAAAGTCCAGCCGAGTCGCGATCGCACGACCACGAGAGCACAACGTCGCGAGTTCAATGAATGAAGGAAAAACGTGGCCGTGTGGCTGGCGCGCGAGCTTGCAAGCGGACCAAGAGAGAATCGGCGGCGCGCGACTCTCGACTCGTACACACAACGCGCGAGAAAGAGCTAGCGCGAGAGATTTCAGCTGCCTGCCTCCTCTTCTTCTTTTTTTTGAACCTTCTTCTGTATAGTGGCCGCTGACGAAATTACGACTCGGTCTCTCGTCTATGCGCAAGCTCTCGTCGCCTATATTCGTTCGTCCGTTGGTTTTTTTTTTGTTCGATTCGTCGCTCGTCCTATACGCTGCACGCGCGCGATCGTGATCGGCTCGTGTCGTGCCAGAGCGTAATCGGATCGATCGACGAGCGATCGAGCTTTAATTTTTTCATTGTCATTTTGTTGTCATTGTGGCGATCTGCGCGAAGCCGACCAAACGAGCCTCCTCGTGCACAATGGCCGACGCACAATGTCTCTCTGGTGGAAATCAATTTGGTCATTGTCGTCATCGTATCACTCGTCGCCATCGGTGTCGCATTTTCTAAAGCACACGCAGTGTGCCTCGAGTCAGTGTCAAATTTTCACACGCCTCGCGCCCCACCTATATATAGTACATCATGTACGTATCAATGCCATTGGACAATGCGCGCACTGTGCGTGCCGCCGAGCCGATATAGAAATAACGTCGATGCGCGCGTAAACATACACACGTATTTACAAATATGCTGATTTTTTCCTGAAAATAGTCGACTCGCTCATCGGCCTGGCACGCCGTAATTTTCCCTCGCAACGATGACAAATTCCAGAACTCGTTACGCGAACATAAGCGCGCGGGCTAGAGCTGCTGCCTCGGTAGCGGGGGCCGACGACACATTTTCAACGTTTTCCTTGGCGCCGCCGCCGCCGCCGCCGCATCGCTAAACTTTGTTGACGATACTTTTCCACATATATCGCTGCTTATTAGCGTGGCGTCTCGGCGCTTCGCTCTCGAGTCTCGTATATAATACCTGTCGCCGCTATATCGCCATCGTTCCTCCCTCTTTCTCGATGAAGAAGCCAAACTATGAGTCGTTTAATACATCGTTCCGAGCTCTCGTCGCGCGCTCGCGCGAGAGAGAGAGAGGGGCAAAAAAAGAACGACCTGCTCACATGTCGAAGGCTTATATCGCGCACTCGCCTATATGGCTATATGGGTTGACGAGCGATCGTTCGTGTAAGATATATAAGGCGCGACAAACGTGCGTTGATTCTCTTGGCCTGAGTGGACGCTTCGACTTTCGACGCTCAATTATTCAGTATAATAAAAATTGCCCTCTACGACAGCTTAAACGGCAGCGGTAGCGGCTACAATTAATAATTTAGTCTTGGCAGTCAAGCAAATAAAAGTCGGAGCGCCGATCGATATTACTCGTAGCGAGTGGCCAAAGAGTAGTAATATTTGCCCGCGCGGGTGGCATCGACGAGATTTTCGTCGATTTGTTGGGGGGACCAGTCGAAGGTCGGATCGGTAATAACTGGCTGCGACACCAAGTCCCCTCGTACTCGCATAAACGATGATTCGTAAAGGGAGAAAAAAAGCTCGCGTTGAAAGAACAACAGCGAGATCGTTTTCAGGCGGAGAGCGCAAGCTCTCGTAAGCAGTGACTATACGGGAATTTCGCGTATCTTTTGCCTCAATTACCAATTAAGCTTCGGATGCCGAGCGCGCGTCTCATCGATGCGAACGCGGTCAAAGGGCGAAAAGTCGCCCGCACCCTTATCGCTCGCAGATACGATCTCCGATCCGTCGTTTGGCTGCGCTTACTCGGCTGACTCGAGCTTTCGAGCGCAGCAGCCAATATAGGTAGCCGCGCGCGATATCGCATATGCAGGTACAGCAACGTCGAGCTGAGAGAGGCAGGGAGGCCTATTTCTACCTGCAGTGCGAGGCAAAGGTATATGTATGAAAGCGCCGTAGTAGTTGCGCGCGCGCGCGGCAGGTGGTGGAAAAAGCTCGCGACTCGTGCTTTGGACACACGAGTGTACATCGCGCGCCGCGCGTACAATAGCACTGGATATTTATGTATGCAATATCTGCGCTGCACCGATTATCGCTCGTGCCATATAGATTGATATTGAAAACTGCTCTCCTCTTTCCATGATCTCACGCTCTAGCTGTCACGTCGTCGGCCTACACACCACGATATAGTACTCAGCATATAGTATATATAGGGCCAAGGCAGAGAGCATAAGGTAGCAGCAGCAGCAGCAGCAGCAGAATCGCACAGAGCGACTATCGATTGTCCCACGCGCGCGCGCCGCTGCCTATAAGCCGCCGCCGCCGCCGCACGTACCAGCAGCGCCGAGCCGACGACGACGACGACTATAATGTTGTATCGCTGCCGAGCGCCGAGCTGAGACTCCTCTCCGACTCCTTTGGCAGGCACGAAATTCGCACGATTCGCCGCCGTTCGCGAGAGTAGTACTCGATACGTCGCTTGTACTACTATACAACGAGGCCTTCCCCCGTGTGTGTGCGCGCGTGTGTCCGTGCAGTCCAGTGGCAGCTGCACTCCCTATTTCATATAGTGCGTGTGCGAATGCGTGCCTGGCGTGCTTTCAGGTGCACGGCACACGAGTGTCTCTCGCCGAAAACTCGGAGCGGGCAGTAGTGACCAGCAGCGACTGTGTGGTCTGCCTACTGCGATCCCCAAGCACGACCAACGCTCCCTGCAACTAGTCACACGGCATCTCATTGATGCCTCCGCACGTCGTCCACTCACACACGCAAGTACGTACGCGCAAATTCTTACGACTGCACGACGCTCTCTCTCTCTCTCTCTCTCTCTCTCTCTCGTATGCAATTGCTTTACGCTGGCTCTCCGACGTGTGACGTGCAGCACCTCACACCCATTGCGATTGCTCGTTGCGGCGAGCTTATCGCTCTTGTCCCGAAGCAAAACAGCCAGAGAGAAAGAGAAAACGAGTGATAGGCTTGGCTCTATATATATTAGCCACTTTGAGTACGTAGCCGAGTGAATTGTAAGTTGCAATTTGCATCGTTCGGCGAGAGTAGCACGGGTCGTCGTCGGGCCCGTGCAACTGCACGACTGCATCTGCTTCGCCTTGTATTTGAGCCTAAGTGCCGAATAAAACGCGCGAGGCGTGATTTAAATTCCCGTTTGCCCGGGATATCGCGTGCAGCCGAGATGCGCGTCCTGCTACTTGCCCAGTAGGTTACAACAATTGCCGTGATTAGTCGACACTCGAGACACGTTCCGATCTCGAGGCGTTATAATTGCAACCCCGTACAGTCCCGAAAGCCTCCGCGTGCTCGTGATCGATCTTTTATTATTTACTTTATTTTATTTCTATATAGTCATAATGTGTGCGTCGAATACGCCGATCAACGCTCCCCATTCCCCGATCGATTTTCTCCCTCGCGGATATACGTTGCCTCGGCACAGTCCTATAAACGCATAACTCTTACTATCGTATATATGGGTAACTATCCAACATTGATACGCGACTACGATTGTGTATATAGCTTCTCGTGTATAGCCCAATGTGCAATGAATAGAGCCCCTTTCATATGAATACGCCTAGTAGACTAGAGTAGACACTTTTGCTTTTTGTATACGCGCCTATCTCGCACACAGACTCTGATCTCTCTCTCTCTCTCAAGTTTCGATTTTTCAGCTCGCAAGTCGCGCGAGAGACTCGGGCTTGACTGTAGACACACACTTGCATGTGTCAGTTGTGTAGTGCGAGACTTGTGTGACTTGTGAGGACGCACACGTCTGCCAATCGTCCACGAGAGAGCGTACAATACGCACACCCGCTCGCTGAAAAAATCAACAAATACATGAAATGTCTTTTCTGCTCTGTTTTGCAGGTGTATGCATAAAATTGGCTCTGTGTGTGTGCACCCGTACTACGTGTGGGCCAACCTATACCTGTAGGAGCCTAGGAGTAGCCGACCGAGCCAACGAAAAGCAGTCGAGAGACTTGGCTGGCGTATCGTACGCGCACGGCATTACCAATACTACTTCGTATATATAGCGAGAGACAGTTCGCTATACACAGGCCTGGCTGGCAGCTATACACACACACATTACACATACACGCTCGCGCACACACACACATACTCATACACCTATAGTCATAATAACACTTGCAGCGTGAGCAGTGTGCCACTGACTGCCAAATCGATCGGGAGCTAGCGCGAGAACGACCGACGTGTGCTCGTATATATACTACACTTACTCCTCTTTCTGCTGCATACATTGCTGCTTCAATTTCTATTTCATCGACTCCTAACCTGGACGAATGCAGACGGATATGCAGCGACCCTTCGTAACGAGCCGAGATTCGTCCTGCTTCTTCTGTTGCTGACCTCGGTGTGTGCCGCAGACGAATTGCCATTCGATAACCGACACCGACCACTCGACGCCGTCGATATCGGTGTCGTCGCTGACAGCGGGATTTCGCTGATACAACAGCGTTCCCTGTAAAATATTTCCTTCTCATTTGACTGCGTGTCTTTGATATGACCAGCCCAATGACTCCCGGTGAGTTGCATCTTTATTTTAACGAAATCCCATTTCTAAGGTGATTCTCCTTAGCAATTCTCTTACAACTCATTTACATTTTAGGAACAGATCCGTGGATTATTTTAGCGCACGAACGTGCCCGATACCAGCAACAATTTGATTCTCTCAAGCCTATCAATGGGGTCATTACTGGTGGCCAAGCCAAAAACCTCTTTTTACAGTCGCAGCTACCACCTGCTGTGCTTGGACAGATATGGTGAAATTATAAACTTTTCAAATCAAACACTTCTCTCAACCCTTTGAATACTTGACTAATCTCATGAATTCATTTTTATCCTAGGGCATTATCCGATACTGATTCCGATGGACGAATGGACATCAACGAATTCAGTATAGCCTGTAAACTTATCAACTTGAGGCTCAGAGGTTTCGAAGTACCAAGTTCATTACCTCCTTCGCTGATTCGAAGTTTGCAGGCATTCGCTGCTGGTATGTTATATTTTATAGAAACTGTATATTGGCAGTTCAGAATAACCCAGAATCTTATTGTACACAATCTTGAATGTGTAGATCTATAAAGATAGGTTATTTTGCATTGCGAATAGACAGTTAATATTATGATAGCATTAATTTCATCAATCAGTTAAGCGCACAATTTACATGCACTTGTCACAGTCTATTTTAATTTTACAGTTCTTGGAATGTCATGATGATATTTTTATTATTTATGTTCTAGTCAATACCAGTGTTGTGAGTCCTGTGGTAGCTCCACAAATTCCAGCTCAAGTTGCTACAACTAATATTGCTCCTATACCACGTCCTACTGCAGGAGTTATGCCAAGCGCAGTTCCAGGAACAATCCCAGCTGCAGTATCTGCAAATGTTTCCATGACATCTCCTCCACTAATTCCAGGACCTCCATCAGCAGTTCCAGCTATGACTATGCCCATAGGTAAGTTTTATTTAAAATGTATCATGTGAAAAATTGTATCATTGTACAGCAAATATCACCAACATAGATATTTTTACAAGTTAAATTAATGAGAATCTTCTTTAAAAAAGTAGATCTGCACTAAAATTAAGAATTCCGCTAGTGAAATACATTTTACTCTGTACTTACTTGTAACACAAGTGTCAACTTGTTTCACATTTAATCCAAAATTAGATTAAATAGTGAAATGTGTTCTTTAATATTACTAGATTAGGTCATTTTTAATATTGATATCATGAATAATTAAAAAAGATATCAATTCATTAAAACGTGAATAAAATTGTATTGTTGAAAACCAAAACCATATGCATAATGTAAAATCACACAGCATCACCACAAAACAGTCAGCCTGTAGCTGCAAACATGCAAAAACCGGCAAAGATTCCTCCTGCTCGACCACCACCTGCTAAAGTTGGTACGTTTGTGTGCCCCACAGTAATAATTCATTTCAAATGGTTCTTTCTCATAAATCTATATGTACATTGCTCATGTGTAATTTCAATTTTTGAAGAAAAGCTTAATAAGTCAGCTAATCAATATTCCCAATTTTCTGATTTTTTTGTACTGTTGTTAATAGTAACTTTAATTTGTATTTTGGTACCATTAAATTTCTTATTTATCCTTCGACTTAATATTGTTGTAATTGAAAACTGTGCTAGCAAGAATTTATAATTTTGTCTTAATGTAATTTGTAAGATTATAATATTTTGAATTTGAATTGTATTTAATAGAATCAAATTAAAAATATATACATCGTGGTTGACGTTGCCTCGCATTATCACTGAATCACATTCTTTCAAAGTCAATTAACGCTTGGTTCATTATCTCATTAGTCTGACATACAGCCGCTGTCATATCGCTTTAGAGCAGTATTTCATTCATTGTAATATCGGAAATCGCTTATCTCGTTTAGAACTTCAAAAGCTTCAAAATTTTTTTATCCGTTATTGAATGGATTTACAAAAAATCATGAATAATCACGTAACATATTTACGTGTCATTTTGAAATCTTCTACGTTTAATTGCGCTGTTATAATTATTATGGCGTTTTTTTATAATGTTTGTTTCTGCTCTGTACAATGCAGAGGACTCCACTGATGATAAGGTCGACAGTGGTGCAATTCCACAAAGACCTACACCTCCCGACAGTATCGGTACGTTATAACAATTTTGTCGATAGGACAAAAGTTGAAAAAAACTGCTACAAATCGGTAGAACCATGAAAGATAAAAAAAATTATTACTCAGATGAATAAATGAAATATAGTTAATATAACTATGGGAGTTATATTAGGTCTTTTTGTATTGTGCGTAGATATTTTACCAGCTCTTTTGATTGAAAATTTTTATGTATCTTTAATAGATGTTTTAAAAATAAAATTTGAAACAAAATTTTTATTTTTTTACAAAGTTTTCGAATGTTTTAATTTTAATTTTACTAAATAATTTGCTTGGTAATTAATTTTTATTTGAAAAAAATTTTTAATGTTCGAGATGTAAATTCAATATTTCACGCAATGTTTAACTTTTTGCCTAATTTTTGTCAATTTTATTCATAAGGAGCTGGATTCGTACCAACTGCAGGACCACCACCGAAACCGCAGCCGCCGTCATTTCCTAGTAGTCCAGTTATATCACCTGTCAAGCCAGTTGTGCCGCCTATGGTTCCACCGCCCCCCGCTCAGATGACCCAACCCTTGGCTGCTCCTGTTTCGAATATCGGTTAGTATGAGTATTTGGCTTTCAATTGTATATGATTTTTCAGTTAAAATTATTGAACTTATTGAATAAAATCAGAATTATACACTTACACTTCACACGTATACCTGTTTCTTTACAGATTTATTCGATCTTTTAATGTCGGAAGGTACATACATATTCACACACTGGTCGACAAAGTATAATAAATTGATTTTATTATTTTATAAATTACATTCGTGTTTTTGTAAATTAATCCTCAAGGCCAGTTTAATACTGTAACAAGCTCAATCACAACAGCATATTATTAGAAACTAGTATGGTAGTAAACGCAGTTTGCTTATTAAAACGAATGATAAATATCGTAACTAACAGTTTCCGAGTAAGATGAAAATCGTGACTAATATATTTTCTGTGTGGACATCAAAATTGTTGGTTTGTTGATGGAGTATCGTGTACTAATGTATTTTTTACGCGCAATTTTGCAGCAATGCCACCGGTAGCCCCCGTAGCACCTATCGCTCCGATGAGCACGGGTCCAGTACCGACAACGGCATTCGCTATGCAGCCCCAGGCAATGCAAATGCAAGGTATGCCAGCTCAAGTCATACCCACTCAAGCTCTGCCTGCGCAAGTAATACCGACGCCGCAAGTTGTACCCGCTACTGCGGGTATTATACAGCCTCTACCCGCCGCAGCACCCGTAGTGCCTATCGTAGGTTCTGGTAAGTCTTAGCAGCTGCTTACTATTGACTGCTATCAGATCGATAAATCTCATAAAATAAATATGACGTATTAGGCAATGGCATCATGACAACTGCAGTATCCCCGCCTGCAGCAGTAGCTCCGACCATAACTCCACCCGTTACACCTCTATCTACTGCTGGAATGAATGGCAGTATAATCCATACGCCAGTATCAACAAGCACACCAATCTCCACCACAGCTAGACCACCAAGCATAGATCGCATGGGTTCGGTCGACTCACAGCATAGCCAACACTCCATTACTTCACCACCTCCGCAGCCACAACAACCCCTCGACTGGGCTGTACCACATCAAACGAAGCTCAAGTACACGCAACTTTTTAATACCTGGGATAGAACACGCTCGGGTTTTCTCTCGGGGCCGCAAGCACGGAATATTATGGTGCAGACGCAACTTCCACAGGCAATTCTTGCTCAAATTTGGTTGGTTATACATTTATAATTATTTAACAAAACGTCCGTAACAATAAATAATTTTAATATCTGCTACAATTTCTTTCAGGGCTTTGTCGGATATGGATTCGGATGGTCGGTTGGGCTGCGAAGAATTTGTTTTGGCGATGCATCTCTGCGATATGGCGAAAAATAATGAAGTTATACCTCCAGCATTACCACTAGAATTGATACCTCCCACTTTCAGAAGACAAAGGCAAAGTTCAGTGTCATCACAAGGTATTCCCGAAGCAGCAGACCCTCTTGCCGGAATGCCTCAGGTAATTTTATTCTAGAAATTTTTTTTAAAAAGTTACCATAATTAATTTTCGTTCTTTAGACCACATTTGAAGATAAGCGTAAAGAAAACTTTGAGAAGGGTCAAGCTGAACTAGACAGAAGACGAAAATCATTGCTCGAAATTCAGCGCAAAGAACAAGAAGAACGTGAACGTAAAGAAAGAGAAGAAGCTGAAAAGCGTGAAAAAATCAGACTAGAGCAGGAAAGGCGTCGACAAGCAGAATTAGAGCAACAAATGTTAAGGCAAAAAGAAATAGAAGAGGAGAAAGAGAATGAACGGAAGCGAGCGCAAGAGCAAAGAGAGGCCGCGAGAAAGTGAGTAGCACCCAACCATTACATTTTTATAAATAACTTATAATGAACAATTTTATAATCTTTCTTGCAGAGAAATGGAAAGACAACGTCAATTAGAGTGGGAAAATAACAAATCTCAAGAGTTACAATCACAGCGACAAAAAGAACAAGAGGAGCTTCTTAAATTAAAAGGCAAAAATCAATCTTTAACAATCGATCTTGGTTCATTGGTAATTTAAATTTATTGTAATATAAAAATAATTTTTAGGAATGCAATTTGCTTCTATTAATGAAAATGAACTTTTTTCCAATAGAATGACAAAGTCAAAGAGCTGTCACAAAAAATTTGTGATACTCGTGTAGGTGTATCAACAGTAAAAACGACCATCGATGGAATGCGTACGACCCGTGATCAGCAACTACAAGAAATGGCTTCTCTGAAAAATAAACTACGCGAACAAAATCAACGGCTACTTGCTTGTGGTCAAGAAAAAGCTCGCCTCGAAGCAAAAACGAAAGCGATGGATGCTGGTAACGAAGAGGCGCAGAAACTAAAGCAACTTGCTATAAAGCAGCTCGAAGACAAGATTGCCGATCTAGAAAAAGAAGTAAAAGAAAAAGAGCAAGAAGTAGAAAATAGTAACAAACAATTGGGTATGTAATCCGCTTTTTAAATAAATTATTTATATAAAAAATTATGTCGCACTTAACTAATTATAAATTTCATGCTCGACAGAGGAAATGAAAGATGAAATGAAAGAACTGTTCGAAAATTGCGTGGAAATGAACAAAAAATTCGAAGAAAAGAAAATGGTCATTCTTGACCTTCGCAAATCTGGAGCACCAAGTGGTGGATTCTCTACGGCAGCATGGGGAGAGGATGCTTGGGGCGATACTAGTACAGGCGAAGTTGACATAGATTCGTGGCCTACAGATGATGCAGCCAATATTAATGTAGCTGCAACAGTAACCAGTGCCCAGCCCGAAGAAGATCTTGGTGGAGGAAAGAAGTATCGGGCTCTTTACGAATTTGTTGCAAGGAATCAGGATGAAATTTCCTTCCAGCCAGGAGACATAATAATTGTCCCACCTGTACAAAATGCAGAACCTGGTTGGATGGCTGGAGAAATTCGAGGTCATACAGGATGGTTCCCAGAGTCTTACGTCGAGCCAGTTGAGGTTGATGTTGATCCGACTGAAGCTGTGTTTGCTCACCAAGACAGCACTGAAAAGCGGATGTTAGAGTTAGTTATTTTTTATAAACTGAAATTTTTATGGTAAAGTTAGAAAAATATCCTAAAATTATTAACTTTCAGAGGAATTGCTGAAGTTCCTGAAAACGTATCGGACGCCGGTTCGGCAGCAAGTGAAGCACCTTATATTGAACCCATCACACCTAAATTTGGTGAAGGACAGTTGTGCAACATATCAGCAACGACATTGTATCAATACCGACCTACTTCAGAACAACACTTGATCTTTAATAAAGGCGAAACTGTTACTGTTAAAGAACAACAGGTAAAATTTAATCTATTGATAATAATAACGATTTCTTACCCATTATAATAAATGAAAATCTTGTAGGATGTTTGGTGCTATGGGGAATCATCTACTGGTCAAGTTGGTTGGTTTCCCAAAGCGTATGTCAAAATGGAAGAAGTATCTAATGGACAAGATACAGCATCAACCGAAGGCCTCAACGAGTATTATATGTCTCTTTATGGGTACAACTCTAATGAGGCTGGTGATCTTGATTTCAACAATGGTGAGGTTATTCTTGTTATCAAGAAAGATGGCGATTGGTGGACTGGGGTTATTGGTGACAGACAGGGTATTTTCCCATCGAATTATGTTGAAAAATACGACATGCCAGTTGACCAGGTTAGTATTTCTAAACATTGCTATTGCAATTGAATGTTTGGGTGTCTACTGGTGTTTGTCAATACAAAAAATGTCTCGCATTGTTTTGACAAGATCTTTATTGTCCTTATATGCACAATCACTGTCACATTCTCATTTATTTATCATTCAGTTTTTATTTTTTCAATTGCTAGAACAAAAGGATGTGCTGGTAGACACCAATATCAACTTAACCTAATGAATGTTTTTACTCATTCCAAAATGTTTTGTCTTCATTTTATGTGTTGTTCCTAACATGTTTTGATGTTTCGCCTAAGCAGCCTGCCGTTGCAACTCAAGACATTCCAAAGCTTGAACACTTGAGTGACACTGAATCACCTTTAAAAACACAAGAAGTTATAAAGCCAGTGCGTATCGCAACTTTTTTTTTATTTTATAAGTTCGATTCTGCATCAAATACTGTAAAAATGTCGAGAATTGATCTTATGTAGTTATCGTTCTTTTTATTTAAACACCCCTGTACAAAAATGTAAACACGCTAATGCAATGTAATTTGCACCTTAGTTAATTGAAACCCTTACCCCTTAATTTTCAAAGTTATAATTTTGAGTACGCTATGTGTAAATGTACACATTTGAACACCTAGTGCGTAAACTAACTGCTATAACTTCCTTCACGCGCACCAGCAGCAGCAACAACAGCTACCATTGGAGAAAACAGCTGAGCAATTAGAAGAAGAACGAGCAGAAGCCGAAGACAGAGCTGAATTACCTGATTTTTCAGCCATGTCTCAACAGCAGGTAAAAGCACCGCACTGTTATTGTCAGAAGTATTTTTAATAACTAAGAATAAAATTACACTTAATGTTTCAAGTCAATTAAGGCGAAAAGATAAATATCACAAATTAATTGTATTTTATATTTTCAAGTTATAATAGTACAATCAATTCGCTTTGTTTTTTATATGGAATTGAAAATTAATCATGCGCGGTTTCAAATTACCATCCTAACTTTACTAACTTTGATAAATATGTACTTATTTATGCTGACTTGTCGTGGTTTTTCATCGTGTGCGGTACAGTATCCATCGAAGGTAATTAATCATCCTTAGTGTATCAAAAATGTCGAAATTTGCTTTTGTTTCCATTACGTTTTGTTGGCTTTTAATTTGACAAGCTTATGTATACATAAATGTATGGTAATTTATAATAACGATTATTTTATTATATTTTAAAAGTATTTATTTTCTCACTTTGTAGTTTAAGTTTTTATAAACTAAATTTATATTTATCGCAGAGTATCATTGGTTTTCTTTTGTTATTATGAAAGATTTGTCTAATATGACACTGCTAATCATAATATGAAATTTCTAGCGAGGTCGAAAACCAGCCGTCGTTCAAGTGATAGCGCCGTACAAAGCTACCAGTATCGAACAATTGGATCTGCAAAAAGGTCAATTAATTATGGTCCGTAAAAAGACTGAATCTGGTTGGTGGGAAGGTGAACTACAAGTAAGTGTACAGAAATATAATGCGTAAAATCAGTTGAAAAAGTAGTTTACATGTCAAATAATTGTTTTAGGCAAGAGGCAAAAAAAGACAAATCGGATGGTTTCCGGCGTCGTATGTCAAAGTTTTGCAGAGCTCACGGCCGGCAAGTAATCGTAGCACACCTGTGTCTCATCGTTACCAAGACTCACCTACAGGCGATCCATTTGCTGGTTTGTATTTTAACATTGTAAACTTAATCATTTTATTTCAGCTTATTTAAATGTAAAAACATTTATTTTTAGAAAAAGTAATGGCACTCTATCCCTACAAAGCACAAAATGACGACGAATTGAGTTTCGAAAAAGGCGACGTAATAGTCGTTTTATCAAAGGACGAAGACTCGTGGTGGCGTGGTGATTTGAATGGCACAACGGGGGTATTTCCAAGCAATTACGTATCATCAATGTGTAAGTAGATTTTATTTTTTTGTTATCTAAGTATTACCCAAAAATCGAACAACTCAATTTTTACATTGTTAGTGTAGAGCTTGTTTTATTAGAAGTAAACTTCATATTTTCCTTAGGACGCGTCCAAGTTTCAAACGATAATTTTGTTTATTTACCATTAAATTTTTTATTATTTTATTGTTTGTTATTTTTTATTACTTATTGTCCTGAAAAAACACTTGAGATTTTTTACGCGCATCGCACAGTTATGCACAAATCATGAATCGAGATGCGTTGATTTAAAAAGCATAACGTTACATAACATTGTAAGTTTAATGTTGAATCTTTATAAATGATTAACCAATCGGCACTCATCCATCCGAATATTTTACAGTACAATTCCACAAACATATGTAATACGATTAAATTATTTTAATATTCTATTCTTAAAAACGGCTAAATTACCTAATAATAACGAGTACTGTCAAACCGCAATTACCATTATTATAATGCATCATCATTTGCAATTAACTATAATCAGAATTACTCACAATCGTCTTCTTTTTTATTGGGGTATTATAAGAATTTTATTTTGAATATGTTGCTTCAAATCTATTTTACATTTAAATTAATTTTTTAAGTTCGAAATAAGTAAATTCCTTCGTTTATTTATTTTAGTTAATTTTAAGTACATTTTATGTGATTTATCGTCGTGATGTATGAAATATACTTTAATGCTTTTGTGAAAAATGATAGAAGATATAATTTACTCTTTTCGTTTTACATAATTCTTTATGATTTTTAATTTCAATTGTACAAATGCATGGAATAATTTTTAAGCTTTGGTATGCGCTATGATCGATATTTATTTATTTTTTTAATTTAGATGCGTGAATTTTGTACTAATTATAATTTTGGCTAACTAAATATGGTGAAAAAACAGTTTTGGAAAAAAAATGTATTTCAATGAGTGGATCGATCCTGAAAGAGATTCTGTAGATTATGTCTTTATAATTTAACTGTTATGTAACATTTTCAAATTTGAACTTTAATTATTTTGATTAATTCGATTTTATGATAAAGCTTATTTCGAACATTTTCTCATATGCTTTTTGATACTTACAACTAATTTTAAGATATGCCAAAATTACTTTTATTCAAAAATTACCTTTTTTATAAAAGTGGTAAGAAAAAAGTAATTAAGTAAACGAAATATTTTAAATCTAATTCGGATCGATCCCTAGCTAACACCAAACAAAATCGTTTTTTCCTTTTTGCATGTTTATTAATTGATTTAGCTTATAAATGCGAAAGAACATAGGTAGTAGCTGTACAAGTCAAAAAATATTTGTTGTAAAAAGTATGTTAAGGTAAAAGTTATTTTGACTTTTTGACCACCGAATTTTAGAATTTTTTTATTGTAAATATTTTCAATATCTGTGGTTTAAATAAAAAAAATTTTTATAATTTAATATTTTTATTTGATCAATGTAATGCAATTATGAAAATAATTTTTTTTTTTTTATAAAAACAACTACCGTGCAATTAACATTATTTTGAAAATTATAATTTTAATTCTAATTTAATGAGAGAAAAGTAGTGAAATCAAGAAATTCCTAGAAAAAAGAAGAAAAATTTTACCCGGATTAAAACCTCGAACTAAAAAGTAGACATGAAAAACGAATAAACTTTCAGCTTTCGGTTTAATGAAGTTCTTTTCAATCTTTTTTCTAGCATTTTCTTCAGATTACTAGTCATAATTGTGTTAAGCACATAGCTTAAAAATAAAAAAAATTATATAATTATTTGTTACTAACCAATGTGTTCTTTCGCTTATCATTATATCGCAGCGTAAAGAGGAGTGACTCAAGCACCACAACGCTTTGCAGCCAAATTTATAATAACCATTAAATGTTTGCCCAATTAAATAATCAACTCATCATCCATGCTAATTTATACACTTGGCTATTGTATTTGTACACATTTTATTACAAATGTTGTTCTACTCGGTCTTGCACGCATGTAAATCTAATAACTTTAATTACAATTGATTCGCCACAACATATACAACACCAACATACCGAAACTTCTTAGATTATCGCTCTGCCTTAAAAATAATACAAAGTCGTGCTTTTATAATTCTATGTGTTATAAATAATGAAAAACAATAAATCTATACCTTTGCGCAATCACCTGAAGAAATTGATGACATCGGAGGATTGACCGAGCTAAGACTTGTCGAAGGATCGAAGTGCGGCATCAACGAGTTCGATTTCATCTTCGTACGAATTTCTCTTCAGGAGCGTAATCGGAAGCCCAGATTATACGGATATAAAGCATAAGATCGCTACGAGCAGCCCTGTCGTGACCTCACGATTGATTCATGAATTGTAATTATTTATAGCCACTGTGCGTGACAGATAAACTCGCCAGAATGTGAAAATTATAGTACAGAGTGATAATTTATGTGTGATGTGCAGTGATGCGAGATTATTATAAATATTCATATATACGTGTATGCATATATACGTACACGAAACTGAGTTTAGGAAATTAGATAGTTTAAGTTGCAAAAACTAGACTACGAGCGAAAGAAACCAATACTCAATCCCTCTTTCTGCCCGACGGATGTAACGATTTTAATTATAACATTATCATGTAACCTGACGGCGAAAGCCCTTGAGTAGTACAATAGAAGAACTTGATAACGCGATGAAACTGCCGTTAAAATAATATGGGCTGAGCCTTCCTACTATTTAATTCGAATCGGTGAACAAATAAAGATTAATTACGTTATGAAACGGTGCGCACACCTTTCGAATAGGTCCCGTTAAATACTTAGTATAACACATGCAACACGACCATCGCGTGAACACGGATATTAGTATTGATAAAATTTACCATCATGCATCAGTGTATTTAGCCTCTATATTATGAATATAAAAAAATATTTATTGCCATTTAGAAAATGCTATTGTAAAAGACGTTGTTGAATTATATAAATATATGAATTTGAAGATGAACTATATCGTACGTGAATGTACGATTTCTAGCGACGATGCTTATACTGTCGTGTGTTGTTTTAAAGTGTGCGAAATGTGAAAGATGATATTACAAAACAAATAATGAATTCAAATTATAAAATTGAATGCAAACACATCATTGAATATGTAATCACATGAAACCATGTGTCTATTTATTGTAATGCGCTTGGTTACACCAAAGTCATAATAATGCTGAATTTGAAACTCACGCAAACTCACGCGAACTGTACTAAATTGAGTTATTAAACCAAAATGAATCTTACAAGTTGAATGAACCTTTCTACTGTAAATATTTTCGAAGGTTATGAAAAAATTTGGATGAAAATTCGACAAGCTCAGGAGCTGAAAAATTATCGGGTTATTATTGCGTCATTGAATGCAGAAGTAGAAACATCCAATTGTTGTTGACTCCCCGCGAGAAATTGATTTTTTCGTGTGTTCGATCGAAAATATCTCTTGAATTTTTGTGTAATTTTGTAAGCTGTAGTCTTTTTTCTAGCAATGAACATGACGTAACCGGTTTTATAATTTATAAACAATATAAACAATTTTATTTTTTTCAACGTACATTTAAAGTTGTTACTTGAAAGGTCAGTAAGTAAAGTAAATGACGTAATAATTAACGTGAGTCGTAATATTAAAAATGAATGTTAATTAACGTTTTTTTGTCTTATCTTGGATGTGAAATTACAAATTAAGTACGTACTATAATTTTGGAACTGTACTAAAAATGCAATTTCAAATTGTTACAAGTAATGCAAAGACAATTTTATAGCGGCCTAACATTGTACCTGTTAATTGATGTCTTCGGGACTCATATTGTCATTTACTTTACATGCGCAATCATTGATGTTTTATGTATAAAGTCATTTTATTTTAAAAGATATTTTTATTTTATTATACTTTATGATAGTTATTGAAATAGTAATGTTGTTTTGTTTATTGATTATATAATTATTGCCATTTTACGGAATAATATTTTTCATAGTTTGTTACATAGATGGTTATTCCACAAAATTTTTGTACATAAACATATGCGTGAGAATTATGTATAAAAAATATTTCTATTAGAATTGGCCAATTATTAGAAAATAACCGCATTGTCATTATTATTATTATCATTATCATTACACATATATTTTAAATTGACAATTAATTAAGTTTATTGTTTTATTTAGTGTCGTATTAAAAAAAATTTACTCTATCGATCACCGATAAAGTTGTGTTTCGATAATAATGAGAAATGTTTATGAATATATTGATCTTGTTTTTTTTGACAATGACAATAATATTTTTCTGAATTTGATATAACCAAAAAAGTACGAACATTAATCCAAAAACAATAATCTTACCATGCATTTCCCAACAAATCTATTTAAATACCTATACCTAGAGAAATATTGCATCACAATTACGTCTTTCATGCTTTTCACGTGGCAGAAACGAATAGAAATAACCCCCTTCATATAAACAAATATATGAAATGCACATCCTCTTATACTATCAATTTGACGACAGATTTCATGTGTTTTAAATTCGAAATTTATTATAACAAGAAGTTTTTTACGTTGTGATACAGTTATATTTTACCCAGTGTTTATTTTCATAATTTCGATCATACATTTTAAACAAGTGAACAATGGGGAACTTTCACAATTATCAAAGTGCCATAATTAACAGTATAACTTGAGTCAATTTTAGACTTGTTTTTTGTCTTCGATAATGAGAGTTATTATTTTGATTGATTTGAGATAAGCACATATGTAGATTATTGAAATCAAATATTATAAAAAGTATAAATTATAGATCAAAAATGTCTAGTATTGGAAATCTGTCGTAGTGAGCAAATAAATAAACTGCTTAAAGTTACCCTTGACTTTTAATCAAACTTCACGAGAGTAAATGCAGATGAAAAAATGTGAAAAATGAAGATGAAGGATGTTACGCGATAATGATACGTAAATGAGAGTAAACAAATAGATGAACGAATTGATTAATATGTAATGGAAAATCTTGCAGTTAGTACGTAAATCGACTAAAATTATTTTATAAGAAATGCCTTCTTAATTATCGAATATATTAAAACTCTATGACCACATATTATAACGGCAATATAGGTACATATAAACGTGTGTAATATTTGTATGATATGTATATTGTCGTTTGAAATTTAAATCATAAAGAATACAAAAACTCTGGAATTTCATGATGATAATATGTAATATGTATGAACTTTGTAAAAAAGCATATAAGATCATTTACATGATATAGTAGGAGACCGCGAAATGATTTTGGAACAAAATCTAGTAAGTTTTGACACAATTATTTCCACTTACGCACTGTTTTGAATTAAAAAAAATAAAATTAAAAGATATTTTGAGTAATTAATTTGACAGAAATTGAATAAGAAACAGAAACTTTTTAGAGAAGCCGAAAGTAAAGAATTGATAATTATTTTAGGATAATCAGTTTGCCTTTATCTAAATTTTTACAAATTGCAAGCTGTTAGAGTATTCACTATATGTAAAAAGAAAAAATAATAAATGTTTATTATTTATTATAACGAAATTGTGATTCATAATTTTTCTGAATTAACATCATTATTCGTGTATTTTTATCTTCATTATTTAACAATGCGGATAACAAATTTAGTTTTAAAGATCAATACTAAGCACTGATATGGGGACCCATCAAATATTCGTGAATTAAAACATAATTCTGAATGTCTGTAATGGTCTCATATATTTGCTGAAATTGTTCCTTGTTTTGTTTTGCCATTTAAATTAAAATGTAATTATAATAATGTACATTTACAGAAATAGAAAATTTAAAAGTGGGATTTTGGACCATGAACTGCATTTATTATATGTTAAAAATTACTCACGTAACGATTCTAATTGTACTACATTTCATACAAAATCACTTAAGAACTTTCTTTCGCATCGAAAGAAAAAATAACTTGCAGTGACCGCACCGGATCATTTTACTAAAAGTTATTGACTTCATTGTGACATTGTTGAAATATAAAATATTTCTACGCAAATTGAAACATGTTTCTCAAATTTTCAAAACTTGGAGTAAATACAAAGGATCTTAAAGTTCTGTTTTGCACAAGGAAAACTTAAAGTGCAATGAACTGGTGGGGCAAAGAGACTTACCTCGATTATATAAATCTATAAAAAAAATAATATTAAAATATCTTGATTATCATTATGCTGGATAAAAAACTATACGCTGTGAAGAAATTGATTTGAAAAGCTTTTGAAATTTTTCCGATCAAATCAATTTCATGGTCATATGAGATTTGTTCTATTGATTTAAAAGGTATACGACGTAAACGTTGTACAAAGTACTTAAGATTTCGGAGTGCATAATTGGTTAATCATTACGTAAAAATTAAAATAGTATCATACGTTGGGTATAAGTAAAAATATACATGTAATCCACATATCTTGTACCAAAACATGAATGAGTTCAGTATCAGTAGGATGAAACTTGAAAGTTTTCAAAAACGATGGCACTCTGTAGTGACCATTAAAAACCACAATGTAATAACAATATAGTCATAATACATGCATAATAGAGTTGGGATGTAGACTTGTTTATCTAAAATTAAATATTTACTTATCACCACCAATATCATCATCATCGTTCAAATTAAACCACGAATTTATTAATGAAGTATACATGAATGACGCGCAAATATGTATCGTTCAATAGTGATGATAAGAAAATAAGTATTTAAAAAATATGGAAGTCCTGTACATTATCACTCATTTATGTGGACATAAATCGTGAATATAATTTACGTTTAGAAACACGTGAAGTCAGCACATAGTCGGTAAAATTTAACATGAATCAATACGCTGTTATTACAATTCATAATCCCATACTTACCGTGTTATAAACAACGAATCGGACTCAACTGTTCATTGAATTTGCAAAAAAATCGAAAATTTTTATCCGCTTTAAATGGGAAACTAAAAAAGACCCGATCGCTACGAGTAGATACGTATATACATACACCCATCATGATACTTTGAGCGAATTATAATTATAAATTAATATAAAGAAAGGTCTTCCCAAATCCCCTGCGAATAAAATCCGTCAATATACGGAACGATGTTAAATTCTTGTTAAGCAGGATGGGTAACTTAATTAAGAGGAATCAAGCTAGTTCTAGAATCGAAAGCATTAAACTAAAACGGGAATTATGTATAAAATCCTATTGTATTCTCTGTAGTTGCTCCTCTGTTGAAAATAAATACGAGTTAAAAGTTCAATTTACACAAAGTAATAATAATTATTGGAGATGTATTAGTATATTAGACTAAACGTCATTTCTCAAACATCTATCGTATTCGCACTGTCTCCTTTGAAACCTCGTCTCTTTAGTTAAAATTAAACATAATAACCTGTAGACCTCGATAGGTGCAGTCTATCGTGTCGATCTTCAAAAAACCACAATTACTTTTTCGAAGAATTCAGGAAAAAAGCAGACATATTCTTTGACTGATTTTAAGACGTTTGTGCTTGTTGCACTTTGCAAATAAAATGCACAGATTAAAAACGTGGTTTTTTACACTTAAACTTTTCGAGAAATTTTTTTCATTGTCGCGTTTTTAAACTTGGCAATTTTTTTCATGAAAAAGAACAACTTCAGCGAGATAATTCAAGGAACAAAAAAGCCTCTAAATTAATCAAAAACTATGTCTGATTTCTTTTCAGAATTTTTTGAGAGCTATTTTGAAAAAAGAGTTGCAGTTTGGCGGGAATTAATAAGTGTTAGACACTGCACCTATCGATATCTGCGGGGTGTTTTCTTTTATTTTTACCAAAAAGATAAGGTTTCAAGGAGTAAGAGTGAACATTAAAGCTATTCGAAAAACAACGTTCAGTCTATTTTATATAAATATATATAAAATAAAGAGATCTCCATGAAGTTGCGAGTTAGTCAAAGCTAGACCCATTTGAAAAAAAACCTATTTCACTTGTACAAAATGAATGATGAAAAAAGATACTTTAACGCGTGAGGTTCATTTACAATAAAAATCAACAAAAAATTCGTGGAGCGCACAACACACTTACAACAATCATACACAGTCACAAACACATTATAAGCTATCCTCGACACATTTGCAATAAAAAATATTGTATCCATGACTCGCATTTAATAGTATATTTATACGAATAATAATGAGGATGAAAACCAGGTTGAGATGTATAACATAAATGTATCGGTATAAATGAGAATTTCAAAACACACGTCAAAAAAACAAGTAGAGAATAAAAAATGAGGAAAACTTGTACACTTACCAAAAAATGGTTTTAGTCATTAAACAGACTAGTGTACAATTGTTGCAAGCTTCACCTCTTCGTGCATGAAAGCACACGAGAGTTTAAGGCGTAAAACAAAAATATCATTAGAACTGAACAAAAAAAAAGACGTTTTCCGAACAAAGATTTTTCTATGATATATCAGTGAGTAATAACGGAAAGAAAATAATAGTAATTTTAAAGGATAAACTGAAAGTGAAGTGTGTAAATGACGCTGTTGAAAAAGTTTTTGCTAAAAAAAAAAAAAAATAAAAAAAGCGTTTGCGTATGTGTGCGCGTGTATGTTGACATTATAACGTGTATGTTTGAATATATTATAAATAAATATATACATGCAGAAAAACCGCATCTTTACCAAAAAAAATTTCTGTAATTATGTTCAACAATTACTATGATTATTATTATGATTATTCGTGTAGCGCTATTCCTGAGATTGTTATCAATGCAAGACTTATATACATATTGTTTCTCGTTGTATTGTCGGAATATTAATAAAAAAGAACATGGAAAAAGAAATGCTTGATATTATTCTTCATACATTTCAATTCCAAATGATTTTTTTTTTTTTTAATATACATTCGGACGTTGGAAGACTTGATCATATTTGGTACATTTTATTTTTTCTTGCAACCGATTTCTAAATATAAAACTTATCTTGATAAATTCATCGAAGCAAAGTCACGAGATCAATATTTTTTTACCCCCGTACAAATTCCCACTTTCTCTTCTGCATCTCATACCTTTTTATTATTGCTTTATTGGGTTGGTTCTGGGCGCGCGCATAGTAGTCGAAGATGTTTTCAACGGCAATTCAAGCTTGACGACCAATCAGCTACAGCCAAACAATAATCACAATTACCATCACCATCATCATTACCACCAGCCACAACACAATCATCAGATGGATTCGATGGAGCGCAAGCGGCAGGAATATATCAAGGAATTGATCGCTACCGAAGAAGCTTACATCATTGATATGCAGTTGGTGCACGAGGTAAATTATGATATTCTGGAGTCGATAAGATTTCAGTTAATTTTTAAATTGATAATTACAAATGTACAAATGTAGGTTTTCGAGAAACCCCTTCTAGCCAGTAATGTACTGAGCGTTGCCGATGTAGAAAAAATCTTTATCAATTGGAGAGACATTATCGCATGCAATGATAATTTCCTCAGGTACTGTACACTTATTTTCACTTAACTGTTTTCCAGCTTTGAGAATGTTAAAATTGTAATTGCTTTTACAGAAATTTAAGAATACGAAAGGCCTACAGCGAAGGAGGCGTCGTTCGAATGATTGGTGATATTCTATGCGAAAGTGTAAGTTTACGGTCACTTTTCAATTCAAATGATTATTATTCAATCGCATCTACATGATTTCACTTTACGTTGCAGATACCACAAATGTCCGCATACGTTAGATTTTGTAGTTGTCAGATCTCATCGGCAGTATTTCTGCAAAGATTGACCGAAACCGTACCAGCTTTTGTTGAGGTTTCTCAAAAATGCCAACAAGATCCTAGAACCAAAGGAATGCCTCTGAGCTCGTTTCTCATAAAACCAATGCAGCGAATCACCAAATATCCATTACTAATTGGAAAGGTCAATAAAATTTGAATGCAAATAACTGATTACATCTATTTTCTAGAAAAATTTCGATCCAATTATTTTTCTCTCGCAATTGCTCCTACAGATATTAGAATATACCAAAGCTGATCACCCAGATAGACAGTATTTGCAAGAGGCTTTATCCAAAGCCGAAGAATTTTGCACTCAAGTGAACGAAGGTGTACGCGAAAAGGAAAACAGCGACAGACTTGAATGGCTGCAGACGCACGTAAACTGCGAAGGTTTAGAGGAAAAATTGGTTTTCAACTCTTTGACAAATTCGCTAGGTCCCCGCAAGCTTCTACACTACGGTATTTTACACAAAGCTAAAAGTGGCAAGGAACTCGTTGGATTTTTGACCAATGACTTTTTAATGTTTGCTCAACCATTGAAATCACTACCGAGTGGTCATCAGTTCTCGTTCGAACGTTGTGAAAACCTCAAATTCAAACTATACAGACGAGTGAGTTTTTAAAAATCACGAGAATTCAATTTTATAAAAAAAATTTTAATTACAATCTTTTCACGACACAGCCAATGTTTTTGCAAAATCTCGTGATTTACAACGACAGAAATGACTCGATTGCCAATGGCCGTGGTAATGTCAGTCCAGGTACGCAAGGTAATGCCTTTTTCGGCACAAATGGACACGATTCTCCTCTATCATCGTGGGGAAATGGGGAGCAGGCTTTGCGCACTTTGAAGCTGGGCGATGGCAAAAAAACTATAACACTCGTTGCTCAATCCGTCAGCGAATGTTCTCTATGGGTCCGTCGAATTGCTGAAGCAAGAATGCAATTTGCAGAAAAATCACGATTACTTAGGCAGCGTTCGAGTAAGTACTACTTGTGGCCACCTACTGCCTTCTTCTTAAGACTGTTGAATGGTGCTAGAGTTCTGTTCGGTAGGCTTTTTTGACTGTCATTTCATCATCGTGAATGCGAGAAAATGAGTGTGCAGAATATGTGTGAGTGTGTAAATAAAGTACATCTATTTGTAAGATTGTTGTATGTCATTATTTCCATTTTTTAAATGAAAAACTTATCTTTACATTCAACATCATCTTTATAATTCTTAAATTGTATAGTTTCTTTATAGCTGTTAATCATTGTCTGAAATTTGAAAATATAAAATATAAATGTTTGTTTTGTCTTTGATGATTAGAGCAAGCGCAATTCAAAGCATGTGGAAGAATACTTGTGACCGTACTCGAAGGATCGAGTCTTAAAACTATAAATGGTAAGATCATTCATTCATGAATTACACGTTAACTTAATATCACGTCTTTTTAATTTTATGTATTGGGAACACTTTTCGTCTATCGCTTACAATCATCGTAATTTCTTTGTGCTTTTATGGCGCATGCAGAAGTAAGATCTGTATAATAATGTGTCGTGGGGCTGAGGCTGTATTATATAGGTGATTTTAGCTGAGTAGAATATTACTTATTTTTCATTTCTTAGCAGTTTTTATTTTACTTTACTAACTCCACCTTCTGCTCACACTTTCTTTTCTGTAGTTCGACAAACACGACCGAAGGGTTACTTTTATGTAACGATCGAGAGGGCTGAATCGCTTTTCTATAGAGTTAGAGGTAATGTTTGAATTGAACATTTTTTTCTTATTTTTTTTTCAAATCGATTTGAATTCTGAGCGGGAAAAAGTGGGTATATGAAAACTAAGCACAATCGAAATATTTTTTTATTTCAAAATTTTTTATTAAAAAATTCAAATCAATACTTTCTTCACATTATTTGCTTGTTGCGAAAAGTTTCAGTAGTTTCAGGTGATTATAGAAATACAATAAAATAGTTTTAAAAATATTGTCATGGTATAGAAATTTTTAGAAAATATACTGGTTATAAAAAAGTAGAACATTTCAAAAATACTTATTTTTTAAGTATCTTATATCCTATCAAAAAAATAGTTGCTTAACACTAATAATATTTTATCTTCATATTCTTATATGTAGATATACAACTATAAATCTCATAAAAATTAACGGATTAACACTTTTCGATTTATTATAATGACTACTTGTCAATAATTTGATTCATTTTTTACACAATATCGGTTTGGATAAAAACTGTTTGATAAATATTTAACAATATCAAATTTAAGTAATTAGTAAAGCGTGTTTTTATTGCATCGCAATAAAGTTCAATTACGTTGAATTTTTCGTAATGTTTTTAATATGAATATGGAAATCGAGTAAGTGTTTTGTGTATTCTAGGTAAATGCAACGCTTTTTGTAAGGTCACAATGGGCTCACAAGAAGAACACACAATAGTCGTTTCAGGCACAGATTGTCCAGTATGGGATACTTCGATGCAATTCAAAGTTAAAAATTTGCACGAAGATACATTGTGTATTACTATTTTTGACAAAGGATATTTTAGTCCTGATGGTTAGTTCGATCTTTTTATGAATATTATTATTTTGTTTTTCGTCAAGTAATACAATTTTTTATTTTTTCAATCAAGAAAATAATAAAAACTATTTTTTCACTTCAGAATTTTTGGGACGAGCTGAAGTAAGAGTCATCGACATAGTGAGAGATAGCAAAGATGCTTGCGGTCCTATCACTAAGCGCATAAAACTACGTGAAGTTGTTCGAGGAGATGTAGTCTTAAAGTTAGACTTGCGTCTTTTTGACGGTTAATTCCATGATAGGAAAAACTGTGAAAACTATTGTAATGAGCGCATAATAGTATCGTGATTATAAATCATCATCAGTCTTAGTTATGAGATTTTAAGGAAGCTTTGGTGAAATAATTTCCCAATCAGTAGGCATTCATAGATTTCCTCTGAATGATCGAGTATTTTTAAATTTTAATACATTGCATGTAATTTTTCTGCGAAGTCTGATTATTTCTAGGCGTTAAGTAATTGATAAAATATTTTATATTTTACTTGAACAAAATAGAAAAGCTATTTTTCTTGTAACGACAATTTTACGAGTATTGTGAAATTTGTATAATTTTTAGATAAATGTATAAACAATTGTTATTTTCATACCACAAATGCTCTCTTTCATCTTAATGAAATTAAATCATTAAATGATAATTCACCATAGTTAATTACTTTACCCTTAATAATTTAGAAAATGAAATTGTGTGATGCTTCATTGAAGGATGAAATTTTGTATAGTAAAAAATCATTATTATAATCCCTGTTACAAAGGGCACAACACATGTAGCGGCTAATAAGTGGTGATACCAGATTATTTCATAATTAGCTGGTATACTCATAATAACCAGGATGCTGGCAGCAATATTTTCACAAAAGCATATTGCATAATAAAAAATGTGTCGCCAATAAGTTCCATTGTCATCTGGATTTAAATATATAAATATATAAACAAATCCAAAAACACATGAAAATAGTGTTGACTTTATTCTTTCCATATATGTTAAAGGTAGATGAGGTACTCGATTTGATTTTTGGCAAAAAGTTATTAATCCTCTAGATTCTGTTACTACCCACATTGTCATACCAAGCCAATGGAAGAAACAAGCTAGTATTACAGCCATAGATGAATAAACTGCAACTGCTGATACACATGCTATGCGTGAAGCTGAAATAATAATAAAAAATTATTTCAAAGATGTATAACACAGGGTAAAATTAAAATTCTTTTCCATTACTTGTAATTAGTAAATGCCACAAAAACTGAATAACAGATCCAGCAAAATTTATATTTCTTTTGTCTACTTGTGCCATACGTATGCTACGATGATAGCTCACCATTGCCCATGCTAAACTTATAAAAGAGCTTATGATGCTTATTATTTGATGCAAAGCTGTGGGTAAATAGATGATAAATTTAATGAAGAGCATATTTCAATCAACAATTGAAAATTAAGAATAAATTATTCAACTTACTCATAAGACTGAATTCACCTTCATAATCTTGAACAAAAATAGATAATTGCAAAATTTGTTGTGGAGCTGATTCAATAAAACACTCAAGCACCCTTAAAAGTGCAACATCTTGTTCTGCCTTCAGCATTTTAATAAAGTACTTTTTTTGCTCTAATCTGTTCTTCTTTCTTCCATAATAATTTGATTTTAAAGCCCATTTTAAGCTGTAGTAGCTACGCTGAGCCATGGTAAATTGAAAAATAATAATAAACATTACTGTGAAAAATTTACCGATTTTTTTGTAGAAAGGGGTTGATTTTGTTTGTTGACCATGTTGCAATTTTTTCTGAACGGATTGAAATTTTGTTAATTTATTTGGTATTTTTACAAGAAATGTCACATGTTTTAATTACTTTACCTGCTCATCTTGTTCATACATTTGCAAACTGACAATGGTATTTATAAAAGATGGTACCAGAATTAAAGTAATTGTCCAGAGGAACATTGTCATTTTGTTATTCAAGTAATATTGAACTACCAAATTAACATCAATTCCAATATCTGTGCAATGAGTAACGATGGACAAAAATAAAAATATAATATCCCATGTGGATATAGCACAATCTTTCGGTGGTATATCGGTAACATCTTTAGGATTTTCAACATCTGTTGTCTCTTTGCTTGGCTTCAAAGCCTTGGATGTTTCTTCGAGCTCCATTGTGGACTAAAAATTGATAAAAGTCATGAAAAAGCAACAACAACGCGTTGCTTAAAAATAATATTACTTAAAGGTTAATAATTGTATGCTTAACAAGCGAATTGGACGAATGAAAAATAACTGCACGATTTCAATGTCAATTATTTATCATTTATTTTAAAAAATTGCGAACCTTGTTTGTCGCCTAGTTGCTGCGGTTGATAGTGACTGTTGTCAAACAACGAACGCGGTTTTTTATGCGGGCGCCGAGCCAACGCGCTCCGCGGCAGACGCAAAACTGCAAAAACAACAAAGAAGTTTTGCTCATTGTTTTGGCGTCTCGCTTCGTGAATCGCAATGTATACATGCATATTATTGCACCATACAATCTTTCTAGCGAGATATATTGGATTATTCATGATTATTTTAATTATGTATCGATAGTAAGATTTTGTGCGAATTGGCCACATAGTTGAAAATTTCAAATTTTCAATATTATCCGGTTTTTTTGCTATAGTACTTTCTAATTCTCATCTGCAGTCATATATGGAGCGCATTTTTTTTCGAGTAGTAGTGCCATCTCAGCGTCTGCATTCCGAAGAGCAAGCTTATACTGATAGTGACGTCACTGCCATGCGGCTTGCCATTGCCCATTGTATTATGTATACTGCGCGCTGGTATATTAGTTGAGAGTTTGAAACACGCGGCGCGTCGATCGTGTAGCAGTCGAAATTAAATGCACTCGCAAAGTCGCAACGCAACTGAAGTCTGAAATCTGACTGATTAAAGCAAATCTTACTTGCTCTGGCAAGGTAAGTTACTAGGTATACAATCAAAATACAAATACTTGCTGCCGTATGGCTTAAAAGATGAAAAAGTTACAAAACTAACTTACTAATATGTGAATCGCTTTCAGAATTAAGAAAAAAGTTTGAACGATTATACAAGTTTACGGTCGTTACACTTGGTAGCAGAGAAATTGTTATAGATATCGAAGAATAATGGGTACCAAGTCGAAAGGTTATGAGGGGCAAGAGTGTCTGCAAGCCCTCTTGATTGCTGACAATTTCAACGACAATTTGAGCTATGCCAATAACATTTATCCTGATGCCTTAATGCCAGTTGTTAATACGCCAATGTTAGAATATGCCTTGCAAACCTTGTGTACTTCAGGTGTGCAGGAAGTTTTTTTGTACTTCAGCAGACAAATCGATTACGTGAAGTCGTGTTTAAAACCGTTGAAGAAACAGTTTGGTGACTGGATTAAAATTACACCCATTTTTTCGGATGGCTGTCGTACATTTGGTGATGCAATGAGGCATATTGATACCATAGGATGCATCAGAAATGACTTTATATTGTTGAGAGGATCTGCTTTTACCAATGCTGATTTGAAGGATCTCATGAATGTACACAAGGCAAAAAAACGAGAGGACAAAAATGCTGCCATGACAATGGTTCTAAAAGATTTTGGCAATTTGAAAGATACTACATTAAGACATGAACGCCATATATTATACTCCAATGACAATACTAAGCAAGTGCTTCAAATTATAAAACATCCGCCTGGAAGTAACAATTTTCACATGCCTCTTCAATTTTTCTTAAGCAATCAGTCGGTTACAATAAAGTCTGATGCAGTAGATACTCATGTGTACCTATGTTCACAATCAGTACTTTCATTATTTTCAGACAATTTTGATTTCCAGGTAAATATCAATTTTATTTATATTAAATTAAATTTGAAAATAACTGTTGAATTTTTGTTTTTGCAGACAATAGAAGATTTCATTCGAATTATTTTGATTAATGAAGAACTTTATAATACTAGAATATATTGGCAGCCACTTCTACCCACAGATTTTGCATTGCCCATTCAATCTTGGAGAGCATACAGATTGTTGACAAAGTTTATTTTGAGACGTCATGGTCATCCTTTAGCTCCAGATTCTCGTCCTAAATCTTTGCGCGAATATGTCTTTACAAATGTGCTTGATATGTCATACAAACATCATACTGCACTTTTATCTAATGGCGCTTCAATCGGTAAAGATTCAATTATAGGAGAATCTAGTGAATTAGGAGAAAATTCTGCAGTTAACACTTCAGTTATTGGTGCTAATTGTGTTATTGGCAAAAAAGTATCTCTTGTAAATACACTCGTTTTTTCTGGTGCAAAAATTGGTGATAGTTGTGTCATTAAAAATAGTATTATATTTGAAAACTGCACAATATCCGCTCAAACAAAACTAACAAATTGTATCATAATGCCAAATGTGATGTTGAACAAAATTGAAAATTATGAGAATACTGTGCTAGAGGTAGCTTTAAACAATCAGTTGTCAGAGAAGAAACTTGAAGATTTAGAAATTTACAAAATTTTTTCCACGGAAATCAGTTATGATGAAAAATATGATGATTTTGAGGATCCTCACAATGATCATTGTCATTCTGATACATCTTCTACAAGAGCCTCTACACCTACTGCAATACTGGAAGATGATGATGAGAACTTCTTATCGGAAGTTATTGAGAGTTTACACAGAGGTTATCAAGATAAATTGGAATGTGGACCTTTAATTATAGAAATTAATTGTTCAAGGTTTGCTTATGACATCCCGCTGAATCAAGTTTCATACAACGTTATGAAAGCTATACTTATTCTCCCTTTTTTACAAAATGAAAAACATCTGCCTTGTGCAAACATCTACCGCTTTTACAAAATGAAAAAGGAGGAAATAATGTCTATAACAGCGGCAGATTATTTTAAATTGCTAAAAAAAATTTTGACATACTTCAAACCGATACTGGTGAACTATGTAAAGCCTGAAATAGGACAAGAAGATTGTTTACAGGCAATAGAAGATTTTGTTTATTCTAACAAAAAGTACATAATGCCATACCTTAAAAATTTATTACATTTATTGTATAACGACGACGTTTTAAGTGAGCAAGTAATTTTGGATTGGTATGAGCAAGAATACAAGTCCGATTCTCCTAATGCAGAAAATACGTCTGATATTACAGAAAGTCCAGAGAAAATTGCTATTCAGCTGAGAAAAGAAATAACTCCATTTATAACGTGGTTACAAGAAGCGGAAGAAGATTCGTCGGACGAAGATTCTTCTTAATTATTACATTTTTGTACAGTGTACATGTTTGAAAAAGAATAAAATTTATACGCTTATTTGGTAAAATTATGTTTAATATTCTTTTATTTTAGTAAAAAAATCTATAGTGCTCAGAAAACAAACTGGGCTCAGGAAAAAATGTATCAATAAACATATCTTATGATTCGTCGTCACTGTTAGCTGATGGTTTTTTGAGTTTTGGTCCACCGGCTCGTTTCGCCATAATAATCTGGTCAATTTTCAAAATAGTGCAAGCTGCATTAACAGCATACTTGAGACCCCAGAATTTGGTCAAGTAAAGATCAAGAATACCAGCTTCTTTAGCGTCAATCAAGGCAGCCGGAGATCCCTAAAATATATTAGGCGTAAAAAAATCGTAATAACGACCCAAATAACTTTTTAAATTTTGAATTTTTAGCTTACTTCAATGTCAAATCCATGATTAATTTGGCCACTCTTATGCGCTGCATACAATTTCGATATGATTTCAGTAGCTTTCATTCCATTGTTTTCTGCTAACGTTTTAGGGAAAGTTTCCAGAGCTGTGGCAAATTTCTTGACAGCATATTGCTCCAATCCAGGTAAGGTTTCGGCATAGGACATTAATTTTGTGGCCAATTCGATTTCAGTTGCTCCAGCTCCTGGGACGCAACGACCGTCGCGAGTAAGAGCTTTGTAAGTATTGACACCGTCGTCGATGGCTCTTTCAATGTCATCCATGTAATTATCAGTAGATCCACGAATAATAACCGTGCTTATACGGCTTTCTTGATTTTCAAGCTTGAACACAACAACGTTGGTGTCTCCAAGCTCATCAACATGAACGGTATCGCAATATCCCAATTCTTCTTTTGTTGGTGGAGTCTAAAAAATTATCACAAGAAGTTCAAAAAGTTCTTCCAGATTTAGTTAATCAAATATTAATAAATTTAAAAGACTCACTAGTTTGGGTAGAGCTGTTGCTCCTACAGCTTTACAAAGTCGTCTCAAATCAAATTTGCTAGGAATTCGCACGGCCATAAGATTATACTTATTAGCATAATATAATGCCATGTCTCCGAATTTACCTCCAGATACAACAACAGTAGCTCCACTATCAGCGATTGCTTTTATTTGATTTTCCAATAACGATTCTTCGCCCCGCGAAAAGTTCATTAATTCGTCGGCACTTTTGATCAAAACAGTACCCTTTGTTTCAGTTTGACTAATGTCAACAGCACATGTATAGACTGCTACTTTAGCATTCAAAACCTTTGTCACATCACCTTCAACTTGTCTCTTGAAGACCATTCCTTGAACAACCTGTTCAAAAATAATATAAAGCATTAGATTGAGCGTTTCAATAATGTTTCAGTAATTTTAGGTGTCACTTCAATATTACCTGTGAAGAGTACAGTCCAGAGCCCAAAATTTTACATACTCTGACATTATCAACATTGAAAGATACTGTATTGTTAGGTGCATTCGAAGGTACAATCGAAATGCAGGCTTTGCAAACAAGATCAGTGATGAATTCTTCATTACCATACTGTTTACTCATGATGGCAGTTTTGACAGCAGCTTTAATTTGATCCATATTTCTTACATCATCAGGTTTATAGATGACCAAATTTGGAAGTTCTTCTAATGCTTTTTCAAGACCTACTTCAAATCCTTCAATAATTTCTGAAGAAGTAACTCCCTGTATATAAGATATGTTAATAAAATTTTTTTAAGATAAACTAATAGAAAATAAAAATCAATATAAAATAAAGAATAATAATAACCATTCTGAGTAAATCTTCAGCATTATCCAATAAAGATCCACCGAGAATAATAACAAAATTAGTGGCATCACCAACTTCTGCTTCTTGCATTTCAGAAGCTAACACCAGTAATTTAGCTGCTGGGTGTTCAACATCCAGTTCTTTTATAATAGTCGCTGCATCGCTAGTAACAAAAAGCTTTTCTAAATGATTGATGACCATTTTATTCATTCCATTTGGTCCGTAAGCTGTTCGCACAGATTGTGCAAATGTTTTGCAGGCTGCTATATTTCGATAAGCAACTTCTTCCAATCCAGAATGGAACTAAAAATAAATCATATTGTTACAAGTAGTAACAAAAAATACATATAATTATGCCAATATAAACCTTGAAAAAATTTCGCGGGATCCTAAAGGAAATTTTTTCAAGGGAAGTTATAAGTGAAAAAGAATGGGTGATGGCAGTTTCATTTTCTAAAGTATCACCAAGATATATTCTGGAAAGAAATATCTATAAATAGTGGATCTTGCAAAATCCGATTTATGGCTAGATTTAGTTTTGTTTTGAAAATTGTCATAATTTTGAATAAAATTAAACATAACAATCAAGTAAATATTTGGAGGATTTATGATAGCTTGGTCCCACACAAAAAAAGTTGAAAACTTTAATCAAGTATTATTTAAAATATTTTCTGAAGATCACGTGTTTTAGGTTAGCAAATCAAAATGAAGAAAAACAATATAATTAGTTAAGTTTACGTACTCTGACACCATCCTTTAACATTTGGGCTACGCCCGGTGCTTTAGGTACATGCATAGCCATTTTTGCAGGACGATTGAATTACAACAAATAAAATTCGTATATTAGAGAAGAGAGACTGATACACGTTTCAAGTGACTCAGTCGCGTTATTCGTGGGTTCAGCGGCACAAGGCGATTCGGTTTCCGCAAATTTGCTGTTCGCTGGCGCTGCTCCCACTGCCGGCCGCAAAACGAATGAAACTGTAATAATACCATAAATAGTATGTGCACAGAAGTGTGCTGGTGTGAACTATAGACGTTCACACGAATATTGCAGACGATTATTACAGATCGCACACTTTTCACGTTGCAATTGTGAATATTTTAGAATTGCAATTGTTATCAGAAGTATTAAAAGTCAACCTTGTTTTCGTGTACTGCTTAAAAGTGTTTGAAAAATATTATTAGTTATTTTTCTCTTTGCTGAAATCACGTGTATCGATCAGATACGAATCTAGATTCTTGGTTTTTATATTGTGTATTTTGAAAATGGCAGTGTCTCAAAGTAAGTCAAATAAATTTTTGATATAAAGAAAATCACACTAATATAAACGTTTGTGAAAACAGGGAATTTCATAAAGTTATTAAAATTGACTAATCTCAGACAGTCAAGTACAGCAGCTCAGGCAATGCCAGTACATGAAGACATTCATCAATCTTTTCGAACAAGAGAAGACAATCCAGAGTATCATGGAATGCAACATATTAATAGGATCTACACAATACCAAACAACGATTTGAAAATGATTACATGTCAAGGGTTAATTACCATGTATATGAAACAATTCAAAACTTTTGCAGAAGCTTCTATTCTTGTACGAAAACCTGCAGTTGAAATTATAAGTTATCTCAATCAAGCAGATTATTCAAAACCAGTCAACAAATATGTTCTTTGTATCCTTTAAAATATTATGATTTTGTGTATAATCTATTAATGACAAAGTTTTCTATAAAGTATTATTTTCCTGAATAATTCACTTATAGATGGAGAGGATGGAACTGGTAAAACTTCTACTATGCTCCATACATTACATTATGCATATACTAAAGGACAAATTATTGTTCATGTACCTTGGAGTATGTATTAAATTTTTTTTAAATTTGATCTATTCAATTGCATAAGATGAGTTAATTTTTTTTCAGTCCGCAGTTGGTTTGATGGTCCAAAAGAGACAGCTAATTCAATAACAAAAACTAATAAGATTGATTTACCTCTTCATGCAGCTGCATGGCTAAGAAATTTTAAAACTCAAAATCAACATATTTTAAATAAAGCTGATGTAAGTTTACAAGCTTTAATATATAATTTTGTACAATTGTATACAATACTGTAAATCTACAAGCTTTAATATAAATATTCACAATAATATGACCATCATTTTAACAGATCAAATTATCTGCTACACATGAATGGAGTGCTACTGAAAATTCTGCAAAAGATTCATCATTGATGGACATGATAGACTTTGGAATAAGCAGGATCAAATTTGCCTCAAATGTTATAATCAAGCTAATGTCAGAATTAAAGCAAGCTTCAACATTAGGAAAATGTAAAGTGTTAGTTGCTATTGATGGATATAATGCTTTATTTTCTCAACAAACTAATATATTTAATGACAATAAACAAATGGTTCCTGCCTCTCAAGTATCTTTGACTGAAGCTTTTTTGGATATCACCAAGTCAGATTGGTGCAATGGGCAAGTCATTGTGACAGTTGATAAAATGGCAACTCAAGTAATATATGTTTTTGTATTTTTTTTTCAATTATAAAAAAAATTGTTAAAGATAATTTTTTAATCAATAATTTAAAAATAAATGTTCAGGAAAATGCAGAGTCTCACTTTCCAAGATACTTACTCACCAATGAAGGATTTGATCATCTAGATCCATTTTTACCTATAAGTGTAGAAAATTACACTGAAGATGAATTCAATACAGTTATAGAATATTATAAAAACCGCAAGTGGATTCGAAACCTTTCTTCAGATGGTCAAAAAGAATTGCAGTTGTTATCCGGTGGCAATCCTTACAAATTGATGGAATATTGCAAACATTTGTAATCTTTTGCAATGGTAATCAGGCTGCACGTTAATAGAGCATTTGTAAATATTTGCACTAGCTAATAAAATTTTACAAAATTATTTCTAAAAATAAAAATTTTATGTTAATTAAGTCATGACAAGAAAGATCCTTTATTCAATAACATTTAAAGTGAAATACACTATTATTTCCCCATAATAAAATAATATACATTTATATATATGTATGTTTAAATATTGATGTATATTCATGTATATTTATATAGGTTGTAAGATATCTAATGCTTTATTTATATCCCCATTTTTAGAGATTAATAAGTTTGTAAGCCAACCACCTTCATTGGAAAACCCCATCTGTTTCATGGCTGCAAGTGCATTTCTAATTTTTGGATCCAATTTCTTTTCATCTTCATTATCATTTGGAGGTGGGGGAATTCTACGATTTGTAATATTGCTTGCTGCAGGCTCATTTTTTTGCTTTTCCTGAAAAAAAATTGAAAACATTAATTACTACAAAGTTACAGCCACTGATGCACAAGTAAACAGTATAAATAATCATACCACAACGGGAGAATGAGGAATGGTTTCAAAAGCATCAGTTTTTTTTGGTGGTTCAACTTGAGAAGCACTTTCTTGCTCCAGCCAAGTCCACTCATCATTTGGAACGTTTTCCCAAGAAGACTTTTTCTCTGGTCTAGAAGAACTCGGAGGAGCAGATGCTAATATGTATGGTAATGGAATGGCTTCAGATTTGTTGCTTTGCATAGGTTCCTCAACTACTTTCGGTTCATCTGGAGTCATTGAGCATTCAGCTTTGGCATCATCTTTAACTGGATTTTCGGATTTGTTTTTCTCTGATTCATGTTGAGTTTTAACTTTCACGTCAACGTCAATGCCAAGAGGATCCAAAAATTGGGCAATATTTTCACCAATTGTCTGGAGAAAATCCTTTTGCTTTTCTAAATCAGCTTTGGAAATATATGAAGGTGAGTCATTGGTGGCGTTGCTAGTTTTTTTCGCCTCATCATCAAAAGCTGCATATTTGTTGCTAAAATTTGCCCAATCATTCATATAAGTTTGAAATGTATTAAACCATGAAGCTTGGTCACAATTGTAAGGTGTAGCATTGTCGAAAGTTTGACTCTTATTAGAATCTATTGAATCTTCGAAAGGACAACCTACTGCCTTTTTCAAAAATTTATTAAAATGATGAGTCAAGCGTTTTCCGTAATGCGATCTCCAGTTCAAAGGTACGGGCATTCGAATCATGCAATGCTCTGGATGGTGGCATTTAGATTCGCAATCCTTGCACAAGTCGTAATCCGGGCACTGAAGACATTTGTAGCGAAATCCGTAAATATTCTTGTCGCACGAGTCGCAGTAAATTCCAACGTGATGGGTTTTCGAATTCATCGATGGTGTAGCATGATTCTTGGCGGAGTTTTCCGCAAACTCATTGTCCACCGTCTCATTGCAGGCTATTACAACGTACAGCTTGTGAGTTTGATGCAAAATTGACATATCACTCAAAGCCAGTTTATATTCTTCATTAGTTGAAATCTGTATCTCGTCGTTCTCGTCATCTAAAAAACAAAAAATTAACAAGTTGAATTTAGTTTACATGCGACTGTGCAATGCAATGAGTCATGCATACAAATAATTAATATAAAATACCTTTCCAAGAGAATGACAATTTTTTATTTTTTAAATGCGGAAAAATGTCACACACTTTCATTTGAAAGAATTCAAAATTTTTGGACATATCAGCTGGTATAGCGAATTTTCTAATTTCTGCTTTTCCTGTAGCTTCATTTTTGAAGTAAACCTTGAAATTTTCTGCAGGTAGCGACATTTTGTGGTATCGCGATGAAAATCAGTTTCTGTCAGCTTAAATAATTAGTGGAATGAGTTGACGTGAATTACTGATCACTGCACTGACGAGACTGCATCAACGTAAATCGATTTTATATGATTTTATTCGCGATGTGTCAGGGCAGACGGGCTGACCTGTACTGAACACTTTTACTGCGTAGTAAGAGTTGCGTACTTCAAATTTCACCAGTGAGAGTAGACTGGTTCGTGTCCGCACTCCGCATGTACTGTGAATTCGTAGAACAGTGTGAAACACGTATATATACCTATGTATATATATGTTTCTTATTATGTATACGTGTAGTTTTGTTTATGATGGTGATTCGGTCGATAATCTAAAAGCCGCAAGTGGCAGCACCTCCGCGTTGTGTGATCTTTATATATTTATACATTTATATTTATACATATTATAATGGTAGCAATAAGCAGAACCCCTCTGCGCTGCCGGGTTTCATGCTAGTTGCTCCGAATTCATTAATGGCCATCTCGGAAATAGGCATCAACAAAGAGCTGCGACTGTGCTGCCACACGCGCGGAATCAGAAAACTGCCTATGTTACTCGTATGTATGCGAGTTTTGATGAAATTTACACAGGATTGAAAAGTGTAAACACAAATGTCACTCTGACTCGGCAAGCAGTTCGACTAGCAGTTTTAAATGATTATTATTGATAAAACATTTTTCATTATATATTTGATGCTACAAATCTTTTATTTTGTAGTTTGCCCAGTTCACTGAACGCCTGAAGATTAGCTGTATAATTAATTGACAATAATATTTTGATACTTGCAACACATATCAAACGCAATTTACCAAAGACAGAGTTTTGATTAAAGGTTTTTACTTTAATTCAGCGGTCATGAATTTGGAACTATTAGGTGAGAGACCTTTCTAATATCATTTTTATTATATTGACTTTATTCAGTACTGTTTCATGAGCATCAATCTTACTAAGGTTACATTGATAAAAAATTCAAACAAATAATATAATCAATTGGTTTTGTGTTACAGAATCTTTTGGTCAAAATTATCCAGAGGTACGTTAATCGTTTAACTTATTTTGTGAAAAGTTGCATTTGATGTTTCATAATTTTTAGGAATTTGATGGCACATTGGACTGTAATTCCTTGGCAGTCACTTGCGCATTCAATAAAAGAGGCACATTACTTGCTGTTGGCTGCAATGATGGAAGAATTGTTATATGGGATTTTTTAACAAGAGGTATTGCAAAAATCATCAGTGCCCATGTACATCCAGTTTGTTCTTTGAGGTATATCATAAATTCATATGCATAGTACTTATTTTTAAACTATCATTAATTTAAACATTTCAATGCAGTTGGTCAAGAAATGGTCACAAGTTACTAAGTGCTTCAACGGATAATAATGTTTCTATGTGGAATGTTCTTTCTGGAGAATGCGATCGCAAATACAGATTTCCAACTCCCATTTTAAAAGTTCAATTTCATCCAAGAAATTTAACAAAGTTTTTAGTGTGTCCAATGAGACATGCTGCAGTAATTGTTGATATTGAAGGAACTCATCAAGTTCTTCCCCTTGACCAAGATGTAAGTATTTTAGTGGCCAATAAAGGAAAGACTAATTTTTGATATACTAATAATTTTTTGCAGAGTGACTTAAACATTGTTGCTTCGTTTAATAGACGAGGAGATTATATTTTTACGGGTAACGGTCGTGGCAGAATCTTAGTTCTCGATGCTAATACGTGTACAGTCAAAGCTTCTTTCAAAATATCTCAAGGAACTGCCAGCAATACTGCTGTAAAAAGTATTGAATTTGCTAGAAGAGGCTCGTGCTTTCTAGTAAATACCGCAGACAGAGTTATCAGAGTTTACGATAGTGTCGAAGTTTTAGCATATGGTCAAGACGGTCAACCAGAACCAATACAAAAGCTGCAAGATCTCGTCAATAAAACTACGTGGAAAAAGTGCTGCTTTTCGGGGGACGGTGAATACGTTTGTGCTGGATCTGCGAGACAACATGCCTTGTACATTTGGGAAAAAAGTATTGGAAATTTACAAAAAATTCTTCATGGCACAAAGGGTGAACTATTGCTCGATGTTGTGGTAATTTTCATCAAATAAAATTCATGAATTCAGATACAATTTATTAACGTTTTAAATGGACTTTATATTGTTTGGGTATGATTTCAGTGGCATCCAGTACGGCCCATTATTGCTTCGATATCGTCGGGAGTGGTTTCAATATGGGCTCAAAATCAAGTAGAAAATTGGTCTGCATTTGCGCCAGATTTCAAAGAACTCGATGAAAATGTTGAGTACGAAGAGCGTGAAAGTGAGTTTGATCTCAGTGACGAAGACAAATCTATTGTTCAAGGGGAAGAGGCCCATGATGAAGAGGTAGATGTAGATGTTGCATCGATCGATCGAGTAGCTGCTTTTTGTAGCTCCGATGAGGAGATTGAGGATCAAGAATCATTACAATTTATTCCAATTTCTCCGGACGTTGAAGACAGTGACGAACCACCCAGTGCAATTAAAAATGAAGAAACACCTTCAAAAAAATTCAAATACCACGATATTGATTTGCCAAATGCTCCGACTGATGGTTAGTGGTCTATTATGTTAGTTATTGTTAATTTATTAAAATAATCAAATTAATTCAAATTTCTATTGTAGCAGCTCATCCAATGTTTAATAAAACAAAAGACAAGCCAGCAGCTAAAAAGGGTAGACCTAGATTGGAACATCGAAAAGGCAAATAACAAGACTGATGAATTAAAAATAATGATGATATTTGCAATGGATGATTTCAATAATACATGTGTACATAGATATATTTTTTAATAATTATAAATTAAATTCACAACGTAATGGTTCGTCGTAAATGATCTTAGCATACCTGTTTTGAATGAAATTTAACTTTTTAAATTTGTACTGACAGTACTGATATACTTAACTTATTTAATTCTAATAGTATTTACAGTAATTACACAGACTTAATATAAAAAAATTGAAATCCGAAAATGTCAAAATTATGTGGCATTAGAGTCAGGTAGCGAATCTGACGTCGCGCTTTCATCAGATTCTTGGGAAAGCTGTGAATTAATTGAGACATTGTCATGCGGAGATTGCGGTTCTTCACTTTCTTCGTCACTGTGAACCTTTTCATCGGAGACATTGGTACTACTGGAGCCTCTTCCTTCGTCGTCGCTATCATCTTGGGTGTCTTGAGCGGATTCAATACTGGCTGACTCATCCTCGGTATTGATACTTTCGCTATTGTCGAGATCCGTGCTGCCGTTGAATTTTTCATCCAGAGGTTTGCCGTTTTTCGTTGCATCCCCAGAGGGAGCTATTTCAAGGATCTCGTCGTTGGCAGAGGCAGCAGCAGTGACATCGCCAGCGGGACTTGCCGTAGGTGCGGATACAATTGGAATCGTGAAGGGCGTCACTATGGGTATCGAGGGTACCGCAGGTTTAGGCTTATTATTGGTCGTGCTCGCGGTCGTTTGCTCGCCGGTAAATATGTCGAAGAGAGCACCCAAGCCGAGAATGTCGTCGTCGTCATCCTCCTCCTCTTCCTCTATATCTTGTTCCGGCTCTCGATTCTGATCGTTGGCCGCCGAGCTGAGATTTGCGTCATCGCTCTGCACGTTGGCGAGCGGGTCGTAATCTGTATCGTCGTTGTCGTCCTCGTCCTCCTCGTCCTCGTCAAATCCAAAGATATCGTCGTAATCGTCGTCCACGGACGTCGCGGCTGGCGCCGGGGTCGAAATCGCGGGGAAAGGCTCGGCTGGACGGAGCTTCATGCCATCGGGTCCAAAGCTAAAAAAATAAGAGAAAAGAAAAAAATCAACATAAAATCCTGCTGGAATTCTCCAGAAAGTTATATTGGTCACTAATGAAAGTTTTTACGTTAGACGTAAATCAAAGTGAAAGTGTTTGCCATTACCGAAAACAGCTGACTCGGAGTGTAGCTTCGAGCTCCGCCGCCGACCTTAATTCGAGACCCAAGCAGGCTTTGAAATGCTTGTCGGTATCTTTTTTTATGGAATAAATTTTTCCGCAAAATTTGGAAAAACCTCCTGGCAGCGACACGCAAACAGGTTTTGGGCTCTTTCCTGCAAAACGACCAAGTACGATATCGTTACGTTAAAGCAGAACTCGAAATTGTAATTTTACGTGAAACATGGCAAAAAGGATCGCAAATTTTACCATTGATTATGTTGCTCGATAAAATGTTGTCACCGATGCTGAGCTGCATGGCAAGTTTGTCGTCCTGGAGGTACTGCAGAGAGGCACAACCTGCGCATCGAATTTTCGGGTGCACGTTAGATACATGTATTTTTATAATTTAAATAATGCAAAGTCTGAATACGAAAGGCGTGAAAATGTGAAATTGAGACGAGCGTGCGATGACTCACCGGGACCAGCCAATCGGACCAAAGGAATGTGAAACTCTCGGCAGCAGTTACAAATTCTCTCGGCGCACTTGCAGTACTTGTTGGTGGTATCCGAGGGCTGCTGCTGTTGTTGTTGTTGTTGTTGTTGTGGCTGCTGCGGCTCGGCCTTGGAAATGGCACGAGGCACCGATCGAACGGCATCGTTGCTCTCGTCGCCTGCGAGTCGCGCAAAATTCGAACGTATTAAAGGGGGGAATTATCGGTAAGGGATCGGCAAGATCGCAGATCGGTACTCACCTATGACTCGGGCCTGCACCGCGAAGGCGATGATGAGGAAGAGGATGAGCAGCTCGATGATGATGGACAATCGCATGTCGTTGTGTTTGGCGCGCGCGCGGATAGTCGCGGAGAAATAGCTGATAAATAGCCGAGCGTCGATCGGCAATTGGTGAGCTAAATCTTACTCTCGCTCGAGAGCGCTCGGTCGATTCTGGAGAGTCGGGCTGACTCAGCTGGGCAGGGGCTTATCGCCACGGGCCGATCACAATGAGTCGCCAAGAGAGAAAGTAGCGGCCGTCGAGAATAATATATAGCGGTCGAGTAGCGGGCCGCTGGTTTAACGGGATCCGCGTACGTATGTAAACGCGCGTAAACGTACATACATACAGACGGGCAGAAGAGCGGCTATACACCGAGCTGGCGCAGCTGCTGCCTGTAGCGGGAGAAAGAGCGCAGCTCGGCGCGATGATCGCGTGGATGGAACTGGGTCAGCGGGTCAGTGGGCCCCTTTCGTGCGCGTTTCGCCGCGCTCCTGCCCGTCTCCGATCGCTATATACACTCCGAGGACGGACTCCGCAGCGTCGAGACTTGGCTTACTTAGGGCCCGACCGCGATGCAGCCGCGCCGCCGGATCATGCTGTCGCAGCTGCTGCTGCTCACCTCGCTGCTCCTAGCGATGCAGCTGGCAGCCGCCGCGCAGCCTAGCCAATCTCCCAACAACAACAACAACAACAACAACGATAACAACAACAACAACAACAACAAGTCCTGCCTCTGTCAGACTTCCAGCTGTCTATGCTGCATCGAGTTGAATCTCACCTCGTCGATCGACCTGGGGGGTGCAGCCTGCGTCAACGTCCAGCACCGCCAGCGCAACGTCTCCTTGAACTTGAACTACGGCGACAACCCCACGCACAACGCCACCATCGCACTCGGTAAGTCCAGGGCACTTTGCTATATATGTACCTATATAGACTCGAGGGTAAAAAGTGTCTATACTGCATCCATTGACGATCGCCGATTTGCAGACGGAGCCGCGCACAAGCCGACCTGCATGAATCTGCTCTCGGACCTTGCTCAGATCTGCGCAAAGTTCGAGTCGATGAGCCGCGTCCAGGCCGCCGTCGACGAGCCCACCTACAACGGATGCCTCGTGCTGCAACCGGCCTTGCTCGGTACTCCCCAAGCGACCTACCCAGTAGGTTGCTTCTCTTTCGACCACGGCCAGGTGCGACAAATTCAATCTTATAGCCCGTAAGTCATTGCCAAAAGCCACCGATATTTCTCACTTGTCGCCTGGAGATCGCGAGAGAATCGGCTCGCGCCGCTGCCTCCGCGTCCGAACAAAAGTATCGCAAGTATATATAAGATCGTACTTTTCTTCCGACGTCGGTGTGTGCGAGCGCGAGCCATAACGATCTCGTCGGCCGATCGCCGATCGACGCATTATACCCAGTTAACTTTGCTTATTTCAGTCCGGCTTCGGAATCGTCGCAAGCTCCGCAAAACCCAGCCGAGCCAGAAGAAGAGGACGAGGAAGAAGACGACGACGATCAGAGCATCAATGCCGAGGAGCTGTTGGCCGTGGTGTCGGCTAGCGCCGAGCAGGGCATTGCCCTGTTCTCGCAGTGGCTCGGACTGAACTTGGCTCCGAGGGTCAATTTGACCTCGCTCGTCAAGCCCGCGCCGCTCAACGCCACGCGCAGAGACAGACAACTGCAGCAGCCGAGCGTGGCAGGCAGACGCGGACGCACCATATCCATCCTCGGTGACCACGACCAGGTGAGACATTGTCGCGCTGATCCTAATTCGATTCCGAACCTCTCGAGACTCGTCCTCTAATTCGCGCACCATTTTCGCTCGCAGGACAGCAGAAACGATGAAAAGTTCAAGCAGCTCCTGAGCGCGCAGGACAACGTTTTGAGAGAATCGGCGACCATCGGCGACTCTTCCGCTGCGGGTATGGGCACGGTATTCTTTTATCCGCAACTCGACGCGCCTCAAGCTAACTCGAGGCCCGAAGCGATCGCGATATCGCCCGAAAATCTGGCCATCGTATCCTCGGAATCTCGTCGAGGTGGACGAGCCTATAACATTCATCAACACGTCAATGAAGTTTGATTGTAATCGACTGCACTGATATCATTATCACCATCACTATTCGATAGTTTTAATTAAGACATTAATACTGCGCTGTACGCCGACGACAGTTATTTGCAATAACGTGCACGATTGTTCTGTTCGTGTTTCGGCTTAAATGTGTAATGTAAACTAGACGTAAGCATCATAAGTTATTATTATTACTTTTACTATTATTGCTATTACTATGAATTATGGAAAAATAAATTTGACATTCTGTTACGATGGCAGGAAATTAATAATCACAAAAATGACATACAAATTATTTTTCAAGTATTTTTATTTGTTTTACTCAGGAGATTCCGAACAAGTGCTACTTATACCTAAGGTGGTCATTGATTGACACAATTTTTAAACCGCATCAACTTTCTCCCACTATTAAGTACACATTTCAAGAAAATTCGAGATCCAGTCTTTTCGATTGCTTGTATGTAAAAAAAATGTATAAATTGAATCGTCGTTGATATATCTTTATATTCCATTGGTACAATATGCGTGAAAATTTACAATAAAAACAGTTGAGCCTACAAACAGTGCGCGGAAAAACATGATAATTTGCGCATTTTCGGAAATTTACATCACTGTAGGTACCAAGAGTTACTTATACATACCTAAATCTATTTCTATTTATAAATATAATAATTATAATAGACCAGTCTACTTATTGATCGAGTTTGCAATTGAATTGTACACTGAGTTAATATGTAAGCATCATGATGATTTCTATAATATATATATTTTATTATACATATTATGTATTCAAAATCTTTATTCATGACTGTAGGTAAAAACATAAAAAGTTTTCGAATATCTAATACTGAAAGTACAAAAATTTCTGTATAAAAACGTAAAACTTTACGTTGAAAATTGATTGCGCACATCAACATAGTTACGGTTAATACATAAGTACAAACTACTTCTGAATGTACAATTTTAGTAAAATGTATATTATCCATTATAGAACAAGTGAATACACTACTATGATCAAGTGAAAAATGATTTAGAGTTTTCGAGCGTTCCGGTGACTAGATAATTGTAGAAATAATTATCGTCGAGTATTTGATCAACACGTTATTCCACAGTTTTCGAGTCTATGTATATATTATTTAATACATAAAAATGTAACTATTATGATAACTATGCATGATTGACATTGAAACTGTTAGTTTTTTATATACACAAATATATATATCACAAAAGCAACTTGTCGACAGAAACAAGTAAGGACGGCAAAATAAGTCATCGAATAAAAGAACTATTGGTTAAGTGTGGCAGTGTAATTAGTTTCATTGGCAGGAATTGGTTGTCCCAGCGGAACGTTGATTTGGAATTCACTCGGTTGATTATCTAAAGTTTTAACGTTAAGATTATTTTCGGCCTGGAATTTTTCAAAGCCAATGTTCAAGCGAGATACTCCAAATTCGAGTCCCACTGTATCTTCAATTTCGGGATTGGAACCCCAGACTTCCTCTCCTTCGCTATCTGTAATACAAAATGATTTTGAATTTTTTTAAATTCGAATGTAATTATTATTGTATTTAACACAAGAAAAGAACTTCAACCTACATTGTAAATCGTTGATTAATTGAACTGCTGTTAAAATTTTGGCTCGGTGTTCAGGGTGTTGAATACGCAAATAATCTAAATCGGCCGGCTCTAATTCACGAAACAGTTCGAGATCTTCATATCCATTTAATAAAAAGACTGAAATATAGTCCTGAAAAGCGCCAAAAATGCATGTCATAATCATGTATCGGTAATAAAATCGATAAACAAGTATAAACCTATACCTGAAGTTGCATTCTTTGTAAAAGCTCGGGTACGGAACCCGGCTTTTGTTTGTACTTATTACTCCAACGTTTTTTGGCTACTACTTGCGGACGTTCATTTAAAATTTCCACGTTAATGAATTTAAAATGTCCCAAGCGATTGTGAGCAATTCCTCTCCAAGATCCACTGGCATTCATCTGTACAACTTCGATTACTTCACCTTTCTGCGAAAAGGGTAAGAAAAAAAATTAAACTTTAAAATGGTTGATAAAAAAAATTTTTTTCAATTTTTTACCTTGAATGCTAAAGCATCTTTATCGTAAGGATTAGGCAGGCAATCAACGAGAGCGCGAGCTCTACATAATACATGCGGAGGTTTGTATCGGCTCAATGAGGTAGTCGAGGCATTGGCACATTGTATTTCTCCTTGATGAGGACTGATTGGTTCACGGTCCTCGTACGAAACAGAGCTGTGGTTACTTCCAGCGCGTACTAAAGCTTGTGTGCTACTCGAACCGCTACCACTGGGCAAGCTTTCAATACTACTTGCACTACACGGGAAGGCAGAATCGCCAAATGATCCTCTTTGCTGCTTGAGTCGAGAAATCTTGCGTTGAACGTCCTTACGGAGAGTTCGAGCTCGTCCAGCAATCGTGCTAGTCACGGGCACACTTTTGCAGCAATCGGTATTGAAACCTTTGAGATTTTTAGCTCCATAATTGGTCATTTGACCTGGTGTCATTGCAACCAAGTCAGATTGTTGTCGGGCCTGCCAAACTTTGGACTGGAATTGAGATACTTCTGGATCTTCGTAATCGGTACTTTGACTTCTTGGTGAATCTCGATTTTCTTCGTCACTACTTCGACTCTGAAAAAAAGTTATTTCAATTTTTTTCGATAATTTATTTTGATTTTTATAAATGTTTCTGTTATATGTTCAGTTTGTATGACTCACTTGCAAATCGCTTGTATACTCGCCACTCTCACGGCAAGTTCTCGAGTGTTTTAATGGGATAACAGTGGGCATTATATTATTTCCTTGAGGTAGAATGAGTCCACGCCTGCTAGAACAAGTTATCCTATCTCTTTCTTTTGGCAAGCTTATGTCACCAGCAGTTCTCAAAGAAATAATGCCTTCGTCTTGTTTCTTCAAGTAAGTACCCAATGTATTGCAACCCCTAAACAAAGAAAAATACAAAGTTAATTGACAGAACAAATATTTTTTTTTAGTCTGAGAATACCTGTTGCTTGCAGCGCAGCTTTTATTTAAATCTTCGCTATTGTAACTCATGAGAAAATCTTCCGGATCAGATTCATAAGGAGGTTCATCATACCAATGTTGGATGTCACCTTGACCGCCAGTTTCCAACTTTTGAAATTCTTTGACCTTGAGTTCTTCATCATACATGTATGTATCATCTTAAAATGATTAAATACTCTTTATTGTTTTTTCCTAGTTCTATTGCATCAATAGGGTAATTTATTTTATTGCAATTTACTCTTACCATAAGGGTCATGTGAATCTCTACCAAACTGCATCAAACCTCTACGAATATCTCTCAAGATCTGAAAAGTTATTTTTTGAATTATTAAGGGTTTTTTTTTAATTAGAGTAAAACATGTACTAACCCTTTGTGGAACTCCCAGTTTAGATGCATTTAATCTAGGAGAACTGTGTATGTGTCCATGTTTATCTTTTTTATTAGTTTTAAGTCCTCTTAATATTCTTGAAAAAGTCATTTTCTTTTTGCTAGAATTGTGTCCTTGTTCTGAAATGATGTAAAAATATTTGAGTTGTGAGGGTTATTAGATGTAACAAAAAGAATAATTTTTTCTTACCATTGGGGGGAAATTCATAGAAAAATGCAGACCTTGGACTTAAACAGCTAGAACATGAAATATTTTTGAACAAAGAGTTTGAAGTTGAATATCAATTGGCTTAAATTATATTCACCTATGTTGACTTGGCAATTGCGGTTTTAGTAAATCATTGCTTTGATAATTCTGCGTGGCAAGGGCAAGTTTTTGTTGTCTTTGTTGTAAAAGTTGTCTGCCATAAACCCCGTATCCAAATCCATAAATCTCATCTTCTTCTCTGTCACTCAAACAACTGGAAGGCTAAAAAAAAAGTTGAAGTTATTGTTTGTAAATAAAAAAACCATCAAATATCTTACTGAATATTTCCCAGGAACATAAAGAGTTTGAGAATAACTTGAAGGAAATTTCATGTAAGACATTCTCAAAGATAAATTAATTTCATGTCGTCTCAATTCTTCAAGAGGTTCAAGAACATCTTTATAGTGAGTTTTGAGACTATCTGCATATCTCGAAGCCAGTCCCTCTAAATATCCACGTTGACCATCCTAAAATAAGATTTATTTTTTAAATGTCAAAATAAAGTGCATTACGAGTAGAAAATAATGTATATTTACTGGAGTAGTGTAAGGTTGAGATGTCAGGTGGATGCCATCAGAGCGTAGTTTTTCTTGCAATATAAGTCGCAACTGCATTTTAGGTATACGAACAAGTTCAGCCTTTCCCTCTTCATATTCATCAAGAAATTTTCCACTTTGTCTAGTTGAACGATTCGGAGCAAAATGAATATCGGGCGTGTTACTCTCGGTCGGGGTAACAAGGGCAGACGTCGTGCTGTCTTTATCACTGTTGGATTGTTTTTCTAAACAAGCGGTTGTCTCTTCGAGAGTAAAGTATACGCTAGCTGCTCCTTCTTCGCGTAATCTTTTCACAGATTGCAATAGCCGCAATCTATGACTTTGCTTCAAAACGCCAATAGCATCGAGATCGGGATCTCTTATTTGTTTACAAATTTCGAGATCATCGTACCCATTGTCGACAAAAGATTCTGCGTATTCGCCCAGATGCAGCGAGTGCAGCCACTCGACGACGATGTTACAAGCTTTTGACATGTTTTTCGTTCAATATTTACACATATTAAAAGAGACTGAAGGACAATAGTTTCAACTAATTTCGTCAGTTTGATTACTCGCTAGCTTTCCAAATTATATATTGTAGTATCAGCAAACTAACGAATGCGTATTATGCTCAAAACTTCACTTAACTAGACGAATACTTTCTTATACCAGGCCTTCCACCGATATTTTTTTCAACTCAGTTCAATGGCCTGTCGCTGTCTTTCTTCTTTCACTTCCTTTTTATTTACACACACGCATTCTTCTCTTTTTTTGGAATTTGTGTCCGTGGCACGAAGGAGAGGAGGACTGAGGCTGCCTTTAGCTCTACTATTGCGAAGAGAAGCAGAAACGCACCATCTGCATAAAGGCAGCAATGCCCATTGCAACTATTAGTTACACATAGTTGTACAGTGTACACTGCTACCTGCAGTTACGAGACAAGAAAGTAGACAGCAATGCAATATATATATGTTACATTTACAGCGACTTTTACATCGACCGTGCACTGCATATCTGCAAGCTTACATGAAGAGATGGCGTTAGAAGCCATTGCGAATATCGATATTGAATTTTCTGCAGTGTCTACTGCTAGTAAAGCAGCTCGCCAGGCAGTCAATTTTAGATTGTTGAATTACAGTGTAATAACGTTATTGTTCGATCATTTTTTTTTAAGGAAATTGCAAAGCTAACCCAAAAATCCAATTTTTAATCTTATTTTCTGAAATTTCTACCGAAAAAGTACTGTATACACGGTGACTTTCATTTTGATGTATTCAAGAGCATTTACCGCCTTTTAGAGAATTATAGAGAAATATCCACTTAAAAGTTTCCAAAAACTAATTAAACATTAAATTTTTGAGTTGGCTTCGTCATCCCCTCGACGACTCATCATAATGGTCGACAGTTCCTAGTTGTACTGAAATAAAATTAAAATATATCTCGTTTCAGTGATACATACATTTTTGAGATACAATTTTTTACAATTACTCTTAAAATCATTAAATAAACAGTGCCAAACGTCTCAAACACGTAAAAAAAGCCAATTAAAAAGTTTTTGTTTAACCGTGCAGATTATAAATTCCATATCTATCTACTACATCGAAATAGAAACTTCATGATAAAATGGTTTTATTCAATTAACGCTCGTTTCAAGGATCGTTAATCACAATTATTTTATTTTAGTATTATATCTAATATTTTATTCATAATCAACACGCTAATATGTTTTCGAAACCCCTCAAGTTTAAGAGTATATGTGTGAAAAACATGTTATCGAAAAAATCGAAATTATCAAAAATCGTATTATTTGCAGTAAGTTTTTATAAAAGATATTATCCAAACACTCAATCTATTTTAATGTAATAAAAAAAAATGTTATGACATTTCCGATAATAGTATACAATAGGACTATTTATTAATAAACTGTAGATGAAAATTAATATACAATCTCAGAGTTACCAGAACTGTACAAGAGAATTTTTCATATGCCAATGTAAGGAGTAGAAATACATACATACATTTTTTCATAAAATCGCGAATGAATTGTTACATCAATTCGCTTTCTATTTGATATTTTCGAAAACTAAATAGCTATCAAAGTGCATTTTTACAGTTTTTATTCGTTAAACCTCTTTATAATTATAATAAAAATGAATTTTTCACGTTGTGAATTTATTCGTTACATAGATTAAGAAAATATTAAATACAATAGTATCGTTCAAAAACCCTTTTTTTTTATGAATCATCCAAAGTGCTCAGAAAATAAATTTTTCTGCATATCTTAACCAAAATAATATTTTCGGCCTAATTCTAAAACGAAATAGTAGACTAGCATGCAGTATTTAACATACAGTAAAATCAAAATTATTTATAATTTATCTTTCATATAAGCGGCTCGAAAGTAACTATTTCCTTCTCGGTTGCAAAAAACAGAAAATGCTATTTTTGATCTATTGGGTATGAAAAATCGTTTATAGGACTATAAGCCGAAGTCTCGGCCGTTAGTTATACCAGGATATAAATTGTTATATAATATATTTAAATTTAAATAAAATTTAATATCATATTTAAAAACTTCAAATTCAAAAGTCCCATAGTAAAATTTTAAGTACATTAAAAGCTGCTCGGTCGAGTGTCGAGAGGCCGAATTCGTTGGAATCAGCACTTTGTCGTCCGGTCGCGAGGCACTAAAAAAGCTCATATTTCGATTCTCATACAAACGCAGAGTTGCGATTATGCCCCTCTTACGAAATTTTAAGTTAATTTTTACGCAGGGCATTAGGGAGCAAAGAAAGAAGCTGTAGAGCAGTTGCCTATGAGCCGTCTGAAACCGGTAATCTCGTGAAGTGTCGGGCAAAATGTTAAAATTATCGAGTAAGACATTCAATCATTTACTATTAAGTACAGTGATTTCCAGGCGCAATGAAAATTCTTGATAGTATAATAAGGTTTTTCTATTAGATATAGATCAAGTGATTTTCATTTAGATTATTACAAATAAGAATAGCTGAGCAAGTTTTTATCAGAATTTCTTTTTTAAATTAAATTCCTTCGTAAAGAAAAAATAAAATAAAAAAGTCAACACAACTTGAATGAAATAGTGTCTTAAAGCAAGTGTATCTCAATTGAACATTATTCTCTTAGATTTTAAGGTATGTAATCTACGATGCAACAGCTCATTAATTTTTTACTCTATTCAATAATAATGCGTCGATTTTTGCGTCGATCCATTATGAGAAACCAATACTCACTAAGACCCTTCGAATGAAATTTCAATTATGCTCACACAATATTCTAAAAAATGAAGAAAAAATACATATTACAGTATTGTTTTTCTTTGTTTGAAGTTTCATTGAAAAATCAAGTATAAAATCTGTAAACCGATTGTTAACAGACGTAATACTTATATTTGCAATTAAACTTTAATTAAACTTTAAGCACCTATAATTTTGGTTCTATCAAACTTAAAAAGTTTTTACATAAACCAAATTGAAGGTAATTTTGTTATTTTTGAAAGCTTCTATGAATATAGTTTAAAGTGTAAAATGTAGAAAGAAAATCAGAAATACGAGTGCTACTTTAAAAAGGAAAACTACTTTACAAAAATTCTAAATATCAACCCTATTTTTACTTATTATTAAAAAAAAATTACGCTTATTGAACAGTCACCCTTTATATCTTTAAGTTTAATAGACTTCAGGTTTTGATTATTTTACGTGGTTAAAATAAATGATGTATCAAAATTGTTCCAGCTCCACTAATAACATAATAGCACATTTAATTTATTGATAGTCGAAACCCTTATAAATTCTAAAAATGCATATAATTTTCATTTCATAATTATAGAATTTTGAATATCATTTAACGAAATAATTTAAAGTAGAGATTACTTGGATTATTTATTATCACTTAGTTTTTATACAAATATATATACTATTGAACTATACACTCCTAGTTTTATATTTCTTCATTAAATACTTATGAACGAAATGAAATCTATTTTTTGAAATAAAGAAAAAAATTGAATGTCGTGTATTGCAGTAAACTTCGATTTTTTTTTATCATATTTCCGACGGATTTGCTTAAAAAGTATATTTAACATGTACGATACAACTTTAAAAATGTGTAATATATTTTAATCATTTTTTTAAATTGTGAAAAAATTTTTTTGAATCAATTTGAAGTCTCAGATTTTTTGAAAGTAAAATCGTTGTTTCTTACTCAGTTTTTGGTACGAGCATGAAATAGTGTTCTAAAACTTTTTGTTAGGCATGCTTAACGTCTTAGCTGCACGTTTGTTATTCGTGAGTTGAAAATTTACGAATCTGTAGAGTGAATTGTGATTTATTAAAAAATGAAGGACATTGAAAATCAAAGCAACAAAAAAAAATCCATTAAGTTAAGAAATCATAACCAAAAAACAGAAGTATATGATATTCTACATTCAAAAAATATAGAAGTAAGTAGCCGAAAATTGTAAAAGGATTTACCGTGGATCAGTTTTTTGCTCGATAAATATTTCGTATCATAAAAAACCGTGAATATTTCATAATTTCATAACCAGAAGGAAAGTTTAAAGTAAAAATAATAATAATTTATTTTTATGTCAATATTGAACACTCTATTTAAAAAAAAATATTTATTTCGCAATGGATTTGGATCTATAAATCAAACAAATTGTGTAATATTTTAATAATCTACTTTTATATGCTAAGTATAAATAGCATTTAATATAAATGATTCATAAAGTTGTAAATTGACAAACAAAATAAACAACAAACATGATGTTATGAGAAATAGGCTCTTTTTTCTAACATAATGATTAAATTTTGTTGATCGGAAAATTCAATGGGCTTTCTCAAAAAGTTTTTTTTTTATATAGTTCGATTTTTTGTAAAACATTTTGGTTAATTAATGTTTGAATAAAGAGATGAAAAATTATTTTTATCAGAATAAAAAATAAAAAATTACCAGTATATAAGATTATCAACTATTATTTATTACAATTTACGTCAAACATTTTTAATAATTTACCAAGAAACTAAAGTAAATGTAGAAGCTAATTAGGTTTGTGAAAGATGGAAAAAATTGTATAAAAATTATTTACTATTCATAGATAGATTTCCAAATTTTAACGTTATATTATTTTCATTTCGTAGTTTTTATAATTTTTAAAGATTTATTCAAGCTTAAAATTGCTTAGAAAATGAAGTATTTACTTTCAAAAGGTTTACACAAGAATGAATGCTGGAAAATAACTTGAAAAATGTGTTTTTGGCAGAATTGATATAAATTTCCCAGGACAATTTTTTCAGAAGCCATTCTCAAAATATTCAAAAAAATTTTTTTTTAACCCGTCTAATACCAAGAGACCCTATTTTTGACTTATTTCTCCACGCGTTATTTTTTCATGAAAACATAGTCAAATTAATGTGGAAATACCATATTTTAAGGGATTTTTATCGCTCTTTTCAAATCTGGCGTCAGATTTACGATATATGCAACCGTTTTAAAAATACATTTGTTTAAACAAAAAAAAACGTGGTTTTTGAACATTTTTTCTCAAAATGATCGTTTTTTTCAGCACGATTACGCATTCGGATCGGCTTGAAACTCTGGAACTGGTGGCATACAGGCCTAAACTAAAAGTTAGCGGCGTTGGTTCATCTAGATTCAAGATGGCAGCCACCAAAACAGCTGATTGTAGCCGAAAATGTAAAGAAAGCTTTAGTATTATTTTATTCGGTAAGAATGGACTCTACGAAAAAATTGTATAGAACAAAAAGTGCTTAGAAGTGATCAAAAAACACGTGTAAATTTTTTCAGAATTTTTCGGATGATTTTGGAAATTTTTATAAAATAACCATATCCAAAAATTTCCAAAATCATCCGAAAAATTCTGAAAAAATTTACACGTGTTTTTTGATCACTTCTAAGCACTTTTTGTTCTATACAATTTTTTCGTAGAGTCCATTCTTACCGAATAAAATAATACCAAAGCTTTCTTTACATTTTCGGCTACAATCAGCTGTTTTGGTGGCTGCCATCTTGAATCTAGATGAACCAACGCCGCTAACTTTTAATTTAGGCCTGTATGCCACCAGTTCCAGAGTTTCAAGCCGATCCGAATGCGTAATCGTGCTGAAAAAAACGATCATTTTGAGAAAAAATGTTCAAAAACCACGTTTTTTTTTGTTTAAACAAATGTACTTTTAAAACGGTTGCATATATCGTAAATCTGACGCCTGATTTGAAAAGAGCGATAAAAATCCCTTAAAATATGGTATTATACATTTCACATTAATTTGACTATGTTTTCATGAAAACATAACGCGTGGAGAAATAAGTACAAAATAGGGTCTCTTGGTATTAGACGGGTTAATCTTCGTGTAGAGTTATGAATATTTTTTGAGTAAATTGGTTTTTATTTTGTCTTGTCTTACAATAAAAATGCCATAGTGCGCATAAATCATGATATTTTAACCCATTAACTTTCAAACGGACAGAATTTTATTCTCTTTTGTGGCCTGTAATTAAATCATCTTATCAGAGCGAGCAAAATTCTTGAGTACCGATTATCTATGTAAAATTTAATGCACTTTGTGAATATGAGTTTATAATCAACCTTTAATACATATTAAAAAAGTTGTAAACAACCTAAAATTTAAAGTATCGTTGGTGGAATTTGAAGATTTAGGAACATTTTTTTTAAAGTTAATTGTTTACGAGCAAAAAGTACTTATCATTTTTTCGGGAAAGTGTATTTTTTGGTGTCCGCTATCTTTCATCATCAAATCCCATCTACTATACTTCAAATTTAAGGTTGTTTTTCCAGAATTTTGGGCGTTACTGACCACATTTTAGGTCTCGCTTTCACGATAAAGTTGTGCGGGAAAGTCTTGCAGAAATTATCCACAGAAATTCCTACAGAAAATCCTAAAGGTAACTCTGCGGGAATTTTTATGGGTAAACTTGGACCGCTTGATTCTGCAGTAATTCTTGCAGGAATTATGATGAGTGTATTGCGAATTGAATTGAAACCATTAAAAAAGCTTCGTCCCAGTTCAGCATTAACGGATTCCTAGAGAAAATCTATAAAAATTTAGCTCTTATCTGTTGGAAATCTTGCAATTTCGCATGTCCCGTAAGATTTTCTGTGGTTAATCCTTTAGAAACTCGTGAATTTTGTGCTGGTATTATTTACTTTCTTCATGTAAGCGCTTTATTCTTGTGGGTAATTCTTGAAGTAAACGCCAAATTCCTGTGGGGAATCCTTCAGAAACTCGTAGATTTCCTGTAAAAATCTTTTAGTTTAACGCTAAATTTCTTTGGATAATTCTTGGTAAAAGTACGAAATTACTACAGGTAAATCTTACGGGATACGCGAAATTGCAATGCTGTAGAAAAAAGGGATTTTACTGTAAGATTTCTGAGAGATAAACTAAATTTTCGTAGATTTTCTCTAGGAATTCAGTAATGCTGAACTGGGACAAAATCATCTCTGGTTGCAGTCATCATCCTTTTTTAATGGTTTCAATTCAATTCGCAATACATTCATCATAATTCCTGCAAGAATTACTGCAGAATCATGCCGTGCGGGTTTACCCATAGGAAGTCCCGCAGAGTTACCCTCAGTATTTTCTGTAGGAATTTCTGTGGATAATTTTTGCAGGACTTTCCCGCACAATTTTTCGTAAGGGCGCTTTCATGAAAAAAATTTTAGTCAAAATTTTTTTTTTAAGATTTCAAAATCGTGTTTTTACGCAATAAATTGTATATAACTATTTTAATATGTATCAGAGATTAATTATAAACTCATATTCAAAAAGTACTTTACATTTTACATAGAAAAGGGGTATTCAAGAATTTTTCTCGTTCCGATAAGATCATTTAAGTGTAGTCTACAAAAGAGAATAAAATTTGTCCATCTGGGCGTGAATGGGTCAAGGGCTTGACGGTACAGAATGCGAAATGTTCGCGGTAGCTATAATTTATTTCTAATATGATACGAAAATCGATATGATGTCGTCGTTTTAAATACATTACTAAAAGTAGATTTCATATAGGCCTCCTGTTTTACATACTTTTGAGAGTTGTACGTTTTTATAGTGGAGGCTTTTTTGCATATGTGTTGTCCTTCAGCATCTTATCAATTTTAAAACGTGATTTATTACTTACCTGTATCGTGAAGGACCCGATTGCGATGTATAAGATTTGATTTGATTTGATTTTATTACTTTATTTGAAACAGACCATGAGGTAGAACCCCGTTTGTCCCTAAGAGGTTGATTGATTGATTGATTGATCGATTGATTAGTTTTTTATTTGGGACCGAGGGGTACAACCCCATTTGGCCCCGGTGCAATGAAAATACAGTGGTATGAATTACATTATACCTAATTTGAACAATAAATAGCAAATAGTAAGAAAAGAAAACAGTTGAAGTAAAACAACTTAAAATATAACTTTAAAATATAAAATATATAAAACATATAAATAAAAAACTATGCTGTGTCAAAGCAATGCAGGCACAAGTCACGCAGGTGATCGCGAGCCCGCAGCGAGACAGGCGAGGACGCGAGAGCCGCCCATGAGTCCCGCCGCCGAACCCCGTTTGTTCCTAAGAGGGAGCGTACACCGCAGATCTCTGCAATACTTACCAAAGGGAGCACTAAGCGCGCTATTCGATATGATTATAGTTACAATACATACTCGGCTGAAAAAATTAATATGAGAAATCACGTTTACATTAATATTATATGATATTCCCTATGGAAATGAGTTTCCAAAACCTGAAATTTTATTTCAGTTTGAAAAAGCTTAAAAAAGTTTTAAACATTGCATAAAAGTTTATAAAAGTTTGTGAAAGTTTAGAGAAGTAATATAATTTTTTAAAAGTTTCATCTGACTAGAAATCTCAACTGATTTTGAGTTAAAATTTTGTTATCTTTTAAAAACTTTTATAAATTTTGATACGTTTTTGATGTTTTGTCCCTAAAATTCGACCTTATATTTAAGTTTATAAAATAATTGTGTAGAACTTTTAAAAAGTTTTTGAAAGTTTGTAATAATTATTCGCTAATCTATTTCCACGGGGTATATAACGTATTGGGCTTTGCGAAATCTTTTGTTGGTATCAGATAATGTATTTTGATTACAGATGAATTACAATTGAAAGCTAAAAATTGTATTTTTAGTTACTATAATCAAGAAAGAGAATAATTTGAATAATATTTTATAATTGCAGAAAACTCAATGTTCCAATCAATTGTGTTTAGGCAGTGTTATGTCAACACCACCCCATGGAACTGAAGTTAGAAAGTCAAATGAGATTTTGGAACATGCGAAAGATTTTTTAAATCAATATTTTACGTCTATTAAAAGGTATTACACTTTATCAATTTATTGATAACCAATATCAGTTAAAAATGGTTGAAAAATTGTAAAGAAATAATTAATTGCTTCTGTAGGCCAACAATAATCGGAAAGTCCCAGAACATGCTTCGCCTTAACTAATGAGCACTTGTTCTGTGGCTTTTTTTCGGTTTAGGCCTGCATACGACTTTTCATACCTCTTGGTTAAAGCCGAAAGGGGTTGCATTAAAAAGCAATTGAGTCTGTGTTTGTCACTATTTTATTGGTTGTAAAATTAGTTCTAAATTAAAATCTGAACTGATACTTTCTTAAAAATATTACTTATTATTACGTATTATTACGTATTACTTTTTTTTATTCGTAAACTTCTAATTATTTCCGCCGCTTTTCGATTAAACAAATACTAACAAAGAGAAAACTAAAATTTTTTTCATTTTCTCCAATGTATATCAGATACTGTAGTTTTCCCTTATAAAAATTTCCAATAGGATCCCGCGAAATTCCTATTGGAATCCTATAGGACTCCTGTAGGAATTTCGCGAGATCCTATAGGAAATTTTTATAAGGGTTAAAAGCTAAAATTAAAAAATACATGTTACCGGACTTTCTAAGGGAATATTTAGCGACGAAGGGTAAAAACCATGTCATTTTAGTTTAGTAATACTATGACGAGTATGATCGTCAAATCAACTTAAATTATATTAAAACTTAAATAGAAAAATTATTACTGTCATTATAATACTTTTTAGAGTCAATAGTGAATCCCATAAAAGTAGATGGAAAAATATTGAAAAAGAAGTATTGTCTACTGGATCATATCAATTGACTGAAACTGAACTAATATTTGGAGCAAAGCTGGCTTGGCGAAATGCTTCTAGATGCATTGGTCGAATACAATGGTCTAAATTACAGGTAAAAAAACTTTTTTTTCTTACAGTATAATACAATTACCATATGGTAAATAGACCAATTTTGATGAAACATTTTTTCAAACACATTTATCTACTTGAGAAATTCACAGAATTTAAACATGTACTAATCGGTAAATGAGTAATACTTTTCTTTGAGAGTGTCTACATGGAGACTGCAGCGTACGTGAAAATGATATATTACGTATCATAAGACAATAATATTGGGGGTTATTTCGGACGATCTAATACAAGTTTGTGCGTGCGCTATGACCACCGAATAGACACACTCGAATCTTTCATAACAAAATTACCTTGTTTCTTGAAGAGGAGATCCGTCTTCGTCGAGCACATACACACACACACACCGCTCGAGGCTGTACTTACGTTGCCTCGAAAACGTCGAAAGTGATGAACGGGCCAAGACGATCGAGGAATGGCAGGCCCAATGGACCTGCTCGAGGAAGGGTCAGTGGACACACCGACTCATCCCGAACATCATCCCGTGGATTGAGAGGAGGCACGGATAGGTGAATTGCCACCTCACGCAACTCCTGACCGGTCACGGCTGCTTCAGGTCATACCTGTGTCGGACAAACAACGACACAGGTGACCAGTGCCCGGTATGTCAGGCGGCGGTGGAGGATGTTGAACACGTCATCTTCCGCTGCCCTCGATTCACGGAGGAAAGAGAGGTGCTCCCCCACCTGTTTTGGGGTCCCCTGGAGCCTGAGACGCTGGTAGGATTCATGCTGGAGGCTGAATCCAACTGGCTGGCAGTGTCCACCTTCGCTCAATCGGTCATGACAAGACTGAAGAGCGAAGAGAGGGCAAGAAGAAGATGACCGGATGATGCGGTGAGAAAAAAACGATGAAGAAACGAAGATAACTCCTCAGAAGTGAGCACACAGCTCGAGCCTCCCCCGAGAAGTAATGCCTAAAGGTGGTCCTGCGGGGAAGAAAAGGTGCAGGAGATAAGGATGGGTTTTAGTCGGTATTAGTAGGGAGGCACATTACACGCCCACACAACATCTGTACACAAACTCGAGTCTGACATATCCGTGCGACATACAAGAGTCGCACGTCGAATCCGTAAAAGGATTTCCCTCCTTCCCCAAAAAAAAAACACACATACACACACTTTTTACGATGCTGACTTTCGCTTTTAATGCGGGAAACAAAAAAAACTCCGATTCCGTTCTTCGAGTTCAATTCTCTTTGCACGTAGAGGTTAGTAATATACTATGGGCTTTGCAATAGTCGGAGAGATACTGTTGGATCTCATCTCTCTGGCACTTTCTTCCACTTTTTGAACATGTAATTGTCACTGGTGACTTGAACATCAACATGCTCCGCCGCAAAAATCGCCATGCCATATATCTAAACAATCTACTGTCAGCCTACAATCTGCACATTGTCAATACCACAGAACCTACTCATCATATTATCTTTCGAAATGGTTCTCTGCGCGAATCGTGTATTGACCTGTGCGTTGTGCGTGATACAGACTCCTTACTCGCGCACACTAAGTCCCAAGTACCATTTGCGGCGGGGCATGATCTTATTACATTGCAATATCATCTCTCGCGTACTCTACCTCCACCCTTGCCCCGACACATCAGATCTTGGCGCAATGTAACCCCAGCAGCTCTTAATAATGCTTTATCACCCCTACTCTGTTTACAACTATCCAACGCGCCCTTACAACCAGAGTCTGTGTTTTGCCATGGCCTAGACGCGAGTATTTCAACACTCACAGCTGCCGTTTTTGCGGCCGCTGACGGTGTAGCCCCGCTTAGACCGGCGAGATTGTCGTTTCGACATAAGCCCTGGGTTGATCTTGAGGTTCGATCATCCTTACATGCACGCGACCGAGAGTATTGCCGGTTTCACCGCTGCCACAGAAACTCGGACCTCCTGCAATACCGTGTTTTGCGGGCGGAAGCACGCTCCCGCCCCGACTCAAAGAAGATCACCTACTTTACGGCCAAGATGAACGACACATTTTCTTCAACTGCGCTGTGGCGCACGCTGCGTGGTCTGGGTGTGACGCCCTCTAGACCTCCATCACCCCTGAATTACTTTACAGCTGATACTATCGTGCAACACTATGCATCCATCTCCTCTTGCTCGCTACCCATATCATCCGAAATTATAGACGCCATATGCTCAATTCCACTCACTCTTTCGCGTCCTGCCTTTAGTATTCAACCTATCACTGCCTCCCACATCACCAAACTCATTATCACCATCTCATCCAAATCCATGGGAATGGAAGGTATTTCCTCACCCGTCTCGGTCTTAGTGTCCTTCGATTTTTCGAAGGCCTTTGACACGATGCCGCACCGTCAGCTACTTGTGCGGCTGCGATGACTTGACAATCCGTAGGTTTTCGGACTATTTAAGCCTACGCAGCCTAGCAGTGCGGAAGGCTGATGGTTCGCACTCTCAACTCTACCGCACCACATTTCTCACACACTCCTCTTTCTCATCTACATAAACTCCCTCCCCTACATCCTCTCCCATTCGCATGCCATCATCTTTGCAGACGATACGCAAATCATTTCTCACGCCCCACCATCCTAGTTCAGCGATTTGGTGTCTCGCATGACTGCTGATGCCAACGCTGTTCACCAATGGGCCATGGATAACGGCCTTAGCTTAAATGCCCAAAAAACTCGCGTTTTATTGCTGGGAATCGCGTTTTCATCAATGTTCTTGGCAGAGCAAACTCCCCAAAAATTGTACTGGCTGGTACAACACTTGAGCACTCACCCTCCGTTAAGATCCTTGGTCTTGTGCTCGAATCGAAGCTGAACTGGGATGCACAAATTTCATCCGCCTCATCTAAAATTCATTATGCCCTATACTCCTTGTCACGTCATCAGCACCAACGTCTCGTTCAGGCGCTGATTTTTCCACACCTCGACTACGCAGTGGCTGCGCTCACAAGCCTCACGGCTGAGCAGAAGCTCCGATTGCAGCGCCTACAAAATGCCTGCATTAGATTCATCTACGGCAACATCCCACGAATGGCGCATGTCACGCCCTATCGTTTAGCGCTTGGTTGGCTCTCTGTTGCGCGTAGGTGCGACCAACTCATGATTCTCCTGGCATAGAAAATCGTGATCAGTGGCACACCATCCTGCCTGGCAGCGCGTTTCTCACTCCTCGAGAGCCGTGATCCCAACCGTAGAGTGACCCGACAACTTCCTCCACGTCTTGACTACCCATCTGCTCGTACATCAACACTCCATAACTCATTCACTCACACGACCACCAAATTGATCAACTCTCTACCAGCATCGTTCTCCCTTCTGGCCACCTCTCCCAACCCTCGCATGTTCCTCCGCAACCACTTCCTCTCCCTTGAGAAGTCAGAGTGTCTGCAGCGCTGTGCGACTGAGAATCTCTCACCCGTATCTCTTCCACTCATTGGCCTACTTTCACTTCCCAACTACAACTAATAGTGCAATTATTACTAAAATTCACCCCGCATGACTGCAGTCCCTGGGCAATTGTTGGTGGGCTTGGGGCCTTTGCTCCGTCTGCCCTGGCCCGGCGATGGGGCTGGCGGGCGGCTCCTGCATTCTGGCTTTTCCTGCTTCGTGTCGGCGCTCATTGGGTGTCATTGAGCTTTTGTATATACGTAAATATGTAAATAACTGTGCTGTACTCTATTTTTTCTTTCTTTTTTGCTATTTTATTTGTCTATTTGTATGTAATGTATTACTCATCTGCGCCAATTGCTCAACCTAACTATAATGTAATTTTGTATTTTTATAATTTCTTTATTTACTATCTGTAATCTACTTCGGGGCCACATGAGGTTCTACCCCCCGGTCCCATAAATAAACAAATCAATCAATCTCTCGATCGATAGCAGTGTTCACGTGTGCTCTCTGTATGTGCTCGCGTGCGCGCGTGTGTGCATCGTCTTGCCTCGCTGTCGACTCGGTTCTGCTGCGTATGTGCATGCTCTTCTGCTTGCGTACCTTCTGTTTTTTTTGTTGATTACGCGCGACTATCGACTCGCGGGCCTCGGTATAAGGTCGGACTGTAGGGACTTACGACCGCGTGTTGCGAGTCTACAGTATTCTTTCTTCTCGAGCTATTGAATAGGAATAAGCGTTAGTCAGTATTGCTGAATGAAGATGCTGCTAACTGTCTGTGTTGAACAGATAATTAACGTAAACTCCGTGAAACTTCCTTTGACCTCTTTATGACCAGGACTTTTATGAAGATTCGGTGTAATTAACGTATACTTGGCTTTACCTTAGACGCGCGTATAATGATCACAACGTTATCCGATTCAAATCGAAAATGATGCAAACCTGTCATCTTACAAGGAGAACACGTGAGATGCGGGTCACTAAATATCCTGAAAGTTTTTTTCTGGTCTTCTGGTACCTAATAATGAAGCCGCCTATGCTTACCGCACTAGATCCCACGAGCACATTATCGTCAACTAGCTCTTTAAAGGCACGGTTATCCTCCAAACGAGTACGCAAGACAGCATTAAAACTGTCAATCTCGTGCGTAATCTGTCTAAACGATTTCGTGATATCGTCAAAATTAAAGCGAGCAAGAGTATCTATAGGAAGGAGTTGCACGACTCATAGGTTAACGACCTGCCAGTGCAAGCTCGACTTGCATTTCGAACGATCAGAGCACGTAGAGAGTGAGTACCGTCGAGTTCGTGGTACTTCGTTGATGTGACCTCTCCCAACGTAAGCCCTCCATAGTAAGAGTCAAGACAACGTCGATCCACCTCGTTGAGGTCATTATTTTCCCACGAGTTAATGGGAAATAGAACCTATTTCCACGGCTGGTCAGAAGCGTCGCTATTGTACTGACTTCAACTGGGTCATTGGCGCAAGCTTGAACGCATCGACGGTGCAGTATATGACAAAATTACACTGGATACTGGGTGCTAGAATATAACAAATTTGAAAGAAAAGAACGAAAAATAAAGTCTTGAAAAAATTTTAAAAAAATCTAAATCAATTAAAATTTAAGCAAGTCAAAAATTTAATTGAAAAACAGACATTCAAATATAAAAAAGTTGAATAATTCCAAAAAATGTTCAATACAAAAATGTAATGTGGGATTTCTTCATGATTATATTAGTTCTCAAAGTTTCCTAAGCCTATAACGAATCGAAAACGCGAAATCCATTCAGAATCGTTTTACTATGCTGAAAATCGACAGTGAAGCCTATTTTTGTGCTTCATTTCCTCGACTGTAAGGTCACTTTTCATTCTGTATCTTTGAATAAAGTTTGAATTAATTCCAAAGTGTTTTATATAAATATAACTTGAATATGAGATCTCGAATTACTATTATAATAGATACTGTAAATGCAAAATAACATAAATAATATAAATGCTATATAAAACACATGATATAAATACTATGTACGTTAAAATTTTATTTCAGGTGTTTGACTGTCGTTATGTTACAACCACAAGTGGAATGTTTGAAGCGTTGTGTAATCACATTAAATATAGCACCAATAAAGGAAATATAAGGTATTTAATTCATATACTTTAATCTTAGTTTTATATAAAATTAATTCAAATCACAAGTATACAATTGCTTAAATTATTTTTATACAAAACCTGCCTCAAAGAGCTAATTATTGAACCTTTTTAATAATAGAGTATTTTATATCCCTTTAACCTAAAATACATAACTTTTCTGCTATTTTGAAGCTCTTGTGCTATAAACTATTGAACACAACTTGTGGGAATGAGTTTTTTCAACGAAATCCTTTGTATAATATACTATTATAACAATGTTCACATTTGATTGTAAACTCAATTTTATAAAAAATGACCATTCACCTTATATGATTGTCCTCACATTTATGTTACGCTTTTCGGTGCGCACGATATTCGCATCACACTTGCTACTCGTGCGCTAACACTGAAAACAGTTACTTGTGGCAGCGCCGTGAAACCCCCAAGCCGAGCAGCCTGACACAGCCTTGGCGCTGCGTCTTGAATTCGCAGTGTTACGCCGTGAGCTCAAGTAGCACGTCATGAAATTTTACGGTCATACGCCGTGAGTCGTCTCACAGCACATCTTCGTGATGTTCATGATGTAGCGCTTTGAATTCACGTCGTACCCTGACGGAAAAAAATCGTTCAAGAAAAAGTAAAAGTAGTAATTAAAACCATCATATTAAATTGTAAAATTTAATAAAATGTGAAAAAATGTTAAATTATTAGCGATTTTGGACAGCCAATGCATTAATAAAGGCAGCATAAAATCACATTTTTTTACACTTTTTTACTCTTTTTTACATTTTCTACAATATGCTATTCGCGTGTGATCGCATCGACCGCAGCAAGTGATTTTCGTGACAAAAATGTATTGATTTTTATGAACAAATTAAGACAAATTATGATTGATATGTATATAAACCAAATTAAGTCATCTCAGTACTCCTCAGTACATCTATGATGTTTTATGAGGCTTTCTGCTGCATTAGAATGAGCTCACTTTTTTCACGAAAATCACTAGCTGCGGTCAATTCGATTACATGCGGGCTTGACCAGGATTTTAAACTCATAAGTAAAAATTGTAACATTTAAAATTATTATTACAGAATTTTATGTTTTTTACACTTTTTTACTTAACTTTAATGAGCTTGAATTCATAGGGTTTTCATCTCTCTAATTATAGGTAAACAAATGTAATAAACTGTAATAAAAAGTAAAAAAGTGTAGAAAAACGTATCACATGTCCGAAATCGTTAGTAATCTTAAATTTTTTTACACTTTTTTACTTTTTATTACAGTTCACAACATTATTATGCACTTTATTTGAAAAAAAATTTCCGCTGGGGTAGTACTGAGAATTCACGACGCAGTGCCTATGCTACGTCAGGCTGATCGGCTCGGGGGTTTCACGGCGCTGCCGCCTGAAACTGCTTTCAGTGAACTTCACTTCGCACTACCTATGCGACTTATGCATCGAAAAAGGGGACATAAATGTAAACTTAGCACAGTACTATAAAATTGCGTACGATACTCGTGCCATGGGAGATACTTTTCGACCCTGCTATTGCGCTCTCTCACTGCGCTCCGGCCCTAAACTATGCCGTACCAAAATGTGCAACTTATGCCATCGAAAAGCATGCTGTACGGAGAGTGGGGTGTGTTTGCATGTGAGGTAAATTGACAAAATGGCGTATTTCGCCTTATCAATGACTTGAACCGAGATGGTGCCATTACATAAAAATACTACATATTATGATCCTAGCACTACTGATAGTATTATTTCTATAGAAGTTAGTGATATGGAGAAATATGTATTTTTGTCAACTTACCTCATATGCCAACACATCCCGCTCTCCCCTAACAGTACTTTACGAAACGGCTTGGTTTAGGGCCCGAGCGCAGCGAGTTCACATCTATGTCCCCTTTTCTGATGAATGAGTCGCACTTTCTGGTTTCCGCGAAGTGAGGTTAGCACACGAGCGGAACAAGTGTGATAGGAGCGATGCGGTAGAGCCATTAGAAAACCGAGTGTTTTTTTAATTTTTATTATGAGAACTATGTAATATCTAAAAGATTATTATAAAATGTCATTATTATATTCTAGATCCGCAATTACAGTATTTCCTCAAAGAACTGATGGAAAGCACGATTTTCGAGTTTGGAATCCCCAGTTGATAAGTTATGCAGGTTATAAAAATGACGATGGATCTTTCATTGGCGATGCGGGAAATGTTGAATTCACTGAAGTAAATTATTTTAATTTAATGAAGATTAGATCTATGTAAATAAACGTTCGTAATTTTTTCAGGTTTGTGTGAAGTTAGGATGGAAAAGTGCTCGGACACAGTTTGATGTATTACCTTTAGTATTATCAGCTAATGGTCATGACCCCGATTATTTTGATATCCCAGAAGAACTAATTTTGGAAATCCCATTAGTTCACCCATCGTAAGAAAATTTAGTATTTTTCATAATATAATATAATATCATATTAAAAATTTAATACAATATTGTTTCTTAAAAAATGAGTGAATGTTAGAGTCCTTTTTTTCCTGACTCATTTCAACCTAGTTCTCAACCATAACCTCGCTTAGACAGCTGTAGCAGCCAAAATCAACTTCAGATAGAGGGTTAAGCATACTTAATTTAATGATTACATGCGAAGGGATGGACGTTTTTTAACGAAAATTGTTGTACATAAACATATTTAAATGAAGATGATTTTGACCGGATCGGATATTCGTAAAAATATTTCATTCATTTACAAAAATATATTGACTCAGCGGCTCTTATACAAGCCCGCGTTAATGACTGGGATAAGTCGGCCATCTTTGCATTCCGCGGTGGCTATATATATCGCTTACGATTTCTCGATAGTGTTTAAGATACTTCCTGCAAAGAACCGGGATGCTAGTAGAGCTCGGCTTTGAAGCACGCAAATTTTGATTAGAGCTGATAATCGTGAATCGTTTTAAGTTCTTTTCAGCTATTGAGAATTGACTCGGATTGCTCCATTACTTTTCCACATAATTGGTTAGTTTACATGCATCCAAAGACACTTCGCATATCCACACAAGCTTACAAAGTCATTCTGTCTTACATACTAATAACTGTCATTATAATCATCACTTCACTCATCCGTTTTAACATGCATTGATTACGGAATATATATATAAGAAACGAAGATAGCTTGCGCTCGAGTCCTCTGCTCCTAGCTATGCCTACCACAAAAAAAAATTGAAAATCCATTTTAAAACAGCTAAATATTTCTCATAAACTAATTTATACTGTTTATTCTCTGGCAGGTTTGAGTGGTTTGGCTCTTTAGGCTTAAAATGGTACGCAGTTCCAGCTGTTTCGAATATGGTATTTGACTGTGGAGGATTAGAATTTACAGCTGCACCTTTCAATGGTTGGTACATGAGTACAGAAATAGGATCAAGAGATTTATGCGATGTAAACCGATACAACTTATTAGAAGTAAGCTACTACTTGTATTTAATAAAACACTTCATGGACTAATATTAAACTAATGCACCATTTTTTATAACTACATAACATATTTTAATATATTATAACATACATAATGTGCTTATTTCACTCATGTGTTTTATATGGGCCAGATTCCGAATTCTTTGAATATAACTTTATAATATAGAAAAATATATAGTCACCTACCGCAGTGAATGAAAGGGTTCAAAAAAGTTTGCTTAAATTTACCTCAAATCAACGTTTTTAATAAATGAAAGGCTATTATTCAGATGGATTATAATAGTAAATATCTTTCTCTACTGAATAGAATTTTTGCAGAATTTTTACTTTCGACTTTCATTAATAAAATAAGGGAAAAAATACACGATACACTAGTGAATGAAGCATTTTTACCAGTAAATGAAACCATTTTCAGGGTCATTTGATAAATAATAACATATTCAGAAAGTTGTTAAAAACTATGGAAATATTTAGTATTAATGCTCTGCAATTATATTATAAAATTTCATTACCGATAAATTAATTCAGTATAATTGAATTATATTAATTTATAAATAAAGTTTCAATCACTGGGGAGGTGACTCTATATAGTGCTAAAAAATAAAATAACAGAGTGTCAACATTTTTTATTTTACAGTTATTAGTGTGTTTATTTTACAACCAATTAATTCTTTTATATGTGGGTTTCAGGTAGTAGCACAAAAAATGGATCTTGACACTAAAGTAACATCATCTTTATGGAAAGATAAAGCGATGATTGAAGTAAATTTAGCTGTCTTGTATAGCTTTCAAGTAAGTTGGTGCTTGTGATATGAATTTTATTATTTATAAAGTCTAATCAAGTTTGGAGGTATCTGAAACCAGTACATAATGATTTTGTTATCGTCAATAATTAAGGTCATTTCAAAAAATTCAGTCTGCTACCTACTTTTGCGTGATGTGTAAATTTTAATGGGAGATTATAATTATTAAAAATCTCGAGAGTTGATTCAATCTCATTTTTCTGTTAAGCTATAATGGTTTCGTCAATATATCAGGAATAAAGTTTATCCTTAGCAATACAATTTAACTTGCATGATAAAATTGGTGATGGAAGTCGTAATGAGGATAATTAAACCCTAATCGGTTTATTTTTCTAAATTTTATTTGAACCAATGCAAGCCAGCTAAAAACTGAGTAATCGGGCTGTTTTGATCATTCTCGCGAGGTGATGGATCAACAGTGGGAATTCTCCGTATATAAGCGAGATATACAAGCATCAATAGATCAACGTAAATAATTAATTAGATCTTACATAACAATGGAATTGGTCCTGTTGCACCACCGATGATGAAATTTTTTGAGAAGATGTTTTTTGGTTTTCGAAAGAACATACTGCATCCTCGTCTAAATCGAACGGTGCTAACAGGTTCAATTTTGTCTTTTTATGTTATTTGTGCTTTTTCCATGAGTTTTAAGGTACCGAAAATTTTTTCAAAATATAAGTAAAAATTGGAACTTTTAGTCTTTCGATGACCAAAATTTAAAGAAAGTTGGACTTTGGTCTGTCGATAAACATATTTTACTTCTGGCCTAATCGAAGAAAACGAACAAGTTTATTTTTGGACTTTTATGCTATTTTCTGCTATTTATCATATTTAATGCTTTTGAGGTTAATAATATGATTTTTTACTACAAATTTGAATTCTACATCGAATCCTATCCTATAAGAGTGGTGAGGTTTTTAGCGTGAGCAGTTTATAACCGCTGTGATTGAACAATTGAACGAACTTCTAGTGAAGTTCAATTCAAATTGTACGACCGCTTCTTTCGAAAAGATCAATTACGTAGTACCCCTCCCCGCGCCCTAGATACCACACGTTCAAAGCAAAAACGAAAGCAGCGCCTGTCGCGCCGCCGCCGTACAAACGGCTCGCCTCGCGCCACGGATATTCATTTTTTAAAGCTGCGCCGTACGCTAATGGGTAAAATCATGAATATGATGGGCTTGGGTGGGTAATTGATCTTTTCGGAAGAAGCGGTCGTACAATTTGAATTGAACTTCACTAGAAGTTCGTTCAATTGTTCAATTGTACTTCCCGCTTCTTCCTCAAGATCAATTACGTAGATGTTTAAAGCCCAGTACGGCGCCAATAAAATAAGCACAATCTTAGAACACTGTCCTATTTATTGTGAAGTACTACAAGCAAGTTCAAATAATTGGAACAAAAAATAAACTTATGTTAAATACATAGATATGTGATACATTGTTACTTTTTATGATTTAATATAGCTCTCGCAAACTGATCATTAGATGCTACAACATCTTTATTGTAAAAACGTGCAAAACAGGAGCTGGAAGCCCAGCCTGCTGTTTGTAAAATAACGTCCGTATTTACACCCAGACTCTTAGCTTTGGAGGTAGACGCGTGACGCGTACTATGAGCTGAGAAGGCTTTGTCCAGCCCTGCGTTTTGGAAAACATTCTTTACCCACTTGCTAAGAGTCTGCCTGCAAATGCCCGATTTTTTATTAAGTGATAAGAACAGAGTATCAACATTTCCTCGTAAGTCCTTGGTAATTTTTAAATAATATTCCAAAGTTGTCGCAGGACAAATCTATCTCTCCTCTAAGTAATATGGTAAATGAAGTAGAGGTTGATTAGTACCTCTTTTCGACGTTTTAATGTGATCAGGAATGAAGATACAAATTTTTTCTTTTTGACATGAAATATTGGCCACCTTAATTAGCGAGAGCGTTTGTGTTCTTTGACCAGTGACTAAGGCGAGTAGCGTAATAAGCTTCTGTGACAAATCTTTAAAACTCAAATTTTCATTACATTCCTGAGATTGAAAATATTTTAGAATTACTGACGGGTCCCATACATAATTATATTTCGGCTTAGCTGGTCTACGTTTGTAAATGCCAGTAAGAAATCTTTTCATACGTTTATCATTAGCAATATCGTTACATGATATCAACGAGATTGCTGAGCGTGCGATATTGAGTGCACTATGCGATAAACCCTTATCAAACTGTTCTTGTAAAAAGCGTATAACATCCTGCACCACTGGATTGTAGAAATCGACCTGCGTAGAATAAGCGAAGTTCCACCATTTCTTCAGCGTTGTCTCATAACTCTTTATAGTGGATTTCTCTATCGAAGCGATGCTGGTCCCTATTCTCAGGAACCCCTTGTTTCAACAATGCTTGGCCGATAACTTCGCGGCTACCAGGGAAAGACTTCTCCACATTGGATGAGCATTCCTGTTGGAAGAAGTAAGCAAATTGTAATTTGGTTTCAAAACAATAGGTTTTGATGATAATAACGAGTTAAAGAGGGGGAACCAAGGCTGGTTTGGCCAGTCTGGCACCACTACAACACCCTCTGCTTTATCTCTTTTTATTTTTCGCAGAACTTTTAAAATAATAGAAAATGGTGGAAAGGCGTAAAAGAATAAATTAGCCCATGATAGGGTAAAAGCATCTATAGCCTCCGAACTCGGATCTCGTTTCCACGAGACATATCTGTTGCATTTTGCATTCGATCGGCTAGCAAAGAGATCAATTTCTGGACGATTCCACCGTTTTATAATTACTTCGAAGGATGAATCGAATAAGGAATATTCCGTCTACGGTTCAACTCTTCTAGACTCTTCATCAGCCTCAAAATTATTACTAGAACTGATGTAAGAAGCGAAAATCCAAATATTTCTTTCCTCGCAGAATTGCCATATTTCGCGAGCCGCGGCGTGGAGATGGGCAAATCGAGTGCCGTCCATTTTATTTATATAACTAATTGCGGTGGTGTTGTCAACGCGCAATAAAATGCTACAATTTTTGTCCTTTGTCGCAAAGCATTTTAAGCCAAAAAAGACTGCTTTAAGCTCCAATAAATTGATATGAAAATTTTTCTCCTCTGACGTCCAAGCTCCATTGGCCTTTTTTCCATCGCATACTGCTCCCCAGCCTGTCAAAGACGCGTCAGAGAAAATAACCTTTGCGTATGGTACGCAGTCCACGTTTTTAACTCGCGAAAGAATATTTTCGCTCCACCATTTGAAATCCGGTTCTAAAGCGTGACTTAAATCCATAAAGGCATCATAGTTGTCGTTGTTTATTTCCAACGCGTTTACTTTTGCTCTTTCAAACATTTTTGTGTAAAGCCATCCATATTCAATAGCTGGGCAACCCGAAATTATGCTACCAGTAAATTCTGCAAATTCCCGAATTTTGCATCTTTTCATTGCACTAAATTTCTTTATAAGTTTTAATAATTTTACTCTTTTGGCCTCTGGGAGCTCTAATGTCATCCGTTGCGAGTCGAAAACGAAACCTAGCCATACGCATCTTTGACAGGGGGCTGATAAGCTCTTCTTACCGTTAATAACGAAGCCTAAAGCTTCAAGCAGTTGCTTCGAAAGCATAAAATTCTTTCGACACATTTTGGACGAATCGCCTAAGAGCAACAAATCGTCTAAGTACACTACAGACGTGTACCCCGATTTTCGTAGCAAACTTACAACAGGTTTTAACAGCTTCGTGAAAATAAATGGTGCAAGGTTCAGACCGAACACTAAACATGTGAATTGATATAGCTGGCCCTTATAAACGAAACGCAAGTATTTTCTATCCTCGCATCTCACCGGGACAACATAGTAGGCATCTTGAAGGTCAATTTTTGTCATCCAAATATCTCGCTCCAATAACTGAACCGCCGTCTTGTGGCTCTCCATTTTGAAGTGTTCTGTCTTTATAAATTCGTTCAAACCTTTTAGATTTAAGATGAATCTTGAAGAGCCGTCAGATTTGGGGATAATAAAGAACGGAGACAAAAATTGACCTTCCGTGAAATCGCACTTTTCAACTGCGCCTTTCTCCAAGAGATCGTTGACCAGGCGTTGTATAACGGCCATCTCCTTGGCCGAGTACACCTTTTCCTTGTAATTAAACTAGGGGGGCGAGCCCCCCTGCGCGCTTCGCGCGCCAACCCCCCTCGTTTACAATTTCATATGAGTATATGTTTAATAATATAAAATTTTATATAATACTTCCATTGTACAGACGTTCTCATCCAGTTGAAAGATTAGCATTACACTTAGAAAATAAACAAAATTTAATTTTCCCTGAAAATGAAGAAGTATTGATGTCGGTTTACCAGCGTTACGTAAATGTGTTATTACGTAATCGAAAATTAATTTTTGATCTAAATTCATTTTTTTGTATCTAAGAAGATATTCATTTTTATAAAATTCCAGTTGACTATTTAAATCTTCTTCATCAACAAGAGTTTTTAAAAAATCCAGATTCGGTGCTGGTAAACCGACATCAATACAGCTTAAATTTTCAAATTCTAAAATATCATTTATTTCTTTCAAAGCTCTGTTTTCATGATTATCTTTAAAACCTTCCAAAAAATATTTTTTATAAGTTTGCCAAACGTCTCGAATCATTGGTATATTGTTAATAATTATAAACCAAGGGAAAAATTTTCTAAGTTGTTTCGGCATCATTATTAAACAAGCTTCGTCAATATTTTTTTTATTTCTAGATCGCTATCTACTAATCCCATTGCAATCGCCGTTTCTCTAAATGTATCGTATTTAATACCCTTATAAGTTCTTAAATCGTCGAATGATTTGCAGCCTTTAGCTTTGTGTAAAATTAATTTTAAATAAAACCGTTCAACATCTTTTGGCACAACACTAACTATTCTTCCCAATGTATTTGAAAATTGTGATCTCCGTTCCCAAATTCAAAATTTTTTATTGTACTTATAGTCTTGTAAATTATTTACGTACGTGAATTTTCTAGCATGAACATCATTTTTATTTAAATCAAACCACGCTGTTAAAGTAGTACCAGGCTTTTTGGCTGCTTCTACTTCTTCATTTTCAGGGAAAATTAAATTTTGTTTAATTTCTAAGTGTAATGCTAATCTTTCAACTGGATGAGAACGTCTGTACAATGGAAGAAACCAAAATAACCAAATTAACCATAATAATTTTTGGTTCTTGTACAAAAAATCAAAGTAACCATAATTATCACATTTATGACCCTATTATTTAAATTATTTTTGTACCAAATGAACGAAAGGTCACGTGACGTAATTATGTGATCGTCGCGTGATCGAAAGTTCAAAGTCACGTAATGTTAACGTATAGAAAGGTCAGTCACTTGATGATCGCGTTATAGAAAGGTCAGAGTCACGTGATGATCATGTGATGATCGAAAGGGGTCAAGGATCAAAGTCACCATAATAATCACCACCTGATCAAAAGGTCAAGGTGTCGTGATAATCACGTGATCAAAAAGTCAAATTCAAATATTTCGATCGAAAGGTCAAAGGTTCAAATGGTCAACATGGCAAAAGGTTACATGACCTCATTACGTGATCATCATGTGCCTCTGATCTTTCGATCACGTGGTGATCACGTTATGACGCATCGCATGATGAACGAATTATAACGCTCAAGGTTACGTTATCATCAAGCGGTTCGTTACTTAACGTAACGTTACTTAAGCACGTAATCGTCACGTGAACGAAAGGTTAAAATCACGTAATCAAAAAACCAAAATAACCATAATTATCACATTTATGACCCTATTATTTAAATTATTCTTGTACCAAAACGCGCAAGGTTACACTATAATAAAATGTTTAAAATGGCGAAAGGTAAAGAGGTCACGTGACGTAATCACGTGATCGTCACGTGATCGAAAGGTCAAAGTGACATAATCAAAAGGTCTGTCACTTGATGACATCGTTATAGAAAGGTCACATGACCTTTTGATCACGTGATCATCAAGTGATGACGTCATATGATCATTCGACCGAATCACGTGATCATCACGTGATGACGTCATGTGACTTTTCGACCGAATCACGTGATCATCGCGTAATGACGTCATATGACCATTCCACCGAATGGCGGCGATAATGACGTCATATGACCATTTCACCGAATGGCGGCGATATTATCTTATAATATAGAGAGATACCTGATATGGCTTTTTAATAAAAGGGAGTTCTACTCCTTGCACCCAAGATAAAATTGTTTTATCTGATGTGATGTGTCGCCAATTTTCATAAAACACGCTAAGTCTACCAGCGATAGAACTCACCCGTTGATTTAAGCTCTGCGTTTCGCATGGTAGTCCTTCTTGTAAGAGCTCTTCGAGCTGTTGCGACAAGGGGACTGAGCTCTGTCCCTCTGAGACCTCTTGTTCGCAGTCCTGTTCGACATTGGTCGATTGTACCCCTTTGCTGCTTCCGCCTTCGACCCGTACGTTTGACGAAGCTGGGGTTTCCCATTTTTTGAAAGCTGCGATGAAGTCGTCCTCTTGGTCAGCAAGCGAGCGTCCTGACCTGTCAGTTTTGCCTGGCGAAGCTTCTCCGACAATTCTCCTCCGAAAAGCCAGCCATCCGGATCAGTAGACCCCAAAGTATCTTTTACAGCGCTGTTGATGTAGTACGAAAACGAAGTAAAAAAAAAAAAAAAAAAAACCGTTGAGGTTAACAAAGACGTGTGGCGTCTTCGGCACACAGAAAAAGAATGAATATCCGTGGTGCGAGGCGAGCCGGTTGTACGGCGGCGGCGCGACAGGCGCTGCTTTCGTTTTTGCTTTGAACGTGTGGTATCTAGGGCGCGGGGAGGGGTACTACGTAACTGATCTTGAGGAAGAAGCGGGAAGTACAATTGGTCGTTCAGTAGCTTGCTATTGTTTATTAGCGCGCAAATACGAGTTTTATAGTAAGTTGACAAAGTTAAATATTAATCAATTCACGGCTTAAGACACATTTTGATTGGTTTCCTCGAGGGCGTCCTACGATAAAAAGCCGATCCATTGTGTATTTTTACAGTTTAAATATTTAAACTGTATGAAAAAATGAAATGTATTTTTCTATTTTATATATTGAAAAATGGCAAAAAGGGATAGGAAAGAAAAAAGCGCGCGAAGCGCACTGAAAGTCGGGCTAGTTGTACATTAAAAATCATGATTCAACAATTTATTCATATTCACCCCAGAAAAGTAGCATAGCACGTAAAATAACATCAGAAAATGAAAATTAAACTTTAAGCCCCTGTAAATCTATGAGGGATGAACCTGCAGACGGGAAGTCTTTATCTTAAAATCAGTGGCGGATACCACGCAATATAGTCGTATAATTTTTGCATCAGGAGAACTTCAACCTTTCGGAAGATATACGTGGATTGAATTCGTGTGATCAACTAGAAAATGTCTAATTCGTGTGTTTCAATATTTCGAAAAAATCCGACAACTATTTAAGTAGCAAGTGATTCCGCCATTGTGAAATCTTCAAAAGTACATTATTTTTTCAAATTTTAATTTTTGGCCGTTCCTCTAAGCCCATATATTTATTACAATTTTGAATCTAAATGTGTTGTTTCGTCTAGAATTCAGAATTAATCTGTCAAAGTCAAAGCTAGACTGTACCAGTTGCAGCTCAGAACCGCCGAACGACAATGTCTTTTCGACATTGGGCATACATACGTGTACTGTCGTCGCTTAGGGATTAAAGGAAGGCAAGGCCAAATAATGTGTAATACTTTTACTATCTTTTCTATTCGGGATCCCGCGTTCAAGTGCCTCGTCACTCGCCATGAAGTCCCTTCGTCGCCGCGCTCTCGCGCCCCTCGTGAACTCCGTACACACTACAATACGCACACCACAGCTGTGAGATAAAGGCGCACCGCGCGGACAAGTTACGACTCGTAAGTCAAGTTCGCAAGAGTAAACAAAAGAACATTACATCGCGTGCCGGACGGTGTCTCGTAGAATATCGATGTTAAAATATTTAAAACGCGAACCCGAATCATGCGCCTCTCACTAGCCGTTGCTGTAAGCCATGGTGAATGTATATTGCAACGTATTCGGCTCGCTGAGCGCGCGCAAGTGTAGAAGTGTCTGCTCGACGCGAGTACTCCGTATACTTGCTTCAGTGAAGGACTCGGGTAGCTTGCCGCGTTCACGTCGAGGTGGGCTGGAAAGAGACTTACCGACGCGGTGAAATTTATACAGCTCTCGGACTTGCTTTTATGTAAAGGATTAGACCCGGGCGTACGTTGCACGATGAGCCTCGGTGGGTCTTTCTACACGTATTTGTGTCTTACGCGCCTGAAAAGTTAGAATCGGGAAGGTGCGTAAGAGACAACAGGTTTGAGTATCTGACTTGTAATGTTATATGCAGTTGTTGTTTTTATTAAATAAGTAAATTGTGAGAAAATATGCGTCTGTTTTTATTATAGACGACTTGATCTTTTAACGAAATAAATAATAACTTAATCGAAATAATGAGTTGATTTTTACGCAGAGACGTCGTGATAGCTTTATAATTATCGTTTGCAATCAGAGAACAAAATGGTCTTATACCGCGATACAATAAGATTTACCGGTGGAAACACGCTGTTGGTCGAACGGCTGCTGGAGTGATCTCTCTGGAGATGACGTAGGTTCGGCTGCTTGGCTGTAAAAGAAACAGGAACTTCCGCTACTGTTACGGGTACGCTGCTTGTCCCTTCCTTCACCCTGGGTTGACGGAGCTAAATAAATCACGATCGCGCACACAAGGATATTACGGCAAACACTGTAAATTCGCGACTGGGAAAATAGGAAACAGAGAGATCGCACTCGTATTACTACGAGAGCGATCAGCGTTAGTTCGAGTACAAATAGCTTCTCAAGCGAAAATACAAGTACGTGAATACGTTTTCGTACGAGCTATTTATTGTGCAGGAAAACTTGACGCAGAAAGCTTACACACTCGTACGCCCTTGGGCGGCAGCGGTAGATGGCCTTCGGAATTTAAGGAAGTTCTTCGCCACTAACGACAAGTCAGTGGCAAAGAATGATAATCGAGAACACTAAATACTGTGGGGGGAATTAGTGTTATATTCAATTATCAATGCCTTGCATTTCGTTGTCGCGCTCCTTAAATAGGTCAAGGAGACGCCGCTCTCTTTGCGCTCGCTCTTTGAGTCGAGCCGCCGGGATTCTCCCACTAATCGCGATTCCACTGCTGCGCGCGCTGGAATCGCAATTAGTGCGACAAAGATCAAATTTCGGCAATACGTGCCGATTGCTGGAATTGCATCACGCGGGTTTCTTTTGTCACTCACTGATGGTGGGGGTCCGGCGTCTTCTCTCTCTTTGCTCTGCTCACCGTCGGTCCGCGTGATGCTGTGAGTGGAAGACTCGCGGATCTGCTCTCGCATATGGAAATTAGCTTGACGCGAGAAGGGGAAAACGCGAGTGCGTCGGGACTCTCCTCTCCTCGAGCGCTTGTACTGAGTGCTCGCGCGTACTGTATGGTGGCGTGTTTGCCACACTTGCAGGCGCAAGTCGAAAAATACGTTGCAATATATCTCGGAAAGAACCGAACATGTGTTAAGGATAAAAAAATTAAATTGATCAATTAAAGAAATATATCTGCTTTGAGCCATTACTGGAGCTGATGGCAAAAACTTGCAACATTTTAACCTTTTTTCTGCTCATCTCTAAGCAGTATGCTTCACCTATTCTATCCTCACCTATGCTATCAGTCTAATATGAACGATGGTCGTAAACGCTAATCAATTAAGCAACAAGTAGTTATTCGCATACAACTAATAAGCTCACAAAGTGAAAATTCTGTAATTTTTTCTAATATTTCTTCATAATTAATTTTGTATACTTAATTGACATGATAAACTTTCTATAAATAGTAATAGACAATAAAAATAATTTTAAGTAAAAATTTATTTTACAGATTAAAAATGTAACAATAGTAGACCATCATACAGCATCAGATTCATTTATGAAGCATTACGAAAATGAAATTCGTTTGAGACATGGATGTCCAGCAGATTGGGTTTGGATTATTCCACCATTGTCTGGATCAGCCACAGCAGTATTTCATCAAGAAATGGCCCTCTATCATTTAAAACCATCTTATAATACTCAAGTAATACGTTTTCTTAATTCTTTAGGTCTTCTAATTCTGTAAATTAAAAAACACGAAAATGTCAACATTGGAATGTGTTTGATGTAAAATTATGTTTTTGCGAGTTTTTTACATCAGAAAATATGTCTGTAGAACCATTAATTATTGTGATTAATGCAGGCCACTCATCTGTTATGACTTATGATTCCAGAGCCCCGACCCGTATGAATTCGAATTCAATATTTGACCAATTTGGACTATTAAAGTCTCAAAAGCTTCGTGATAACATTTTCCTCTACTTAACTGATCAATTATTAAATTATTTATTCAATCTACCATTCTCAAAAACTAGCAATAAGTGTTAAAAAAAGCTCTACTTGGAATTTTTTTTTGTATTTTGATATGCAAAAAATTTTAGCCTTTTCTTGAAATTCTGTTATACTTTGGTGAAAGAGAAAAAAGTGCAAATATTTTAAAACCCCAATGATCCAAAGTGGTCAAAAATTGCATTCAGATTCATGCGGCACACGACTTTAAAGTCATAAGTCATTAAACCCTGTTAAAAATGATTGGTTGGATTTTGGCTGGAAATCCACAACTAAATCGAGCTGTTATCGAGCTCGAATCGATTGGATTATGGCTCGATTTTCGGGCTGGATTATGTCTTGATTATCAGGTTAGATTTTTCGACTGTATTATTGGGTTGGATTTTCAGGTAGGATTTTCGGGTTAGATTTTCTAGAAAAATTCTCAGTTAAAAACCATTTGATTTGGGGGCACTAGGTATGAATATAGCCTTGGTGACGACTTTCTCCGAGAAAGTCAAGATTTTTGATTCATACTTAAATTTCATCTTTATTGATTTAAGGGGGGGTAGGGTCTTGTTCGATGGTTTTCGAGCTGCATTTTAATAATTTTTTTTGAGCACATAGTAAAATGAATTTATCTATAAATTATATACATTATAAATGGTTATTTGAAGAACATTCAGTTAAATTTTCAGCGGAAAATAGTGAAAAATAAGCTAACTACAGCAAATTTTCTCACAAAACTGAAAAAAAAAGATTGATTGCGGTGGACACTGTAACTGAAAATCTACTCGACCGATTCTTTTCCAATTTTTCTCATTATTTATCTACATAAATTATGAAGTAATGACATCGAGATATTTCGTCTAAAACAATTTTTGAGTTTTCGGCGTCATTTTGAAGTGAAAAAAAAGACTTTTTTGACAAAATGAAGACGAAAAATCATCGTACTTGTTCGTAAAAAGCATTTAAAAATGCAAATAGTTAAAATATCTCGACGTCATTACCTCATATATCATCTACTTAAGGGGGGGGGGTATAGTATTTTTCGCAAAAATGTTCGATAATTTTTTTATTGTGTTATTCGATTCTGTATACATTCAAGAGTATTCAGTTCAAATTTTAAGCCAATCGGAGCAAAATTACCCAAGATATTGCCATTTTAACGCACGTGCAAAAATGAAGAAGGACTGGACCTCAAAATCTTTAAACGCGTTTCCTGAACAATAGCATTTTCAAAGACGGTGTACATCATATCTCAAAAACTTATCGACCGATCTTTTTGAAATTTTACACCGTTATTTATTAACTATTTTACTAGGTAGTGACGTTGAGATATTTTCATTTTTGGGAAAATTTTCATTTTTTTTCAACAATTTTCCGAAAAAAAAGTGTAATTTTTCGATTTTTTCAACTTCAAAATCACGCCAAATTTTCAAAAATGAAAATATTTTAAAAAACTCGACGTCAGTACCTTCAGAATCCTCTAAACTAATAAAAAAATGTCATTAGGCTTGTTTCTGATGATTCTGCGAGGAGTTATCGCGTACACCGCATTTTTCGACGTGTTTTCTTCAAACCGATGCCCCAGGCTCATTTTTCAATATTTTTCAACAAAAATTTAGCTGAGTACTCTTGAAGTGATGCTTTTTANCCCCCCCCCCCCCCCTTAAAATTCCGAATATATAATTTGAAAATGGAAAATCTCATTTTTTAGCATTACGACAAGAACTTACAACTTCTTGTTGATACATAAAAAGTTCTCATCGTAAGAGTCTGAAATTTCATAAGCTTTTGTAGAGTGGTTTGTTGGTATTCATACTAACATTTCATCATTATGGATTAAAAATTCTAAATTTCTTATAAATTTTGATGAAATTTAAGTATGAATCAAAAACCTCGACTTCCTTGGAGAAAGTCGTCGCCGAGGATACATTTATACCTAGTGCACTTAATTATTAAATATTACAGGCTTACATGCAAAATGATGATATTTTTCTTGATAAAACCCTGATGCTTATTTTTCCGAATTACGGTTATCTGGTTTGAAAAAAAGTACTGCAATCGATACTAAAGATGCAGCTCTAAAATTTATCCCGAAAATCTAGTTAGAAAATCTAGCCCGAAAAATCAGCTGGAAAATCCTGCTGTAAAATACAGCCTGAAAATCCAGCGGGAAAATTCATCTGCACGATCTAGCTTTCAAAACCAAGTGGTTTTTAATTGAAAATTTTTCTAAAAAATCTAGCCCGAAAATCCTGCATGAAAATCCAACCCAATAATACAATCGAAAAATCCAGCCCGAAAATCGATCCATAATCCAATCGATTCGAGCTCGATTACAGCTTGATTTCGGACTGGATTCCCAGCCAAAATCCAGCCAATCATTTTTAACAGGGAATGAATCCTGCACCAATTTCGATGATAAAAGGTACTAGAGAAGTAATTTTTTAAGTAAAATGATTTGCAAAAACATAATTTGATCAAAACTAAAAAATATTAATATTATCATTTGATTGTCATGTTATTCAATTCATATTACAATACAGGATTCATCATAGATGTGCCCATTTAACTATTCTGACAAAGTTTCATGCCTTTGTTTTGATTTTCTTGCTTAGAAGGCTCAAACGGAGCCATGAAGTGCTAACCTCATTTTTGGCAGAATTAATAGTAGTATCAGTTTGTATCTAATCTTATACAGGGCCGATTGCTTGCCTGCTGATACAATAAAACTGATTTCCTGAAATTAGATTCAATTTTGCGCGGTCGTAGTTCCGATTTTTTTGGTCATTTACTACTATTGATATTTTTGGAATTGAAAGTGACGGGTACCTTGAGTTGTAGATGGAAGTAATATTCATATTAAGATTGTAATTATTCGAAATAATTTGTACCATTTGAACCAACAGGAACCAGCTTGGAAAACTCATATTTGGAGAAAGGAGCGTAACAAATATTCTACAACAAAACAATTAAGAAGAAAATTTCATTTCAAACAAATTGCAAGGTATAGTCTTTCTAGTTCCTTTGATTTATTCCATTCGATAATTATTTTATTATTTTTGAAGGGCCGTTAAATTTACTTCAAAATTATTTGGACGAGCATTGTCTAGAAGAATTAAAGCTACCGTACTGTATGCGACCGAGACTGGTAAATCTCAAGCTTATGCCGATAAGTTAGGAGAACTTTTTGGACATGCTTTTCATTCGCAGGTAAAATTCTTCTTTTTATTTGAAAATAATATTTCATTTTATTATTAAAAAGTCACTTTTTTGTGATTTCTTGTTTACATAGAACCGATCAATGTGTATTAGATGAGAAAATGCACCTTCATTACGCTTGTATTTTAGCCTACACTATAGCTTTCTGATTGACATCCGTGTTTGCTGTTTGTCTTCATCACCGACTCCAGGAATGTGGGGTTTACGTGCATCATTTAGTATAGGTGCTGAGGGGACTTCGCTTTTTATCGACATTGCTCAACATCAGTTTCCTTTTCTCTCTCTCTCATCACAGCTTTCTGGCGTATTACTTCCTGCTTAAATCAAATTTTGCAGCCACTTTGACGCACTATTATCAATCTTAACATTCATCGAGTATGAACGCACGCCGTGTGATTAGTGTACCAGTAAAGTATTAAAAAACTCGATAAGTACTTAGAATTCTGCGTTGAGTATTAGAATAAATTCTTGCTCGACTGGTTGGGATTGTCTATCAAAGTTGCGCATTAAAAATTTCATTACTAAAACAGCAACAGACTAAAATCAATGACAAGCTTCTTTCTCTTCGTAGAGACGCCTCAGCATAATATACTCACATCTGTATCTAGCGTCGAATCGGTTTACAGGGACTCCACCTGGATCGATCATGGTTTGAAAAAATGCAATCGCCGCGGGTTTTCACCTGATCCACGTTGATTTTTTTTTTCAATCTTCGTGGATTTTAGACTTGTTCGCTAGCATGCGCTCGAAACATCCGCGAGGTTTCGTCGGTGAATTACCACGGATTTTCCACTGATCCACGTTGATTTTTTTTCAATCCTCGTGGATTTTGGACTTGTTTGCGAGCACGTGTTCGAAACATCCGTGAGGTCTCATCAGTGAATCGTCACGGAATTTCAACTGGTCTGCGAGGATAATTGAATAATTCTGCTGGAAAAATCAGGTGACAAGTCAGGTGAATTTTTAGGTGAAAATCATGCCAAATCGTCTTTTTTCAGGAAGTTGAATTTTTCATGTGAAAATATCATCCGGGTAGCCTATTTTTGGCTCCAGGTCAGAACTGAACTCTACGATGATTTTCTTCGGGTACTTGTGATCATCAAAAAATCACGACTACCCGAAGAACTGCTTCGATAACTCTTGTGTATAATCAATCAATACCTGTTCAAGCGCAGGTCTCGGGGAACTTTTTCACTTTTCTAAAGTTTACAAGTGAATAAATCTTATATAACTCTCAAAAATAATCTAAATTATTAAGAAAATAATTTCGAATATGACTGACAATTCTTAATTAAAAAAAAAAAACAATTCAAACTCAAATTCACTCAAAATCCACGAGGGATTTCACCACAAAAAACCTTGTGGATAATCGAATATCCACGAGGATTTCCGCATATTCCGCGGAAATCCCTCGTGGGTTCATCGAGAATCAACGAGGATTTCAGCGGAAAGTCGCAGGGATTGATAAAAAATCAACGAGGATTTTCGCGGAAATCCTCGTGGGTTAATCGAAAATCAACGCGGATGTCTCATAAATCCACGAGACTTACGTACGTGGACTCTTTATATGATCCATGTTCGATCCTCGAGGAATCCCTGTATGATCCACTTGAAATCAGCGTGGATAATCCATGCATGCATCCACGCAATTTTTTTCAACCGGGTTTAAATGCAAAAATACCACTATGGACCTCTAGCCTATCAATTTAACTGTGAAGACCCATAAAACAAGTTTTAAGCTTCGATACATATTACATACAATAATCGATAAACCTCTTGTGACTTTCATGGATTTGCATTGAACTTCTGTTCTATTATGGCCGATGCATAATTGAGCTGCAAGTAACGCATCAGTTGCAGGAACGCGTATCGTTAGGTGATGCAGCTCTTTGACGAATGTCTGTTGCATTATTTTTTACTGAACTGCCTGTTGCTTTTCTCGATTTATTTCTGCCTCTCACGGTCACAACTCTGCTTTGAATTTTTGGTAGCGTCATCGTTTTTACCCGAAATTTCGGCTAATTGAAGAAATCTAATCAAAAGCATCCATTAATTCATGAATCTGCAATCCGGCCTTGGCCGCTTAAATCAGTTGGTATGTTGGTTTCCTGTTTAACGTTGGAATCTATGTTTAGTGTCTCATTCTAAATTTTGTTAAAAGCATCAAAATTATTTTTAGAAATTATTAATAGTTTACATTAAATAAAATAAAAATAACTGTTTTCGTTTTAAAGAAATAAAATTTAATATAATTTTTATAATAAATAAAATAAAAAAATTTTCCATTTAAGGTTCTTTGCATGGCAGATTATGATATAACAAAAATCGAACATGAAGCATTACTATTAGTGATAACATCAACTTTTGGAAATGGCGATCCTCCAGAAAACGGAGAGGTAAATTTCATATTTTTAAATAAATATAAATTGTATACCATTTTTTTCACAATTATGAAAAAATCAACGAGTAAAATTTAAGAGAACGGGAATTTTTAAGTTTTTTCAACCCTCAATTTTCATTAAATAAGTGAATTCAGCCCAAATGCTTTTCAATTATAACACAGCCCTACAAAAAAAAAAAATTTAAATCCATAAAATACGCAACTTTGCCGCTAATTTTAGGTTCTCGTAGGAAAAAATAGTATCTCAAACTGGTGCAGATATGGTTTTTTAACAAGAGAAATATACTATTTTTGTAGGGCTGTATAATTAATAATTTCCTACGTTTCAAAGCAAAGATTTATTTTCCCTTACGATTATTTTTATTTAATTTGGATCTGCGTGGTAAGTACGGTGATTCTTTCAAAATCTCAAACTTGCAATTTTTCTACAAGTCGATGCCTCCTCGCAGCAAGATGCCAGTTTACAGAGCAGAGCAGCATCATGCCAGTTCAGAATCTATTCGGCAAGATGCTACTTCGGCGCGCCGTTCGGCAAGATGCTGCTTCAGCGCTGCGTTCAGCAAGATGCTAGTTCGTGGCCTCGTTCTGCATGATGCTACTTCGAGGCCCATATAATAAAAATGATAAAAATCAAAACTAGACTGTAGATTACACTTTGCGAAGGCAATTTAAAATTCCATAACTCTATGGAGGTGCAAATTTAACTCTTTGAAAATTAAATCGTGTACAGTTTTAAATTGTCCTCGCAAAGTGTAATCTACAGTCTAGTTTTGATTTTTATTATTTTTATTATGTGGGCCTCGAAGTAGCATCATGCAGAACGCGGCCAAGAACTAGCATCTTGCTAAACGCAGCGCTGGAGCAGCATTTTGCCAAACGGCGCGCCGAAGTAGCATCTTGCCGAATAGATTCTGAACTGGCATGATGCTGCTCTGCTCTGTGAACTGGCATCTTGCTGCTAGGAGGCATCGAAGTATTGGATTATTTTCACACGTTTTTGATTTTCCAATAAGCACGTATTCTATATTTTTTTTATACTTTGCCAGCTAGGTGCTACCGCGCCTCTTGATCTGTATTGAAACACAAATATCTGAGAAATGAATACGTTTAAATTCAGTGTTAACTATTTTCAGTGAATGCGCAATCTTATTGGAAAAATGATGAATTAACTTCCTGAATAACGGCTTTATCCAAGACCGTCTTAACAGTATTTTTAAATGATAAAATGTAATTTTATTTATCTTTTCAAGTCGTTGGTAGATGAATTTGTCATTTTTTAATTTTATTTAAAATCTCAATCAACAGCGATTTGATCCACCGTAAGTGCTGGATTTTAAGAATTTCGAATAAAAATGTTATTACCCGAATTTAAAAATTGGAAAAAAATTCGATCAGATGGCAATTAGCCCATTTTTGGCAGCCGTTGCTGTGGGCGTCTTGTTTTTCGCGCTGTAGCCTAAAATTTTTTTTCCAAGTCAGCATTCTAAATTTTCATTTCCGGGCAGAAAGATGCCATTTCGCGTTTAAGCTGAAAGATGCTCGATTCTGAAGGATGGTTTTTTCTGCGTTTGAAGTGACACCATGTTAATGTTTCATGTTTTAATAGTAAAATTGGATGCTCTTCCAGAATCTGGCGTTAGAATGAAGATAATAGTTAAAGTTGAAGCTTCAAACGCAGAAATACTGAGCAGTGATGTGTCATCTTTCAGCTCGAAGCGCAAAATAGCATCTTTCTGCTCTGCTTTGTGAAGTGGCATCTTTCAGCACTGACACTTCGATATAAATTAATTAGGTGATTACTTAAAACTGCAAGAATACCATTTGACATTTTAAACACTTATATCAACCTTTTTTCTGTATACATTGAAACATGAATGACGAGTGGGTATGTCTCATTTTTTATCGAGACGGCCGGGCAAGTAGAGTCATGAGTAAGATGTTTTCATACAAATATTAATTTTACATGATTACTACTAAATCATTCTACTCAAACTTAGTGTGTTTATCGTTAGAAAAAAAGTTTCAATTTGTCTGAATAATGGTCGGAATATATTTGTTTTTATTACCATTAATAGCTAAGTAATAGTTCAATCGCAAATTGAAATTATACTTTTCCAAAAAAAGTAGGAGTTAGACTCAAATTGTAAGCGCGTCCAGATCGGTGACATAAGTACGCATGGTTTTGTAAAAAAGTATTATTTTGACCCACATTTATAATAAGATGCTGGAGCTAGCTGAATACACACATACACATAACACACACATATCTATTATGAAATGGGGCGAGCTGAAAACACACATACACACATTTACATACACAAGAAGTACGTCGAAAATAATAATAATAAAAAAATCAAAATTTCGGAGATAAATAGCCGCTAGAATGAATCAAATTGTGGGGGTTGAATTGTCGCAAGATAAATTGTAAAAGATTATTAATCCGCCGTCTTAAGGATAGATTTCGAAAAATTGCATAAAAATTGCATACTAACGAGTGGAAAAGTGGTGAGATATAACGATGCGACGCAATAAAAAAAAAAAAAAAAATACTGACCCTGCATGAATACAAATTTAACAGATTTTTTAAACATCTGTTATCAAAATTTGAAAAAATGCAATTATATGCAACTTTTATGCACTTTTTAAAATTTTTAATAATTTTTCTAAAAGTTGAGAGATAACACGATATGACGCGATAAAAAAAATAATAATGAACCAGTATCAATATAAAAAAAAATTTTTTGTCTAAAGGTGGAAAATTATCAAATATCGAAAAAATGGCATTAAAAGTGCATAAGAATGCACTTTTTGCATACAAAAAACTAATAAGTAACGCGTCCAGTCCCATAGAATATACTCCTAAAATTTCAAAGCGATTGTATGAAAAGATTTCAAGTTATCGTTTTGCATCTAAAATATTAAATCTAAAAAATGCGTAAGGGTGCATAAAAGGCATATCAAAATCTAATAAGTAACACATCTACGTCCCCCCTACATACCCAAAGAATTTCAGTCCGATCCATTGAATACTTTTCCAGTTATCGTGTCAGGGCGAACTCACGAAAATTAGGCAAATTGGCCATGAAACGACTTCGCTGAGCTCAGCTTTAAAAAGAATTTCAGTCCGATCCATTGAATACTTTTCCAGTTATCGTGTCAGGGCGAACTCACGAAAATTAGGCAAATTGGCCATGAAACGACTTCGCTGAGCTCAGCTTTAATAATTAAGTTTATTAATATTGTTATATTATTCTTTCGAATTCAATATGTGTGATATTTGAATATTTTACAGGTTTTTGCTCAAAATTTATATGAAATGAAAATTGACGATCCATTCATTACATCCGACACTCAATTTGAGTAAGTAAAAAAAATTCAATTTTTTTATTTTAAAAATAAATGTTTTATAGCTGTCGTTCCTTTGGTTGAAGTCACTTTTATCTTCCTCGTTCAAGAGTGGACAGGGTTGAGAAATAATTATTACTTCGCGAATTTTCTTTTATCAAAATTCAAAAATACTTTTATTATAAAGCAAGAGGTTTAGAAATAAAACAAAATCTCAGTGAGAGAGAAATAAGATTCTAGGACGTGCGACTGCAGCGAGTTGCGAATCTCATGTGAGGCGATAAGCGGAGAGCGACGCGGCGGCCGGGCTGCACGCAGCTCTCCCCCTCTCTCGCAGTCACTCGCATCTCGCACTGCAGCAACGGACGGTCATGGAGGTGGCAGTCATGCCAGACTCAACAATAGCACTCCGTGGTGTAAGTTCACATTTACGGCACACTTTCCGGTGGCTTAAGTGGTACTTTTTGGCACCGCAAAAGGTGCGACTTATGACTCGAAAAAGGAGACATAAATGTGAATTAAGCTTAGTGTTATTTTTTTTTATAAGAAATATGTTTTTTATTGAACATTAATTAGAGTACAAAGGTTATAAACATAAGTAAAAAAAAGCCAATACATTATTTGCTTAAACTAGTTACAAAGATTCACTACTTCAAGCTCTATGCAGAATGAAGAAGACACACGTGCACTCCTGTTGGTGGTGATGCGTACGACGATAAAAAAATGACCTCAGATAGGTGGGCTGACGTTGCCTCGACTCTCACGAGAAGGGCTTACGTTGGGGGAGGTCACGTCGACGACGTACAACGAACTCGTTATTACTCGCCGCGCACGTGCTCCGCTCGTTCGAACTACAAGCCAGAGCTTGTCAAAGAGGTCGATGACCTGCGGGTCGTGAGACTCCGGTGACACAACTCTTTCCTTTGGATGATTTAACCTGTGCCGAGAGTTAAAAGGACATCCGCCCAAGTTGATACCCAAAGACAAGGTCTACTGAAGAGAGGGGAAGAGGGAGTATCGGCACTCGAGAATCAGAGTCCCTCACCGGGATATTCTCCCTTTCACGAAGCTATGGCGATGAGCGACTGTGACACTCTTGTTCGACAGACTATGCCCGGTAATTAGTTCAGAGACTAAGTTCACTAAGCAACTCAGAAACTAAGATCGCAAAATAATTCAGAGACTAAGTTCGCTAAGTAACTCAGAGGCTACTTTCATCTACCTGCGCGTCCAAACGTGCTCGAGACGGTTGGTTCTGCTAATGGTCGCGGCGCTCATCCATGCGTGCCGGCGGTGTGTTAAGCATCTATCTAAGCTGCATATCTCTTCGTGCCTGCTCCCTACTAGCTCGACCCTCGGTCTTACCCACGGTTGATATGGCAGGTTGTGCATGCATATCCGAGGTTGCTGTCTTTCGCGCAATTAGCGAGTTTTCTAAGTATTTATTATTATAATAGTATGGTCCAAAGATAAAATTGTTTGATTTGTTGTTAATAGAACTTTTTATATAATTTCTTATCATATAGACCAAGAAAGTATAGATTCTGGATATATTCGCCATTTCAAGTATTTTAGTGTTATAGATTCTTTTTTCATAATTGCTTTCAGATGATCTGTACTTGTTCAGACAAGCACGGATAATTTTTCTTTCTAAAAAACGTAGATCCTCCTGTGATTCTTTCCTTATTTTTCTCTCCTGATGCCTATAAATTGCATCAAGAGAAACAGCATATGAGTTACTGTTTAATACTATAGCCAGCTTACAAGTTGCGTGGCTTCTATAAGGACCCAAGGAATTAGAGGTGAAAAATAACAATGTTTATTTTAATCAAAAAATGAAACAAACTTTATTTTTTTTATATATAATATCATTAAATTCACTCTAAAGTGGTGACCCTGAAAAAGTCCAATCAAAAAAATAAAATTACATTTTATAGAAAACTTATAATTGATTTTTATGTTTTTGCTTTGTGCAACTTAAGTCTAAGATCTAAATTTTAAATGGTTTTAGCCTTAAGAAAGGCTGATGCGGTTTTGCGCCAATCTCGCTCGAATGCAAACGAATTACTTTTCCACAACGTTAATAGTGTGCAAACGAAATAGTTTGTTCCTCGCGGATTTGCAGCAAAAGCAGCCTGATTTCTCTCGCCGATAGTTGCAGAGAGAATGCCCTTCGTTCTCACACGCTCGCTTATTTATACCACCAGCTGCGTCGCCCTGGAGTTGCGCATCGCCAAAAATAAACATTTTCGTACCCAGCGATATGGCCAATAAAAGGTAATATGTTAATCGACTGATTCATAGCTCCATAATCCTAAATTTTGGTCATCGGCAGACAAACAGACTTCAGTATTGAGTATCATATGTATCAAGAATCAAGGAAAATTAGAAAAAAACCATGCTTTATTGACACGTATTGACACGAATTGCGATTAGCCATATCGCTGGATAGGAACATGTTTATTTTTGGCTATGAGACTGATTTTTGGTAATTTTGGGATTTTGAGATAAGAAAATGATTTTTGACATCAACCCTTGGGAAGCAAAATAAAATATGAAAAATCAAATTCAAACTCTATCAAGAGGGGGTGAGGGGGGAGGGGCAGTTGACGCGATATAGCCTATATATTAATTCAGAGGGGTGAGTTAACAGTACCCTGTTGTAACCCACGTGCGATAACATATTGTTTGTTGCCTGTAACTTGACTGTTACTATTGGCTTATTTGAACTTTTTTTCATTTATCGTGTGATAAGTTAATTTCAATAAGTAAGGGTCCATGTTACTTTTTTTCAATTTAAATATTAGCCCACTATGCCACACTGAGTCAAGAATTTTTTTCAAGTCTACTAGGATGTCTCCTGTCATTTTGTTACCCATAAGGTTCCAGTTTATATCCCCTATAAGCTTATGAATTGCATTTGGTGGGTTGCTGGTTACGAAACCTAAACTGATGGTCAGGTAATATGTTATTGTCTCCGCAGAATTTGATCAAATTGGTTTTGATAGTTCTCTCAAACATCTTGCTGATAACCGGCAATAAACTAATGGGCCTGAGATTATCCAGATCCAATGGTTTATCGTGTTTCTTTATTAGCACAATTAGTTTAGCTGTCTTCCATTCTTTGGGATAATATCCATTGTTCATGCCATTATTAAAAATAATGGTGTATAGTCTTATATATTTTTTATCTAATTTTTTTATTATTTTATTTGGAATATTATCCCAACCGAATGAAGATTTATTTTGAAGTAAGATTTAATTTGAAATAAGTGAAGTAATTAGCTTTGATATTAGTTTTGTATTTGTAAAAATTATATGTGAATAATTACTAGGGTGGGAGCTTGGATTATCTGCTGTGTTGTTGTTATTAAATGTTGTTACTTCAGGAAGTGAGAATTTAACTCTGAAAGTATAGGCACTATTCTTACATTTATAATTTTTTCTAGTGGGAATTACATGTGAAATTTGATTATTATCTGAAATTAAGGTAGTTACCTCAAAAAAAAGACTATCGATAAAGAGTCTTGAAATTTTAACCACATATTATTAATAGTGCTTTTCATATGTGTGAGAAATTTCAGGAACTTTAACCAAACCATTTCCGAAATATAAATAATCAAAGATGGGTACTTTAACATGGGATCCCTATGCTAGCGTGTCGAAAAGACGATATTTTGTGATTATAAAAAAACGGATCGATAAAATCTTTTCAAAAACTAGGAGATGATTGTTCAGTACGTACTAGAATATAGCTCAAAAACTGGAAAAACTTGACCAAACAATTTTTGAGAAGAGTTAATATAAAAACATTGCAAAAATAAAAATTTAAACTTTTTGACCTAAAACTCACTTTTTAAGGTTTTTAGGGTCATTTTAAACAAAAAAGTGCTCTTGCAAATTTTCTCTAATATCTATTGTTCACGAACTATAAACGATTCAAATTTAAACAATTTTTGCGATTTTTTATCTCAATAAGCTGAACTCTACGAAAAATGTTAAAAGAACAAAAAAGTCTTAGAATTTGTTAAGAAAAGCGTATGAATTTTTTCAGATTTTTTCTAGACATATGCCAAAATTTGTCGGTCAGATCTGAGGGAACTACCTTAAATATTCATTTTTTTCGTTTGAAGCTAGTGAGTTGGGGTCTATACCGCATTTAGTATTTAGGTTTTTATTTTCTTCTATTATAATTAAGTTTTTAATTTCATTACAGTTTCTTTTCCTCCATATGAGGTTGATTTTAGGGAAGAAGCTGTCTGACTCCTTATAGTCTATGTATTTTTTTTTTTTTTTTTTTTAATGGAGCGATGGGCTCAGTTTATTAAATCAAATGTATTTCGGTACATTTTTTTTTGTTTCCGTTTTTACATATTTTATGTAGGCGGGTGGAGTTAGAAACAAACTGAGATATAAAACATATAGGTGTTGTGTGGCCCATCCACTTCTCCTTCTGCCCCTGTTTAACCCCCGCGGAACCGCTGTTGGGCACTACTTCGCGGGGAGAGGCTGGGCTGATGCAGCAAGCTCATTACGTTTGCGCTGATTGTTGTTGCGTCTTCTTCATTCCGCATCGTCCGTTCATCCTCTTCTGGCCATCTCTTCGGCTCTCAGACTTGTTATGACTGATTTGGCGAAGGTGGCTACCGCGAGCCAGTTTTTTTGTTTGCTAGCATGAGCTGGACGACATTTTCCTGCCTGGCAACCTCTTGGAGCTGACGGTGGAGCTTTTCTCTTTCCTCCTCAAATCGAGTGCAGTGGCAGAACACGTGCTCTGCGTTTTCGACCGTGTTGGGGCAGGCCGGGCAATTCGCGCTGGCGTTGCGGTCGTAGCGCTGGCTGTGATGTTTGAAGTATCCATGGCCTGTCAGGAGCTGGGTGAGGTGATAGTCTACCTCTCCGTGTCTCCTGTCTATCCACAAACTGATGTTTGGGATCAGCCTGTGCGTCCATCGTCCTTTTGTCGAGCGATCCCATCGGCTCTGCCATCTTCTCAATGTCTCCTGGCGTTTTTCAGCTCTCGCGTCCTCATGGCGGCGCTGATAGAGCCGGCTACGATCGTCTGCTAGTAAGGCCAGCGGTGGTATGCTGGCAAGGACGTAGGTAGCATCGTACGAGAGGTGCGGGCGACCACTGATGACGTGTAGGCAGGCTCGCCGGTGGATCGCTTCCGCCCGACGCATGCCGACCAGTGTTCCGGCACCGTGGCTCCAGATTGGGGCACCGTAGAGAAGGATTGAGTTGATGACGTTGACGTAGAGCCGCCTCCGGCTGCTCCTGGGGCCACCAATGGTCGGCATGATCTGCGAAAGGGCTCCCGCCACCCTCGAAGCCTTCTCGCTGGCCGCCTTGAGGTGGTCGTTAAATGTCAACCTCGCGTCAAGTTGCAGGCCCAAATAGCGGATGCAGAGAGAGGAGGCAATGAAGCAGTCGCCTACTTCAATGGTGATGGTCTCCAGCCTCCTCTTCCTTGATATTAGCAGGGCTTCCGTCTTATGGTCTGCCGTCTCGAGGCCCAGCCCCCACAGCGCCTCGCGTACCCTTGCGATGGCGCAGCTGAGAAGATCCTCGACCACGGCGATGTCGTCCGCGAAACCGACCACGCGTACCCCTTCATCCAGTCTCAGGCGCAAGATGATGTCGTACATTACGTTCCACAAGATCGGGCCGAGGACCGAGCCCTGCGGAACGCCAGCCGTGATGCTACAGGACTCTGGGCCATCATCAGTCTCATATTCCAGCACTCTGGCCTGGAAGTAGCTGTATATGATCCTCTGCAAGTACTCAGGCGTGCGGATTCGCTCGAGCGCGGCGAGGATGTTGTTCCACCGCGCCGAGTTGAACGTGTTTCGGACATCGAGGGTGACAACGGTGCAGTACTTGCGGCTGCCCCTCGCACCTCCAATCGCCTCACGAGCCGCAGCGGTGATGGACTCAATGGCGCCGGTGGTCGATCTTCCTCTCCGGAATCCGTGCTGGTGATCCGAGAGGCCGTCCGGTGCCTCCGTGAACACCTCCAGACGATTGCATATGATCCTCTCGAGGATCTTACCCGCCGTGTCGAGCATACACAGCGGACGGTATGATGAGGGAGCATCAGGCGGCTTGCCCGGCTTCGGTAGCAGGACGAGCCTTTGCCTCTTCCATGGGCTCGGGAAGACACCACCGCTCAGGCACGCCGAGTATTATAATCTATGCTTCTAATTAAATTTACCCACTGGTGTTTTGATTCTTTGCTGAACATTAGAAACAGTTTGTTCTCTACTCTTTTCATTTCAAGCTTTAAATTGTTGTATTCTACTTTTTCATCGGGGTTGCTATTGTGGGCTAGTTTATGGAGTTTCGTTTGTAGTACATGCTATTGTTTGTATAGTTTATTTATATTTTTGCTTTGTAATTTAGCAAATCTATCGTTGAAGGTGTATGTAGGGGTTGCATTTCTTAATTGCTGAATGAATGATTTGTTGAAATAAACTAATGAATGTATCTATCTCAGTATTCGAAAGATTTCTATTATTGGGAATAGAAATAATTTTCTCTTCCAAATAATTGTACAATTTTCTCAGATTTGTTTTTTTATATAGTAAACTAAGTATAGCATCTGTTTGTAGATTAATACGATACTTCAATTTTAGTTTTAAGAAAATTGCTCTATAATCGCTTTCATAGTTAAGGGTAGATAATTTTTTATCACTATGGATAATCAATGAGCTGATCAAAGTTACATCTATGAAGTTATTCGCTTTGTATAACGTGGGACTTTCTTTTCATTATACTTATAACCAAAAAATAATCTCTGCAGCTCTGCAACTGAAACAGAAGACTTTTTGCCATATAAGGTTTACAATTTCTCTAGCATTCGATGCATTCTTGTGCACTTGCCTATTTTTCACGATATTGTACTACTGCAGTTCAATTCAAAGAGAGTCTGAGCTTTGAAAACTTTCGTTTTTCATGCCTTGACTGCAACATTTTCATCTTCTCTTGTCAGCATAACCTCACTTCCGATGGCTACATTATAAATCTTTTTGTTTTTGGGCATGAGATTGAGTTTTCAGTCAGCATTTCTAATTGCTATCTAACACTGTCCATCTTGACTAAGTTATATGGACGAACTTTATAACTGACGCATTTTTTAGACTTGTGTACTGATTATTAAACTGTCTTTTTACTGTCTCGAATCATTTTTTCTCAAGGTCTTTATTTAGCGAGAATAGTCGTTAACTGCTTGTATGTTGTGTGAAACTTCTGTAGGTCAAATAAATGATACTACACAATACATAATTAAACTTATGAATTTATTTATTATTAATAATGCAGAAATGCCTAAACGGTGACTACAAAAGGTAGAAAAATTATTGTCACTAAAGTGCTCGTTATGAGGCTTCGTTCAGATCAGACTAACGAGTGCTCGCTAGTGCAACTGTCTCATCTCTTACAGTATCACAAGCCAATTCTCGCGCTCTCTACGGTAAAATAAAATAATTAAAATCAACAATATGCTTATTTTTCTAAAAGAAATTGGTAAAACTTTATACTAATTGCTCAAAAATCTATTTTTAATGCATTGAGATTTTAATAAAACTTAAATCACTATCGATGAGTTTGAGGAAATATTAATTAACTTTTGTGATATTTTGCTGTTATTTAAACGACGTTTCCGAGATCAAAAAGATCAAAAAATGGGTATAAATTAACTAAACTTCTTAAAAAAACTCACAACCCATTTTTAGTGTATAATGATACATGTGGCTCCAGCAGGCCATTATTACAAGCCGCGGTTAGCACCCGAGCATAGCGAGGGTGTTAGTGTCGGGTTCAGAATGAGCTACTTGAGTCATAAGTATCAATGCTTTTTTAAAGCACTGTGCTAAGTTCGCGTTTAGGCCCCTTTTGGCGAGAAATAAGATGCTCATAATAGTGTAGCGGTGGGAGGTTAGCATATGAGCGTCGCGAGATTTTCAAGAAATTAAAAAAGGATTCGTCTTGATACGAATAAAATAGACAAATAAAATAGAATAGATGAATAAAGCGACAAAATTCTATGAAAATTTTTTTTGTGATAATTTTGTTAATATAAACTAGTTTCATTTAAATTCATTCAAGTGGATTCTCAGTAGATCCAAAAGTTAGTGTGCACGTATGTGCTTATCGGCCTGAAGAGATTAAATTGTCATGAATGTCCTCAATTTGTTTAAAATGAATCGTCTCAAAATTTATACGAGTTAGCATTCATTTCTTCACTTAAAAAAGACTGCTGCCAATTTATTGGCAAAGAGCTTTCTCATAAAAATTTTACTATTATGACCACTAATATAAACTAACTAAAAATTTATAATTGATAAATTATCATTTTTGTTGCAGCATAAGAACTTCAAAATCATTCATCAAAGTAAATAGTCAAAGTGGAATAACTAAATCTAAGAAAATTAATAAACTGACTTCATTGAAAGAATTGGATTATAAAGCTGATGAAAATTTTGGTCCACTTAGTAACGTCAGGTAAAAATATGATTTTTTAAATTCTGTGTATTATAAATAATTTGGTTAAATGAGTTATATTTCAAAAAATAATCTTAGATTTATTATAAACGTTTTTTTCGGTGATGGTATAATTTACCTCATTCTTGTTGGTGATTGTGATTAGTAATTTACCGGGATCATTTTACGTTTTGGTTTGTTGCTGTGCCTAGGCTAGATCTAGATCAGGTGCCAGACGGTCGAGGCCACGGTAGCACCTCCACATCCAAAATTGTGATGCAAATATTTTGAAAGATAATTCATTTACACAAATTGAAATTATTAAGGAATGCCAAGTAAAGAGGTTGTGTACGATTAATTTGTTTAAAGATAGTCACAAAAATGGTTTTATAGAACTGTGTGGCATAAGTCTCACATTCTGGCACCGCTGCGTTCGCATCGCCCTCACATACGCTCGTGCGCTAACCTCACTTTGCGGTACCAGAAAGTGCGACTCATGACTCGGAAAAGGGGGCATAATTGTGAACTTAGCACAATACTATAAAAGTTTGTACGATACTCGTTCCATGGGGATACTTTTCGGCCCAGCTATTTGGACTACGACGTGCCAAAAAGTGTTACTTATGGCACTTGAACCGTAAAGTACTATTACCTCACAGCGGAAGTGGTTGTGTTTTTCACCGACTACTGGTAAAAGTATACTGGTTTGTGTGCAAATTATTTAATACTGAAAAGTCTTCTCAGTTCATAGATGGCTTTTGCGACTGGAAAAATAGTTCCGCTCTCTTGAAAAATCACGAGATCTCAGCGAAGCATACTAATTCCTTAGTTACGTTCGAATCTCGCGCTTCTGAGAAAGGAAAAATAGACCAAGAGTTAATGCAGCAAATAAAAAAAGAGAGGAAATACTGGACTAAGCTTTTAGGCAAATTAGTATCAGTAATTAAATATATTGTTAAAAGAGGTCTGGCTGTACGAGGAGACGATCAAACTATTGGTTCATCTCACAATGGTCATTTTCTCGATCTTTTAGAGTTGAAGGCTGAAGAGGATGAATTTTTACGCGATCATTTAAAAAAATATAGTAATATTGGAACTGGCAAGACGATTTACTCATCTGCTCACATTTGCAATGATCTGGTAGCTGTCATGTCCACGATGGTTTTCAAAGAAATTATCTCCCGCATTAAAAAAGCAAAATACTTCTCAGTAAGCATCGATTCTACAAACGATGAAGGTCACATTGACCAACTAGTCATTATAATTCGATATATTGAAAGCACCGGAGAGCCTGTCGATAGATTTTTAAAGTTTATTCCAAATGCAGGTCATCAATTTGAAGAAATGTTCAACGCATTTGAAAGCTTCCCGAAAAAACCGACTTAGATATAAAAAATATTGTGAGCCAATCGTACGACAATGCGTCGAATATGAGTGGAAAATCTGAGGGACTTCAGGCATTAGTCCGCAAGGAAAATTCTCAGGCTGTTTGGGTTCCATGCACAACCCACTCGCTAGCTTTAGTTGGGAATGATGCTCTGAATTCTTGCTCAGAAGCAAAATTATTTTTTGACTTTTTGGAGCAATTATATGTTTTTTTTTACTAGCTCGACGAATCGATACGCCACCCCTAAAGAGTGTTTAAAATCAGCTTCGACCGAGCAAAATAGACTGCTCGTTCCAAATAGAGTAACTACTACACGGTGGTCTTCTCGAGCAGACGCAGTAAAAGAGCTGTCTCGCGGATATGCGCACATTCTTTCAACTCTTTGGAAGCTATCATCGGAAAACTCAGAGGCAATGGGCCTGTATCTAAATATGAGCTGACTAGAAATCTGCATTTACATACAGGCAAACCCCGTTATCCGCGGATTCGTTATCCGCGATTCTTCGTATCCGCGGTACCCCTATTTGTGACCCAACTTCAGTATCCGCGGTTTTTTGTTTTCGTATCCGCGGTTTTTTCTGGAGGTTAAAATTTTGTGAGCGTCAAATTTAAAAATTTTTTTATTAATTTTCATTTAATTATGTCTCGACCAACACCAAAAAAAAACAGTTTCAATCGAAAAAAAGAAAAGTTCTTAATTTAAGTTCTTAAATTCTCGACGCGTTGGCAGCTGGTGAAAAAGTTGCTACAATCGCAAGAAGATTCAACGTCAACGAGTCTTCGATCAGAACAATCCGCGACAACGAGTAAAAACTCGAGAGAGTGCAAAATCTTTAGGGAAACATGCAGAACAATGCAAGATACGAATCTCTGCCATGCGTGAGTAACAGATGTACGAAATCGGTTTATGATACCCAAATGGTGTCAGCTGGGCCACGTGTAACTTTGTAACAAACATTTTATTGTAACTGGGCGAAATTTTAACAATAAGGAAAATCCGGCAACTGCGAGTATATAAGCGGAGCGAAAGTGAGGATCGGGATCATTTTTCAATCAGTCAGACAGGGAAGTACGGTTCAGTTAGTAGTGCAGTTGTGCACAGGCGTTGAGTGGCTCCGACTTCGTGCGGCCAAACATCGGTCAGTCAGTTTAGTTGGGGCAGTCAATCGCAGTCAGTTAGTCAATCGCAGTAAATCAGTTTAGTGCAGTTCAGACAGTCAATCAGTGTCAATCGGTCAAGTCGGTCATACTTTATAAAGCGTAGGGCAGTCACGTCCACCGAGTCAAGAAACGGTCGAGTACGAGAGTTAGTCGAGTGAGTGAGAAGAGTGACGGTTAAGCAATCTTGACCACCAGTGCAGTGGGGTACGACAAACCCAAGGACAGTCCAACAGAGTGTGTGTGTCTAAGTGCATATAAGAACGCGAACCACCCAAGGCTGGCCCTTCCGATTTAACAGTAAGACAATAAAATTCATCTTCCTTATAAGTTTTGTGTATTCATTCTTCTCCCCCATTCAGCCGTATCGATATGTAAGGAAAGCCAAATAGTCAGAAATCACAAATAAGGTACGTTCGGCCCTGTTTCAAGGGATGTAACAATAGATAAAAATTTAGATAATTATAAAAATGTTGGCCAAAACGAGCGGCCAAAGCAACGCTTGAGTCTCCGACGATCATCGCCGGACAGCCAGCGATTGAGCTAGGCAAGTGTTCCAACGATTTTTGTTTACTACAGGTCCCCCCCTCAACCGCGTATATTTTCTCTCTGTGTAGTCACTAATTCTAGTAGTGAACGAGCCTTTTCAAAAATGAAGCGAATTAAAGATCGTTTACGTACATCAATGTATGAGGACAATTTAAATCATAGGACGATTTTAAATTCAGAACATGATATTCTAAATCAATTAAATGTAAGCGATATTATTGAGAATTTTTCGAAATTGAAATCCAGGAAAGTTCCACTTTAATGTCCAATTTCATTACGTTTCATATAATATGTAAAATTTCTAAATAAACATTTTTCGTATCAATGTTTTTTTGATATCTAAAAAATTTTATTTTAACTCCTCTCTGTGAGGTTCTGGGGGTTTGCAGGTTTAATTATGCAAAAACTACGGGTTACTTGGGTTACTTGGGATTACTTAGGGTTACTTACGCTCCCATATATAGGCCTCCGCCACTTTTTGGCTACAGGCCTAAAGTTTCTAAGTTCGGCACTGTATCCGATCTCGAGCATATGGAGCAAGGTGATACATCTCTTGTACTTTTGTGCTTTACTTCTTTTGCTCTTATCAATTCTGCATCCCTCCGCCTTGTTTTTTTTATCGGCGTGCGTAGCGTGTAGCTACCACTATCTCCTTCCTTGCCGTCGAATTTTTCCTTGGTTAAGATTTTTTTGTCATCAGAGACTCGTTTCGCCCTCGCCTTTAAGACGCGGGCTGGCGGGTGATCTTTTTCGGCAGACAGTGTATTATTTTTTTGTTCTTGCTCGTCCGCGAGTTCGTATAGCTGGGCTCTGCCTAGCTCAGCGATATTATCGCCGTCTTGTACAACGGGATTCCTGTTTAACGCAACTGCGTTACTATTTACTAGACCCCTTCTATATGTTATATTGAAATTATAGCCTCGAAACTTGGCTTTCAGTCTGTTAAGCGCAAGTCTGGTTTCTTTGTCTTATGAAAATGGACCAAGGGTTGGTGGTCCGTTAATACAGTGAATTTGCGTCCCCATAGGTAGTAATAGAACTGCTCTTTGCCAAATACTACGGCTAGTAGCTCCTTGTCATACGTGGGATATCGAAGTTCGGCGCTCTTTAAGATACGGGATGCATAGGCGCATACGTAATCCGATCCCTGCACCTGATCCGAAAAGACTTTTCAATCAACATAAATTATTTAACTTCATCAAATACTATAATACTAAAACATACTCATAGATATATATATATTTACATCCTAACACCCTGACTAATACCTATTTCCTTATACCTCTCCCCGCACTCTTGCGAGTCGTGGCGATAAGCCTCTTCTATATAGAAGGGTTCGCGTCCGATAACAACATTTATAATATACATATATTGTCACGTGGGACGACAGGGTCCCCACCTGTGATGAGGTACATTAATGGGAGTAATGAGCACGGCTCATTAGTAATAATTTCGCGCTGAAGCGCATCGCATCGTCGGACTCCGGCCCCCTCTCTTCTCGGCAACTCAAGCCTAATTCATTATCTTTAAGTTCTTTCTACTTCCTTCCACCCACGTAACACCCCGGGCGCTCCCCTTAATTTTGGTGCTAGGTGTGTTCGACGGTAACTATTATTCTATTCGTGATCGGTACATAAATTTGTTTTTGTCTTTTTTTAACAAAAAAAAAAAACGAGTTTGATACCGCACGCAGCAGGGCAAATACACCGTCGGAAGAGTGAATCGCAGGGCTATAAATGTGGCATGGAATAAATCGCAAGCTGCCTATACCATTGCGACAGGTAAGTGGAATTTATTGACTTATTGATTTATGAGTTTATTTAAGTAACGCAATCGAGTTATGAGCGGCATTGCCTAATATTTTGAAAAACTTGGAGATCTTAAATTTTATTTATTGATTACAATGCCGAATGAAATTGACAACCACGGGA